ACTGCTATAGATGACAAAGAAGGGAGTAGCAACTTGCCCAGGCTCCCAGTGGAATTTTCGAGGACTGGAATATAAATTAGCCTCGCTTCTGCGTGATGCTGCGCACAGGTAGCCATGGCTCCAGCGCCTCTTTATTGTCCCTGTAGCTCTAGTTCCCAGCATGCATCCTCCCATGTGAGGCACCTCCATGTCTGTGGTCCTTCTCAGTCGTTGGCAAATCCGGCTTTTTCCTCAAATGTGCAGAATCAGGCTCATCTGATTCAGGTTCTTTGCTCTAAACATTGAAAATGTTATAACACACATCAGGGCATAGTTCCTCTGGTTTTTAATATTATGGGCAGATATAACATATAATAGCAGAATGCACAAATAAATAATGATGCTACCTAAATAACGAACTTGAAAGATGGCACATATATTACCCACTCTACTTTGATGAATAAATTATACAGATTTAATCTGACAGGTGTTTAATAATAAACATAATACCTTCTGTTCTGCAGGATAATTAGGGAGAAATGGTAAATAGCAGAATTACTTTTAAGGTGCCGATCAAAAATGTTAGTAGTATTCTTCTCTTACTATTAATTCTTCAATATCCTCAAGCTAAGTTTTGATGGTGTTTTTAGATACTGAGTATCTTTTAATAATTATCCCAAAGGCAGCTGCGCACATAAACACAATAATCTGTGCATACATGTACACAGACACTTGTGCACAGATGTGGGTATGTGTACATGTCACACGTGTGTGTGTCAAAACACTTTTTTCTCAGCTCTGTGCTAGTCTAGACTGAGTTAAAGTTATGGATTCTGCTCCTGTTTACTGAGGTCTTTCTGTGTCTAAACCAACCCTAAGTCATGGACCTAAGAATAATGGGTTAAATATGAACTCATATTTTGCGCATTAATTCAACTACTGTGCAAACACTATGGACACCCTCCATGCAGGACCCTGAAACCAGATTATTTTTAGGAGAACTGGTGGCTATTTGGAGCTTCTGTAGAGAAAGTCTTTCTTCATCCCATCGCTCTCCATCACCCCTCCCTTCTCTGCCCCACACAACTACATCTTTCCTCCTCCATCACCTCTTTCCCAAGACCTGTTCCAGACAAGAGAACTGCAGATCTGAAGTCTTCACTCTTCCTCAGAACTCACCTGGATTAAACATGCATCCTATATATATACATACATATATAAGCATGTGCACATATATGTTTATACATATACACACTTGCACCCATATACCCATTGGGTTTCTAATATGTGGGGCAATTCTAAGTGTTTGTCCAGGCAGATGCTGTGCTTACTGCTAATGTGGGGAGGAACCACCGGGAGGGGGGATGGAAGAGGGGAAGGGAGGGCACAAGTGTCTGTGGGTGGGCCTGACACTCAGGCAAGGAAAGAATTTGGCTCATTTGCTCTATTTTTGTTGGATTAGATCATTAGATAATATATATGGCCTAAGTCTTTGAGCCAAGTAAGTGATAAAGAGGGAAATATTTTTATTTCTTAGTGTTCTCAAAATCATAAACTTTTTAACAGGAAAAGGACATCTACCTCAAACTAGGATCTTCATTCAGCGCAGCCTCTACTGCACTCTCTGAGCTAAATTTTCTCCTACAGCCCTCTTTCCTGGCCTAGAACACCTCCGGAAGCCCGGCCTGCCCTCCACCCAGCCCTGGCAGGCCCCTTGGCCTGGCCTGAGTAGGTCCAGGAGACACATACAGGCTTCGCCTGGCAACAGTTCTTCTCCATTTTAATGAGTCTCATTTGCCCATAAGATTCTCTCTCTCTCTCTCTCTCTTTTTAGTTTCTGACTCATGCCAGGCTAATTTATTTGGTTTTTTGGTTTAATGAACACCCAGGTTTTTTTAAAAACCACTTAGGACTGTTTTTCTGCCTAATTCTAAAAGCCTGGATTTTTGTCCACAATTATTCCCCACCCCTGACTGGCTCACTGCTCCCATTTTCTCTTGTAGCCTTCATCTTCCCAACACCTACAGCCCTTGTCAGTTTGCTTCCTAGTGCGCGTGCGCTCACACACACACACGCACACACATGCACACACTCAAACACATAGATACACACATGCGGATACACAAAGGAACACTGGTACACACATTTACATTGATGAGATCCTGGACAAGTGACCCTTACGATGCTGGAGGTTGAAGGTTTGATTATTTCAATTAATACAAGTAAGACAAAGGAGGGGAAGCCTTTCTGAAATCTTATGTGAAAAGTGTATTTCCTCTTCAATTCTGTCTCTTCTGCAGTTCTTTTGTTTACTTTCCTCAAAGACTTTTGCTTCAAATCAAAGGTCCTCTAAGGATTTGTTTTTCATCTAAGACTAAACTACTGGCTCCTGATTGGGTGGAATTGTGACTTATGGAGTGTGAGAAGAAAGAATTTTCAGTGGAAATTAATTTGCTTTTCTGCCTCTCCTGGGATGACCTAAATATCATAAACATTTTCAGTCTCAAGTTTTGAAATCAGCAGACTTTCACTTTCATTCATTAACCCAAGGATCCACATGTCATCCCTTTGGGGGAAGCCCAGAGAGAAAAGACGTGTGTGGGAATCACAGCTCCTCTGAGTGTCCCTGGGGAGGACAACATGCTCAGAGTCTGCCATTGCTGAAGGTGCCCAGGAGGTGCCTGCCTTCCTCCAGGAGTGTCAGGGCATGGAGTCTGCCCCCAAGGGGCTGCCCTGGGGCCGTCCCTGCCAGAGGGACCACCCATCCCTCCTCAGTGCTGCCTTGCACTGTCATTGCCCTTACTCCATGTCCCTGTGTCACGAGAACATGGTGCCCAGCTATTCCGGTGACACTCTTCATCACGAATCTCCCCATTTCACAGTAGGATATCACTGTTATTTTGATGCCATACCAGGTTTTTGTTTCAAACCCAGCTCTCGACAGACAGTTTTAGATGAACCAGAGAAAATTTGTACAGCCAGCAAAATACCTTTCTCTGGGGATGTTTTGTGCTTTGAGTACATTTAAACACAGTGAGGTAACATTCATGGACTCATAGAGACCTCGGGAGAGAAAGCAACTCCAGAGACATCCCATTCATCACCATGACGCCAGGCAGGCTTCACCTACACCACCCCAGACATAGGTAAATATCCTGTTTTCACAGGTCATCAGGAAAAGAGACTCCACAGCGCTCCTGGGTAACCCATTCCAGTGCTGACTTCCCTTCAACGATGTTGTTATATTTGTATTACAGGGAAATGTCCCCTACTCAACCGCTGTGAGCTTCAAAAACCCAAATTTGTATATTTTGAACCACATGTCACAAAGCAGCCTGATTGTCAGCACACTGTTTAGCTGGTATTGAAAATGCCATTTAAAACCATATACATCTACCCCTGGGCTTGGACCTAACTGGACAGCTCTAATTTTACAGTCAACGCCTGACCGTTCATTCCCTGAGGACTCTCTTCCTCTTGAACGTGGTCCTAATTAGATGGCGAGGTTCTGCAGGGGTGCCTTTGTCTTCCTGCTCCCAGGAATCTCAGCCATCGGGTCCCTTTCTCTAATTCGTGTTAGTAGGAGAACTGCTGTAAAAAGCAAAGAGCTATTTCACGGAGGTTGTTTGCCAGACACTCGCAAGGCTTTCTGACACTTGGTTTATTCCTTAGGTTTTTAGGAACTGCAATTCCAAGGAGTCCTTTCCCCGGCTTCCCCCCTCCGCGATGCAATGCAGGAAACCCCGGTATGCTCTCCAAGAGGTCCAGTTACATTTTGGCCTGAGATAATCCACAGAGCCTTTGCAGTTAGAAGCAAAATAGCCATCTCCCTTTCTTTCAGCTGTTTCCCTTGGCAAAGCGGAAAGTCCTAAGGCACCGGATTGGCCAGGAAAGCCCTGACCAAGAGCTGGTAGGAACCTCAGACAGGACGCAGCCCGATGAGTTGCAGTGCGCGCCGTCATTGTCTGGGACGGAGGGTCTGAAATTGACACCATATGCGCCCGGAGGAGTAATTGCTCCAAGGGGGGAGAAAAGCAACATGTCAGAACATTTTAGTAACACCTAATTCATCCTGGGGTTATAAATAAGTCTGATTTTTGCTTAAAAACAAAAGTCGAAAAAATACTTTGACTAGACTAACTTTTGTGACAGTGCTTCCGCTGAAGGTGAGCTTTATTAGGGAGACAACACAAGTAAAGAGAAACACGTAACAACTTTTTTATGGTTTATTTTATGTGATTTTATTTTTTTGCAGTAAATAAAGTGGTTATAGGGCTCCAAGGAAAAGGGCCCAGATGTTAGGGAGTTGTGTGACATTTAGGGGAAACAAGCTGTAAAATGTGGAGTCATAAAACAGGCTGTCAGTGCCACACATCTGGACAATACAGCTGTATGTTCCTAGTGCTGTCGTCACCCAAAGAAAACTCAATAACCTTATTTCACCCCAATTAGGCTGCATACCAACAGGATCAACATTAAATTGCAAGGGGGGAGGGAAGCAACATTCGCATGGCGCCTCTGTCAGTCATCTTTTATCTTTCATTCCAATTTGGTCACTCAAAAATAAATGACTGCTCACGTAGCCATCCCCATTATTATAAAACCCTGTTTAATTTATAACATACTAATAAGTCAAAGTTTGACGGTTCGGACTGTTTGCTATGCCAGACAACAGACTTTCTGTAGCGTGAACCTGACCTACCTGGTACCCTGTTACGAGCCCTGCCTACCTTTCCTCTGCCCATTTTGGAGCATTTGAGTCTAGCCCTATTGGGGGAAGCTCCCCCTGCCCTGTTGGGAAAAGAAATAAATTTTCAGACAACCCAATTTAGTTGGAGGATAAATGCCCCGCTCTATGGCATTGATGCATTTTTCCCCTAATTTTTTTGGCCAGCAATGAGGCACCTTTGCAGTAAGGCAAATATTACAACACCAAAATACCATTTCATCTTTTCATCACTGACAGCTTATGCCATAGGCTATGAAATGCCACCTTTTCTAATAATTGTGTTCCTTCACAGGTGTTAGTAGCAGCAAAACTCATTATGGGCAATGGAGAGAAACTAACCTTACCACTGATAGGGAAACTCTTGAAATTTCAACTTCTCCAGATTAAACTTAAGGACCAACAGCGACGGGAAAGTGAAAAGAAGGTACTGTACCCTGGTGGGTTTTCTAAAGACGGCAAGCAGCGAGTGAAATGGGCCAGGTTTTTCTTTCTCTCTCTCTCTCTCTCTCTCTCTCTCTCTCTCTCTCTCTCTCTCTCTCTCTCTCTCCCTCTCTCCTTTCCATTAATATTCACCCTAGGATGTTTTCCCATTGACTTTTAGAGAGAGTTGAAGGGAGGGAGAGAGACAGAGAGAGAGAAATTTCATTGTTGGTTGCCTCCCGCCTGTGCCCTGACTAGGGCAAGGATCGACCTTGCAACTGAGATATGTGCCCTTGACTAGAACCAAACCCTGGACCCTTCAGTCTATGGGCTGATGCTCTGTCCACTGAGCAAAACCAGCTAGGGCCACGTCTCCTCTCTTCACAAGCCGACCATTGTCACCTAGCACATTTAGCTGTTTATCTCAGCTTCTTAGAGAAAAGGCTACACAAGGCTCTATCGGAGAAATTATATTTCCTCAAAGGCAAACCCATTAAAAATAAGTTCCCTTATGTAGAAATATGACAGTATCCAGGGCCTGTGCCTGAAGTCATTTGTATGGCAGTCTATTTATACCTAGTGACAAAGAGGGGGACCAAAAAGAGACAGAGAACCAGGAGAAGTAAATATAAAAAACTGAAAAACCAGCGAAATTAGGGTCCTATGTAAAATTTACCACATGATACTCAACAGGAGTATCTATTAAATAATCGGCTACATCTGTACCTTCATAATAATCTGAATATTTCAGCAGCAATCCATCACTTCTGTTTCCATATTATACGTCTGATTATTTCTTCACATGTAGACTTTTCATTTAATTAGCCTTTGGAAGTCAATTTGTGTGTTTTCCAAAGATTCATCTTTTCATCTGAAAAATATTTTAAAATACTTTTAGTAAAGTGATGCCAGGTTCAAATCCATTTGCTATTATCATTACTCAAAATAAGAGATGTTTTTCTTATTTTTTAAATCATGCTGAAATATTTTGGGAAGATCAGATGCTCCTGTATGTACATATATAACATGTGCCTGTGTGTATGTTTGAAATGGATTTACATATTCGTTGTCCTTTTATGTCCCTAAAAGGAAGAGGTAAAATCAATTCATGTAAGAAGACAAAGTGACCATGTGCCAATAATACCTTCTTCACCTTGGCAAGACCCTCAAATCCAGGTCTCCTACTTGAATTGGTCTCTTGACAGGATAATTGTAGAACAAAATAATAATGCCGCCGTATATTTGTAATGTTGGGCTTTATGTTTTTCAAAGAGATTTCTCATATAGCATCTTATTAACATGGCACATATTGTCCTCAGGAAATTTCTACTCATATGAGCACAGGCGATGGTCTAGTTTTCCACCTATTGAAGCATTTTCCATCACGTACAGGAGACTTATACCTTAAATACTCAGAGACGTTGGGACTTGGCAGAAGAAAAATTGGAAAATTTGAAACTATAGAAACATCTTTTCTTGCCTTTTTAAATTCCAGTGTCACATGGGAATCTGAATTAGAAAAAATAGACTGTGAGTCCTGGAACATTCCTGCACCTTCTGTTTGCTTTGTGCTTTTTCATAGCACCTACAAATAGATCTAACAGGCTAAAGAATGTCAGTGTACTTACTTGTTTGCCACCTATTTTAAGCTAGTAATTGTTTTTAATAGGAATAGATTTTAGACTTAAGTTAACAGGTTTGAAGTAACAATAAATGGAATATCCTGAAAGCTCAAGAAATGTTTTTAAAGCTAGCCAGGAGCAATGATATAAAAATATTTCTGAACTGTTATTTTGCTCAGCATTTCTTTGAAACGTGAACTATAATAATATAGTTAAAAATTCTGAAGATATGGAGATAATCTTTATTTGTTGAAAAGTCAAGAGTCCTAAGGAATTTGGGGCTTGAATTTTAGATTTATTTACATATTATATATAAGTAATAGATGCTTAAGAGAACTCTGAGCAATTAAGAGCCAACAATTACACAATCTGATTTGATGTCTTCATTAGATCGGGTTCCCAAAATACCAGCCCCAAATCCTCGTGTTGCAACCATATGAGTAAGTGATGAAACCTGATTGGAATGGAATACTTTCCTTTACTCTTGGTAAAGGCAAGATTAAGGGTTTTTTTGAGGGATGATATAATCTACGTTCATTTCAGCAATACTGCCCAACAGGTCAGTCGGGACAATTGAGATTAATGTTTGTCAGCCAGGGAGTTTGGCAGAAAGCAAAATAAATATAAAGTATGTAAAACTGACACCATGCTGTGGATTAGAAATTGAAAAACAGAAAAGAGGGCTTTACCCAATTTTCTTCTCTTTCCTAAACCCAGGGTAAGATTCTGAAATTCCTACAGAGGAGTGTGTGTCTCTTCAGGTTTTTAACTTCAATGTGAAATCTATGTAGATGTTTTCTTTCAAATGCTAATTATATTTCTTACATCTGTACATTTTCTGAAAAATTTTTAAATGAAGGTTTAAAGTATCTCCAGAACAATAATTATAGAAAATATTAGGGGAAAGCTGTGGACAAAATTTAATAAAATTCAGATCCTGTTCTTTTCCCTGAAAGAAACAAATATAATGTATCACTATATATTTGATCCTGTTTTATTAAATCTTTTCCTAAAAGTAAATGGTAAATAATATAGTTTCAATTGCCAGGTACAGTAAAAACTAATTTTTTAGATTCCACTAATTTTAATAATTTATAACACTTTAGTCTGGGCTCTGCTTAACATCTCATTGGCTTTGACCATGAAGGAAATTTGCTGGCTAATGAGTAGTATAAAAAAATAATAGAAGAGAAGATAGTTCTTAGAAGTAGAAGAACAGTTTTGAAGCCTTTAGCACATGAATTTCTGGGAGGCAATCCTTGCCTCTAACTGCAAATAAGTTGAATATATTTGAAAACTTTATCTATTTAGAAATAAACTTATTGATTACTTCTCTATGAATACCATGAAGGAAATATATATACTGTATTTCTTTAAATATATTTTAGCATTTCAGAACTTCTGAATATGACTCTTTTACAATTAATCTCAAACTATGTTTTATTGTATCTTAAAATGTGAATAAGTATGTTTTGCTTAGAAATAAATTTTCCCATCACATCATTATCTCAGCATTTATTTTGCATTTTTAGTTCTTATCAATCTGTTGTTAATTAACACACATTTATTGAAACAAATATTTAGAAAACATTGTAGTGGGAATATATATATTTTCATAATGTTCTTTATAATTTTAAAATAAATTACTTGGTTTCCATTCTGAAACCTGTTTTCATTTAGCCATTATCTGAATATGATAGCATCATTAACAATTTTACTTCTTTTTAATTCTAACTTTTCTGTTATATATTAATTATAAACATTTATTTAAAACTAAAATACTTCATTGTGATTCAAACTATATTAAGAATTTAACCAACAGAAAATATTTAATCATCAAAAAATACATAAAAAATGGCTATAATACAAAAAATTAACAATTTAATTAGTCAAACTAAATCTAGTTTTCTGTGCTTTGGAGTTGAGTCAAGTTCAGAATATTTGAATAGAGTTTTGGAAAAAAAGCAAATATATTCTAGTTGTGCTTTTAATTTGTGTATTCAAATAACCAGTCCATATTTTCTTGGATATTTTTAGCATCTTTTTATATAAAAGCAGAACAGTTCTTTCTGGCTTATATACTTAGTACAAGTTGCCTTATTTCCCAATGTACTAGGATGAAGAGAAAATATATATACATGAAAGAACTATGGAGAGAGAGTATTGGTAAACTTTTCTTAAGACAACTCAAGATTAAAAGCATGTGAATTTGATAAGATGTGACGATAAAGCCTCAGACAGCCCCAGTCTGCTCATAACAGCGACAGAGAAATGGGTCACTTTCACACACATTTTCCAGCTTGCTCCAGCTGAAACCCTGAAGCACTGGAAACCAGCCAATGTAATGCCATTGTGTGTGTGTGTGTGTGTGTGTGTGTGTGTGTGTGTGTGTGTGTTTGCTTTAAAAGAAAGACCATAGGGACATACCAGGAAATTATAGGCTGGTTAGTTTTGATTTAGTTGTGGTTAAAATATTCAGAAACTATTTCAAGAAATCAAACAGAGGAAGAGCAGGAACTTGGTTTAGAGGGACTCTGCGGATTTAGGGAAGGCGTAACTTGCCTCACTGGCTCGGTGGAATTCTTTAAGGCTGGTTATTGAAATGGGGATACTACCATCAAAACTGGGATCTAAAAAGCTGCAAAATCCAACAATTCATGACAAATGACTCACTGGCTGGCAATTCTGTAAAATAAAAGTGCTTTGCAAATTGGGATCCTTTAATTAATAAAAAACATTTTATAGACTTCATGAAAAATGTGCAGAAACACATATTTAAAATTGAGCAGTATTTTAAAATACAAATAGCTACAATTACAAAAGCTAATAATAATTAGCTACCATTATTGACTGTTCGGCACTATACTAAGTTCTTCACACAAGCTATATAATTTAATTTCTTAAACGACTATGAAGTACAGAGTAGTATTCCCAGTTTGCAGATGGGGAAACTGAGGTGTGAAAAGTTAGGTAACTTTCCCAAGGCTGAATAGCTGCTCAGAGGTGGAGCTGGAATTCAGATCCAAAACTGTCAAACTCTAAAGACCATGCTCTTACCACTCTACATACCCCTCCCCAGTGTGTCTCGATATTAATGCAGAGTGGTTGTCTTGGCTCAAAACCAGTAGAGTGCCTGCCAGAGATATTTCCCTGTGACAGCAAAGGCTCTATTCAGTGATCTGCCAACAGCCAGCTGGTTGCACTAATTGCATGCATACAGCATCCCAAGGTTAAGTGCAGAGACAGGTCATGGAAAGTAACTAAGCTCAGCAAAGATAAAGACCACTGAGCTAACTGACCACCAATTCCAAGGGAATCCTGACTTCATTTCCAGTCCTGTCCCCACCCAGAAATGACCTGGTCTCTGTGGGAATCTCTTAGAACTAGACTTTCTGAATTATTCTAAACATTCTTGCCCCTTCTCTCTACCCTTCTGGATATTGAGGTAAAACAGTGATGTTCAACTGGTGTGCCACAAGAATGTTTAAAACATGCAATACCTAACTGCTTAGTCAGGGGCACTGACCTCCTTTCCCTTAGATTGTCACATAAAATAATGACAATAGCCAACATGACAATAGCTGTCTGGTGTGAATGAATCAAAATAATTTTTTGGTCAGATTGGGAAAAAAAATATTTTTTGATGTGCCACAGAATTTTGGTAATTATTTTATGTGTGCCATGAGATGAAAAAGGTTGAAAATTGCTGAGGGATAATAACATTGGCTGATCTTGTTGCTAAAGCCTCTGAATCTCATAGAGTCCTCCAGGAGACAGACATTAGACAGCAGACCCACCACCTCACCACCACTACTGCAGGCTCCTAACTCAGTCCCATCCATTATATTTTCTGTTTGTCAGGAAAGTGAGGAGGAGAGCAGAGGGCAAAGAGTAAATATAAAATAGAGAAACGGAAAAACGAAATGTTCATAATGCCATAACCAATCAACAACTTGGTATAGTCTTTTGTCCTTTCTGTGGATTAGTTTCTTTATATAGCAGCAATCATTGTAAAAAGAAATTATTCAGCTTTTTAAAAATTAATATATTTTTTACTCCTTACCACACAGCATTCATATGTATTAATTTACTGGTTGTATAATATTCTATGGACTACCATAATTTTCTTAATTATTCCTCTATTGTTGAGCATTTCAATTATTTACATATTTTTTCAAAAAAAAACAATGTTTTGATGAACAACTTTATAGTATAGAATTCTTGATTTTTTAAAATAATTTCCTTAGAATAGGTTTATAGCAATTGATTAATTGAGCCCCTAAACGTCCCCATAACCTTGTGTATCCAAAACAGGTTCTAGATCCATTTAGACCCTGTTCTCCATTTTTTTTAAAAAATAGTCCTCTGGTCAAATGAACTTGGAAATCACTGTGTTAAGTTTTGGAGATTTCATAGCACATTAGCTTATGGGCAGTTTCAGGAAAATAAGTCTGTTTAGTCTGTCTTTCAAACTTACTTGACACCATACATTTCTTTCAGCCCATCTCTTGTCCTCTCACCTATGACTAGTAGAATAGATTGTTTATGAAGTAGAGTGATATCTTGACAGAGAATCAGAGTAGCATTCAGGACACAGAGCCAGTTTCTCATAAGCCACATAATGATGGAATGGCTTAGTCACATAACCTCCATGAGTATGGTCTTTACCTACGTCCTTAATAATATTTGGTGGGAATCTTATGATAGAACATATAAAACACACACACACAAAATTATATACAAATATGAAGAAGCACTATTCACCAAAATAATAAGATGAAGTTGAGTGATGTACCAATAGTTCCACTGAATTTTACCTTCCATTCATTGTGAGGAATAACAGAACAAATACATCAAGGAGTCATTTAGAATAAAATACAACCTAAAATATTTGAAGTATCAAATAACTACGCTGCCATGTTTCAGACAGGGAGAATTTGTATATTTCCCTTTAAAAAGTGAGACTAACAAGATTAAGAATTTTTAAATAGGTGTCACTTGATACTCAACTGAGTACATCAAATGTTCATACTATTTTTGGTTGTTGCTAAGACAAGAACTCACCATCTGCTATGTAGCTTAACTGGTTAAGAAATCCCTGTGCCTATCCAAGGCCTTCTCACAGTAGGAGGCACCAGATGCTTTTTGTACACGTCGCATTTTAAATAAAATGTACTTTGTAATGAACTTGAGTCTCCCTTCATATGCTGAGGAACAGGTATTCCCTAAACATGGTGGAAAGAGGGTCCTTTTGGATACACCCTCCGATATTTTTGTCTTGAATTGGCAAGAGTTTGCCTCTGAGTTCTTCAAGTTGTGAGCAGATCACCGTAGAATAAATAGGAGTATGCATGCTATGTTAGCCAGCAGTGAAGAGGGTCAAAGAAGAAGGGTAAACAAATAGTAGCATATGATTTAGGAGGGGCCAATTTTCTGAATACTCTGCTATTTAGGCTCACTTTGCCCTAACCTGCCCCTAAATTGCAAAGCATAAGCTCATATGTCCTGGAGGGGCTTATTCAGAATGAGAGAGAGCTGAGGAAAAGGAGAGGAGATGGGAGGTGACCTTTGTGTGCTCAGAGCTTGGTAATAAAAGGATGCTTTACCTCTGGACCAAAGTAGAATTCTAGAGGTTAACAGTTGATCATTGTCCAGAACCCGAGGGTCAAGGGGACTGTCCTGGTTCAGTTCTCAAGTATGGGGGGCGAGAGGAGTAAGGAACAAGAGTAGGAAGACCGCCCCTGGAGTCAGCCCTGGGGGAGAAAAAGGGACTGGGTAGGGCAAAGAACATGCTCTGAAACCTCCCAAGGGCTTCTCTGCCTGGACCTGGCTCCTGGGAAGACAAGGTGCCTCCCTTTGCTTCTGTTTCTACCATACAGTGTCTGCACCGGGCCTTCTCACAGCAGAACGATCCAGATGCTACCATGCAGTGTAGATATAACTGCTGTACCTGGGAAATTCTTTACAGAGTGAAATCCTGCCAACTGAAGATGCATCATTGTTAATGGAAAACACAGAACACTGAATTGTATAGAGAAAACAGTAACGATTATATAAAAATGACGCATAAACATAATTTAAAGAATGCATTAAATAGCATCTTCCTCTCATTTTCTCTGGATGATGGAATTATGGTGATTTTTGTAAATTCTGTATATCTTTCCCAAATTTTCAGGAATGATATTTTTTATAATTTAAAAAAGTTATTTAAAGAAGTGAATCAACATTTGTAGATATTTTAAAATACTTTTGTGAAGGAGGGGGGTAAATATTGAGACAGTCTCCTAGCACCCACCCCTCCGCTCCTCGTGCATAGATGTGCCTCATCACCACTTAAACTCAGCCAGATCTCCACTATCCTGGCCTGAAGATTGAATAGATGAGTAGACAGTGATTAACTGAAATAAACTGAGTCCACCTGACAGTAGAAAAACCATTGCTTGCTCACTGTATGATTTGGAAGAAAAAATGTTCTCTCTTTTCAGGCCACAGAAGACAGATTTAAGGTAGAAAAGGATGAAGGGAAAGCGAAAACTCCCAAGGAAAAGAAGGCCGCAGAAGCCAAAGCTGCCAAAGGAAAGGGGAAGGACCAGCCTGAGGCGAGCACAATAGTGAAAAAGACCACCCAGTTAAAACGGAGGGGAGAGGAAGATGGGATCAAAGTTTACATCGGTCAGTAAGCTGCTCCTCGTGTTGGTTGCCTTTCACTTCTTGCCTTATCACCTACTGAGAGCAATTCCCCAGCCTTTTCACTGTTTATAAAACCATAAATCATATACTACCCATCACCCCCTCGTAGAAAAATAGTTCTATTTGCAATTCATGTATGTTTTCAGCAAATATTTATTTAGCACCTGTCTTGCTATGGGCACATTTACATAATACACATAAAGGATGAAATAATGAGTGAGCTGTTGTGGCACTGGGGAGCTTACTATCTTGTTAGGAACGTTTTTTAAAAGGCAGACATAATTATAAAGCAAAGTAAAAAGTGGTTATTGTCATGAGTGAAATACAGTGGTAAAAAAATTAGACATTAATGTGGGACTCGGAGCTTCCTGGCCTCAACTTCTCCAACTATCAGTGTATCTTAGAGAAACTTGAAGTTTCTTCCTTTTTAGATTGTTGGTATAGAAATGATTTCAATTAGATAGCTATGAGCAATTCATTGCCACCTTCCCATGAGTCCAATGGAGCTACCTGTTGTTATTTGCATAGCATGTAAATGAGATGGCAGGCCTTCCCATCCCTCACCCCATGTCTATCTCTGCTCAAAATGCATTAACTAGGCTTAGAAGCACTGACATGGATTCCATGGGCAATATCAATGCTGACTTGTTTAGTGATAAAATAAAAATCATTACCTGAGAATTAAAAGTGTGTGCACCTATTGCTCTATTTTAAAATTGATCTTAGTGGGATATAAGGTTTTCAGTTACCATCCACTCTCAATAGCTGCTAGCTGCTGCCTAACCCACACTCAGCATTCACACCTATTGACATAAATACCCGGAATACTTTGGTAGGGGGCATGTCCATATTCAATATTTCCCTCTCCTGTAAACACCTCTCCTTATAAAATACCACAAAGCTGCAGCTACTCGTAATTCAGGAGTAAATCCAGATGTTGCTCAAAAGAGATTAGAAACAAAAAAAAATCACAGCCTAAACTTTGGTGTTTTTTTTAAACAAAATCCTAAGCACACATTTTCCATGACCACAGGCCCTGTGTGTTTGTCCTCCTATTACACCTATGTCTCATTTGCAAAAGTGATTTAATATTTTGTAAAATGGCTTCAGCCTTCTTACTGGAAGGGCAGTAATGAGAACCAGTTAGGACTGCATTCCAGCCAGCTGGACTGATTTTGGCAAGCCAGGGGATTGTAAACGCATACATAATGTACACAGCCATGGAACTGGCTGAGTGCAACCTGTTCTTTTAAAGTGACACCTCCTTTTCTTTCTGGTATTGTGGACAGATGACGAGCCAGATGATGGTGCCCAACATTACATTATAGTTGTGGGCTTCAACAATCCTCAGCTATTAGCGATCATGACTGAACTCGGCGTTCCCATAAGCAGCGTGATAAAAATATCTTCGGAGAATTACGAACCTCTGCAGGCACACCTGGCAGCAGTTAGCCAGCAGCAGGAAGTTGTTCTTCAGCCAGAAGGTATGCAGCCTGCTCCACAACTTACTGGGTCCTTCAATATTCCCCGCTGTCCTTAAAGTACAAATGCACGTTTCTGTCCAAAACATAGTCATACCTTACATACGTTCTGAAATCCTTTCAAGACTTGGATTCAATGTTTATTCTGCTTGCACTAGCCAGGTGTTGTAAATTTTGCAAATTAAAATCATCTTCTGTGTTTATATCGCTACACAGCCACAGAGAACATAGATGGCAGGTCAAAAGACTTGGTTATCCAACTACATTTCTCTGGCACATTTGATCTATAACTTTTACCTAGAGCATGGGGTGGGTAGATCTGCTGTAGAGAATCCATTCTTCCAGAAGCCACAGTCACCAAGTGGCCCAAGGGAGATCATGGCCTTGGATGCTTGCTGTGCTTTGCTCCTGACTTATTGTGATTACGCAGAAGGGGCACCTTATATTCCGAGCGTTAAAGTAGTGAGTTATGGGATGAAGCCCTCACCACACTACCATTCAGTCATTGGAGCCTGGAGCTCTTCATCTAAGGCAGTGGTTCTCAACCTTCTGGCCCTTTAAATATAGTTCCTCATATTGTGACCCAACCATAAAATTATTCTCGTTGCTACTTAACAACTGTAATGTTGCTACTGTTATGAATTGTAATGTAAATATCTAATATGCAGGATGGTCTTAGGTGACCCCTGTGAAAGGGTCATTCGACCGCCAAAAGGATCGCGACCCACAGGTTGAGAACCGCTGACTAAGGGCTTTGTGCCTGACCACCTCTGTGGGAAGGAACAAAATGCTGCTGCATCCATTAGACGATAGAACTGGGATTTGGTATATAAGCCCATGTGACCCAGAAGTCCAAGCTCATTCTGCCATCTACTGTTACTTTTATTGTTATTTATTAATAATACCATTTGCATGATGTTTTGTAACTTACGCAGCTACATCCCCTTTTCTATAACACTACATTTTAAAAATTCCTGTTCCAAGTAAGAAATTGCTGCCACTGATGATGATAATAGCTATCATTTATTTGATACATGTAATGATTCATATAGTTTTCAGAAATGTGCTTCATTTCCATTTTCCCAATAAGGACTCTTTGCCTAGAGGCAGCTATTAAGTAAGAGTAGAGATTCAAACCTAGATACTTCTATTTCAAAGATATTTGTAACATTAAATAATTCATTCTTGGAGCCAGTGGTGGTGGTGGTGGTGGTGGTGGTGGTGTGTGTGTATGTGTGTGTGTGTGTGTGTAGGGGTGTGTGTGTATGTGTGTGTGTGTGTAGGGGGGAGGGGAGGAATGCTGCATAAACTTCATAGTCTCTCTATACAAATTATTTAATTTATAAAAATAAATAATAGAAAAATATTCTTTAAGTAGACTAATGAGATATTGGTAGTAGAGCCTATTTTAGCTATAGATATAATAAACATAAGTATTTTAAATTTTCAAGTGTAACTATGTGGAAAACTATCATTATTTTATAGTCAGAGCACAAATGCCCAGAGAAGCCAGTATTTATGTTAATATGACCAAGAGTTAAGTGAGGCATAAATTGGTGAGCCAGTTTGTTTTTAGCCATTTGGGAAAGAAGAACCAAATTATTTGCATTTGTAACTAGTTATGCAGCAAATAAACACTAACTTGGTCAGAAAGTCGTTGAACAGTAAAACTGCTCCTATACAAATGCAATGTGAAGTGATAAAAATATTGAACATATTAGCTCCAAAATATGTAACCATATCATAATCTTTCAGGGCCTCAACTGTAAGATGAATGGGATAGGACAAGCTCATATTTAACACCAATTTCGGAAGTAAAATCCTCTGATTTCATAATCATATAGTCCAGGTCCAAAGTCTTCTCAAAATTGCATTTCTTTTTTTGCATTTTCTGGAACTGTATAAGACATCTTGCATTGCATATGACGTGCCATGTCCACTTATAGTGGGAAGAAATTCAACACTCTCATTTTGTAGTATAAACATGTTGCTATTATTAGCTATAGAAGCTGAAAAATTGAAGAAAGAGAATACCATAAAAGAACTTGACATTTTCTGGAAGTACTTGGAACCGATCCTGAATAATGAGAAGCCTGAAACAAATCTCTTTGATGTTGCTCGATTTAAATACACAGTCAAGGCGGATGACTTTCCTTCCGACTGGTCGGACAGCCAGATGATGGTGAGTACCCGCAATAAATAGAGTGAGTGCTGTGCACATGGACACTGTGCTTCCATTTACCCATTCCTTCCTTCCACAGATATTTATTGATCATAGACTATAGGTAAGGTTTTGTCCTTTATCTTCAAGACAATGAGAGCATTGAATGCCCAGTAATGGTTATAGACTGAATCTATAGCTTTCAGTGTATGAATTAGTGACAAAGAATAAGAGGTAGATGAAGAGCCTTGGCCGAGTAAGCTCAGTTGGTTAGAGCACTGTCTCAATACACCAAGATGGGGGGCTCAATCCTGCAGGGTGATGTATTTCAGCTGAACTGAAAGCACATTCTTGGGAGGGACCACATGAAGTGAGTGCTCTGAAGGAAGCTGGGCAAAGCAGGGTAGGGGCGGTAGATGAGTGTCTGTGGTCAGGGACGTGGATAGCTGCCAAGAAAAAACACACACCAAAAAACCTGAGGAGAGTGGGATCACAGCCTAGAACAGTTTCTGAGCCAAAGGGTAGGTGTCCATGGCCATGGGTTGGAGCATGAACATTTCTCGTTAGGAGAGTCCCTGATTCTTTTTTCTTGAGATGGGTGTGCACTTGGTGAATGAAGTAAGTGATAACACTGAGGAGGGAGGCCCAGATTTGAATCTCCAAGGATGGACAGGACTTGAATAAGTAGCAATGGTAGATCAATTTGAGTTATAAAGACTGCCAACAAAAGGCATTAGCTGTCACTGTGTAGAAACAGAACACTTAGGTCTGATAACTTGCTAATAGTAAGAATATATATTTGCTTTGTCCTAGACTTGGAAAATGAAGCTGAATGTAGAAAAGCTGTAGCTGAAGACAGAGCTTGTTCTAGGCAAAATTGGTTATGTCAAAGTTATGGGTTCCATCTTTGATCAGGGCACATACAAGAATCAACCAATGAATGCAAAAATAAGTGGGACAACAAATTGATCTCTCTCTCTTTCTCCCTGCCTCTCTCTAAAAATTAATTTAATTTAATTTTTTTTAAAAAAACTCAGCTACTTCTAGTAGAAGTAGACTAGATACATGGTATAGATACATGGTGTCACACTCTCAGCTCTGTCTTTAAGTTGCTAATGGCCTCATATCCAAGGCAGGAGTCAGACAAAGAGCCTTCTTCCTCTGTGGAGGAAGGAAAGCATTAGTACCTTTGGCTGCAAACAGGCAGGCTGTATTTCTGCTCAACCAAGGTAATGAAAGCTTTACATCAAATAAATGCCCATCAAGAAGTGCTAACTTGCTCGTGTAAGACATCTGTAACATCTCAAGTTAAGACCTTGGTTGCTGAAATAATTTTCTGGCTTTTAGCATATGATTTGCTGTTTGATTTAAAAATAAATTAACTAGTTAGACTAAGGGGTCACTGGGCAGAACTTTTACTATATTTCTTTAAAATACAAACAAACAAAAACATTTTTTGATGCCAGGCTTTGGGTAAATACCAGGTTGAAGCTTAACTGAAGAATGCACAGAATGAGAGTAGACACCTGAAGACCAGACTGACAGGTGTGCTGTGAAGATGGGCCGAGCTAGACACTGCCCTGACTCCTGCCAGACTGTGGTCACGGGCCCCACAAGAAGCTATCTCACCCTACCTACCTCTTCAGCTCAGACATAGGATGAATCCTCCCTTGCTTTCAAGCAGACAGACCTAGTGATAGCAGTGCCTTTCTACATCTGGAAATGAAAGCCCAAGTGATAGAAGCATCTGATTTATAACTGACCTGCCAGATCATAAAATTTGTGGGTATTAGAGGAGCGGTGGTCTGTCAGGATTTCTTCGTTTTTTTTTCCCCTTAAGGTAGCACAGGTGAAAGAAAAGGGGAGGCAAGGAGGAAAGGAAGAAATATTGACTGCACACACTGCAGTGTACTTGCACGGATGATGTCAAAGCTGAGCAATGCTTCCTATGTGCCTCTTGCATAGACCAGCAAGAAACCATGCACAGCTTATCTTGGGCTGAGGAAGTAGAAATTACCTATCTGATGTGCTGTTTTAGGAACTGAGGTACTGAGAAAATAAGCCACACTGCTGAAACGAATGAATAGGGTGCTTTTCACTCAGTTCAAGCATTAATTCGGCTCTTAACAATATTAGGTAGCCATAAGGCCTTCCAAAAGGAAGTGAACAAGAACAGTTCAACAAAGGAAGACTCAGGTGCCATGGCTGGGGTTCGGTGGTTGGGGAAGTGCTTTCCTATAAAAAGTGATAGGTTTGACGATGAGATATCACCTCACACCTGTCAGAATGGCTGTCATCATAAATCAACAAATAAGTGCTGGAGAAGGTGTAGAGAAAAGGGAACCCTTATGAACTGTTGGTGGGAATGCAAATTGGTGCAGCCACTGTGGAAAACAGTGTGGAAGGTCCTCCAAAAATTAAAAATGGAACTGCTTTACGGCCCAGCAATTGCACTTCTGGGCATATATCTGAAGAAAACCAAACACTAATTTGAAAGAATGTATGCACCCTTGTGTTCATTGCAGTGTTATTCACAACAGCCAAGATCTGGAAACAGCCCAAGTGCCCATCAGTAGATGAGTGTTACATTTACATAATGAAATGCTACTCAGCCATAAAAGAAGAATGAAATCTTACCATTTGCAACAGCATGAATAGACCTAGAGGGCATTATGTTAAGTGATGTAAGTCAGTCAGAGAAAGACAAATACCATATGATTTCACTTATATGTGGAAACTAAAGAACAATATAAATAAATAAATAAATAAATAAATAAACAAACAAACAAACAAACCAAACAGAAACAGACTCATAGATACAGAGAACAGACTGATGATTACCAGAGGGGTGTGGGCTGAGGTCAGGGTGGAAAAGGTGAAGGGGTTGAGAAATGTAAATTGGTAGTCACAAAACAGTCATGGGATGTGCTGCATAGGGAATGTAGTCAACAGTATTGTATAACTATGTACAGTGTCAGGTGGGTACTGGAAATATGGGGTAGAACACTTTATAAAGTATATGATTGTCTAACCACTATACTATACACCTGAAACTAGTACAAAATAATATTGAATGTAAACTGTAATTGAAAAAGAAAAAAACATTTTTAAGTTAGGTTTAGCTGTTAAGGTAGATACACACCATACGTCTGATTCCAACAATATGAAATGAGTAACTGATTTTCACCAATTCTGTCACCTATAGCTGGAATTGGGCACGATCATTTTTGAGAGCATTGCCTGTTTGATGTACGACACCCTGGACTGGAAAAGGCAGCATCAGCACTATTTGGAGAGCATGCAGCTGATTAAGGTCCCACACGTGGTTAGTGAGAAACCTATCTTAGAAGCCACGCTAACTTCTGAGGTAGGCACGTGCTCAAGTGTCTTTTCATGAATGGAATGATTAACTGAACAACTTAATTTTCACTTTTATAAAACATATGAAGAAAACATCATATAAATACTTGTAGCAAGGTCATACTGCCTGTTGGGATTTAATAGGTGAGGATAGGAACAAGGGAAGACCCCTCAGGGACAGTCTGAAAGGGTACCTATGTGGTGGGGGCCTTACAAGCTCCCCAGCTCCCTGCCACATGCAGATGCCCCACCATTCCCAGCCCATTGTGCAGTAAGTGGTCTGGAACAAGGAGAGCTGGCAGTCAGTTAATGATGATATCTGCTTAGCACCTATAATGTGCTAATGCTGTGCAAGGTCTGACAGTGCAACAATGAGCAAGACTCCTCCCCTGTCCTCCTGTGGAGGTTAACTTTTAAAGAGGACAGCAGTCAAGTCAAGAGCAGTTTCAGCACAGTCAGCTCAGAAGGAGAAGCCGTAAAACATGGCACCTACCCTGGTCTGGAGGAGTAGGAAAGAGAGAGGAGGCAGGAAAACCTTACCAGGCGGGTCAGTGAGGTGGTGAAGGCTGAGTAGAAGGTGCCTAAGGCAAAGCCAGATGAGGGAAAGGGACAGACTGGCCTTCTCAAGAAAGGGGCAGAGAGGTATGAAGACATGGAGGTCAAAGAAAAGAATTATTATGGCACAAAACAGGACCACGGTGTAGGTCAGTGCCCTCAGGCCATATGGGCAGAGTGACGAACAATAGCATGAACTAAAGCTGGATAGGAGCCAGGATGCCCACTGGTGCTGAGTTAAAGAGTCTGAGTCTCCTCCTAAAGGTGATGGGGACCATGGAAGGGTTCTGAGAGGGAGAATGGCATGATTCGGAGTCACCCAGGGAGGAAAAGCTTTTTGACTCTCAGTGCCCCTTCTCCCCATCACATTCCTGGCTAGTGAGCTCTGTTAGGAAAAATGGGAAAGTGTCTGTACCCACTAACTTCTTCCTTTGTTTGAGCCTAATATCAGCAAATGATTTTGTGGTGGGAACATAATCATACAATCTCAGATCCTGTCAGATCCCATCAGACCCGCATTTGACGAAAGCATCTCCCAGCTGGACATCTCAGTTGTTTCTTTATAATTCTTCTTTTAGGCTCCACAACCTGTTGCCCCAACCCCTGGGAAGAAGAAAGCACAAAATGAAGAATTACAAGCTCTACCATCAGCACGTATGAGGCCTGTTGTTGGAGGCTCTAGGCCAGCGGTTCTCAACCTGTGGGTCGCAACCCCTTTGGGGATCGAACGACCCTTTCACAGGGGTCGCCTAAGACCATTGGAAAACACATATATAATTACATATTGTTTTTGTGATTAATCACTATGCTGTAATTATGTTCAATTTGTAACAATGAAATTGAGGGTCACCACAACATGAGGAACTGTATTAAAGGGTCGAGGCATTGGGAAGGTTGAGAACCACTGCTCTAGGCCATGAGCTGGGGCTTTGGAATAGTGACTGTCCACTGTACTACTTCTAGTTATCCCTTCCCCTGCAGATCCTCTATCTGATAGTGCAGGGTCATAGTCTGAATCGGTGGATGAGATTTTGCTGGAAGACCTGGAGAGTGCAACTTGATTGAGCAATAACATTTTGTCTATTTTACAGTGGCTTCTGTCATCACAACGGAAGTAGACATGAGATATTACAATGATTTGTTGAATCCAATTCCGGAAGAATTCATTTCTGTGCCCCTGATACTGCACTGTATGCTGGAACAGGTAGGTGAATAATCAACCTGTTCAGTCATTGCCTCTCTCCTTGCTTCCATTTTTTAAAAATGATTTTAAAATTACATACATAATACCTGAATGCATTTTCCTATACAAAGATTAGAACATTTTAGATAAAACTAAAGTTTGCTTTGATCTTCAATCCCCTTTCTTTTGCTATGCTCTGGAATTGTTTCTATAGCATTCCTTCAAGTTTAGTAAACCTGTCCTTAAAACTATATCTTTTGTCATTTTAATGAAAGAGAAAAAGGAGTTGGATAGGTGGATAAGGTGTTTAATGGTCTTTAGCTATCTTTAACATTTCTTTTATACTTGTAGATTTAATCAGAGTTTTCTATTTCCGAGGCCAACTTCAGACATTTGTATTTTTTTTAGAAATATGTCAATCTTATTTGTGTTTTGCATATCATACAAAGTTCTTTATTCACTTATATGCATTTTTAAATTTCCTTCATATCTGGTTATATTCATTTTCTATCACTGATCTTATGTATTTGTGCCCTCTCTTTTATTGATCATGGATGTCAATGATATATCTATTTGTATTTGTCTTTTCAAAGAACCAGCATTTGGTTTCATTGATCAACTCCTTTTTACTTTTTTTTTTTTCACTTATCGTAATTATGTCCTTCTGCTTTCTTGGGTTTATTTTGTATTTCATTTTAATTGAAAGCTTATTCTATTTATTTTTACTCTCCTTTACTTCACACAAGTCTACACGTTTCCATCTGAGTATTTCTTTGGCTACATCCTGATGTTTTCAATTCTAAAGATTTTTCTTTTTTTTTTTGACACTATTTGTTATGGTTAGTAAACATGATATGCATGTTTAAAATATTTTTTAATTATCTGGACTTTTTGAGTGATTTGGTGTACATGGTCACTGGTGAATTTTTAATATGTATTTGAGAAGAGTTTTTTATTAACTCATTTAATCCTTCAAAAAACCCTATGAAACAGGAACTATTTTTATTTCTTACTTTACAGATAAGAAAACTGAGGCATGAAAAGGTTAAGTAACTTGTCCAAATAGTAAGTGGCAGAAACTGCTTACTACTTAAAACCAGTCCATCTGAGTGGAAAAGTAGGCATGCAATCTTTTAAGACCTCACTTTCTCCTTATGCAGGAGACTCTTGCCCTTTACTGACCTCACCATCCATCTGTAACTTTTCTATCTTAAAGAAAGAATGAGGACTTGACCTGAACCCCAGTTCCTCCAAGTCAGTAGCCTTGGGCCTGAGCCAGTCACCTAACTTCAGTCCCCCCTGGCTTCTTTCTCTGTAATGGAAAATAATATCTAGTCCACCCAGAGCATTATTGTGAGGCTTAGATGAGATAATGTACATGAAGGTGGACCACATAGTGCTAGGCATTTGGTTGGCACTCAATAAATATTTATTAAATCTGAAGGCACTCAATAAATATTTATTACTCTTTTGCTTTAAGAGAAAGAGTAAATCATTATGAAAAAAATTATACTGTTATTTTGATTTCTATCATAGAAAATTTTCTTGTTTACCATTTGTATTTTGTTATCTATTCTAATACATATATTAAAGTTATATTTTTTTTTAGTCAGTGGTAATTATACTGCCACTTTGTCTAAGTACTGTATTTTATTTGTGGAAACTGCCTGGTTTTTACTAAGAGCAATAGAAATACATGAATATCATAAAGAGCTGACCATTAAACCAATTCCTCCCAATTCTTTATCATAACAGGTTGTGGCAACGGAAAAAGACCTCATCCCACCGAGTCTGGTGGAGCTGCCGCCCAGAGCCGATGGGCTGGATCAGAGAATCGCAGCTCACATTGTGTCCATCCTGCCCTCTCTCTGCCTCACCGAGAATGAGAAAAAGGTCAGATGGCCTGAGAGAGCCAAGTGCTTATATGCTTTGAAAAAGTATAAATCCTCTCTTTAAATCAGTATTATTTCCATTTGAATAGAATCTCCATAAGATATTTTTTCCTCAAGAAGAAAGTGAAAGCAAAGCAGCGCCCAGAGGCCCTTTGCTGCTGAATTACCATGATGTGCACGCCCACAAGAAGTATGCACTGAAGGTACTAATAACCCACCTACCCTGAGGATGATTGCCTCAGGAAAGCCCGTTTGTAATTACTCAGTTAAAGAAATCTTAATCTGATAGCCTTGCCAATGCCAATTACACATAATACACAAAATAAATATCTGTTTGCAAAGTGAGAGCTCAGAAAACGGAAATGGATAAGGGAGAAATGATGTCAGCAAAGAAAGCTTGCCTAATTATAGTGGTCCAATTAATCATTACATTGATTATGGCTACACCAAATTTGCATTAAAACTTTATAGTTATTTGCTTTAAATATCTGCTAATATGAAAAACTAGTAGAGGCCAGAAAAGACTCTCAGAAGGGAGAGAGGAGTACATATGAGACTTTGGCAGTTTGTCACTGTGAATGAAGAAGCTGTCATTTCTATGTACCAGGAACCTCTGGCAAAGTGAGAACTAGCTTTTGTGACCCTCAGCAAAATACCAATAGTTTGTCTTCCCCAGTTACCAGTGATTTCCCCTGTTCCCAAATAATGAGAGGGAAGGTATTATGTTTTGCCTTCTCCATATGCATGAGTCACTTGGCAGCTGCTTTAATGTCTTCTGTTGTGCTGCTCTTTTTCATCAGGACCAAAAGAATTTTGACCCAATTCAAATTGAGCAAGAGATGCAGTCCAAGTTGCCACTATGGGAATTTCTTGAGTTCCCTCTGCCCCCACCATGGAATAGCACAAAACGTCTAGCTACAATCCATGAGCTCATGCACTTTTGTACAAATGGTGAGTATACTGCTCTATCTTAGCTTAAACTCATTCACTTACGGTCTTGTGTGCCTCTTTAGATTACACCCTAAAGTATTTTGATTGTTGAAAGACCTTTCAGAGGCTGAGGGTGGGTATTTTGATTGACTACAATTTTCTTATCCTGAATAATGTTGTTAGCAATACTATGATAGCTACAATGCTTAACCTTCTTCAATTTGCTGCACTGGGTTTTGGCTCTACTGTGTTTCCATAACAAGAATAGTCTATTTTTTATTTTCTCTTTCTCCCCACCCCCTATGTCATATCTCCTCGTTGACATCATTGGAGATGATGTGGGAATCCCTATTGTAGTTAGAAAGATAGATGGAGGAGAGAGCCTCCTGTTGGTGTGGTGAGGGTGTGTTGATCCACTGAACCTCCTCTCCCAACAGGAAGGGCCATTTTATGCTCTTAAAGAATGGTGGGAAAGAGGAGTCATTAAGAATATCTGAAATCTGCCCTGGCTGGTATGACTCAGTTGGTTGTGCATCAAAAGTTTGTCGGTTCGAGTCCTGGTTATGGGCTCGATCTCCTGTAGGTGGCATGCAAGAAGCAGCAGATCCATGTTTCTCTCTCTCCTCCCCTCCTCTCTCTCTCTCAAAAAAAAATCAATTTTAAAGACTATCTAAAATCAGCTTCTCATTGCAGAGTTCGCTGGAATTTTATGTTATAGACCAGTGATTCCCAAAGTGGGCGCTACCGCCCCCTGGTGGGCGCTGCAGCGATCCAGGGGGGCGGTGATGGCCACAGGTGCATTTGTTTTAACTTTTTTTGTATTACCTTTCTATTCTGAGTTCAATAAATAGTTTCATAATTTCAAACTTCAATGTTTCTAATTTACACCTTTCTTTACTATGTTTTACGAAAAAGGTAGAAACATTAATACATATATCTTTCTGTTTGCTATTAAAATTTAAAAAAAAATTAATTTCCAGGGGGCGCTGAGTAATATTTTTTCTGGAAAGGGGGCGGTAGGCCAAATAAGTTTGGGAACCACTGTTACAGACAATCATTCTCTAAAACAAATTCTATTTCCACCTGAGGCTGTATAAAGATACATTCCTACTTATAAGAAGGAATAAGAAATTACATAAACATCTTTTTTTTACAATAAAGCATGGGCAGATTCTTCCTTCTCATTTCTTTTCTAACTCTAAGCAAATTATTAAATATTTTTATATTGATTTATATGATTAGTTGTTAATACCTACCTCTCACCCCTCTACCTTGGACTTCTAAAATGCAAGAACCAAATTTTTTCTTTGAGTCTCAGGCTCCTATCAGAAAGCCTAATGCACAGAAAATAAAAATGAATGAGTGAGTGAGTGAGTGAATGGATAGATGCACTTAGTGTAAAAGAGTAAATATGCAAATGAATAGATCCCATTGAAAGCTGATAACTTTTGAAGTGCGGTTATGAAATGTATAGCACCAGTTAAAATGGGTGGAAAGAGGCCTTTTCTAGTCCTCATGAAGAGGAAATTCTACTGAATATAATAGCATATGTTAGACACAAGTGAGTAATTTTTTTGTTTAAAATTACAATAGCAGAGGGTGCTTTTGCTTTAAAAGAATAAGTTTTAAGCATATTCTACCAATGTGGTACCCTGGAAAGTCCATGTGAATTAATCTGGACACCTAATATTTATTAAGCTATGAAGTAATTGGGGAGCATTATCTTGATAAATTATATCTTGATTATGTAGCTTTCTTATTATTAGGTGCCTTTGATGTTTGTTGTAGAATTGCGGAGCCCATATTAGTTGGATCAACACCCATATGGTGTGACTCCCTTGTTATTCTGGTGGACGCCCCCAACCCCGCCGCTGGTTGCCCCCCTGTACAGTAAGAGCATTCCTAGCAGCAGGAAAGATCCTGCTTTCTTACAGAACCCTTGAGCTGGAATGAAGTAGAAAGAGCCTTCAAAGTGTTTACTTTTGAAAGCCTGAAACTCTCTGAGGTTGATGAAGAAGGGATACTAATGCCTTCTAGGAAAATATATGGGATAGATTCTGAAATTTTCAACATACCATGGGACAACCCTGCCAGATTTGCTAAACAAATAAGGCAACAGTACATTGCAAAAATGAACACCCAAGAGGCCAAACTCGAAACAGGTACATTGCATGGAGGGAACAAAAGACATTCTTGCATTTTGTGGTTGTTGATTTTTCTACTGTGGTAGCTCATGAATCTTCTTTACACTGATTAGATATTGAACCCAAAGACAACATTATATTTATGGATCAGAATTGGTCAACATATGTTCAAGATAGTGAGATCAATAATGAACCTTCAAATCCTAGTCAACCTGATGCTGACAATATGAAGCATTCTGACCCGAATAATGAGAAACCCTTAGAGCCTGATAATAGAGAGTCGTCAGAAAAGGAGGCCAGCTTAGAGATTCAGCAACAACCTGAACCTTTGGGTAAGTGAACGTGTGTGTGTGTGTGTGTGTGTGTGCGCGTGTGTGTGTAGACCTATTAAGAATGTATACATCAAAAGAGTGATTCAAGATGCATTATTTTAATTGCTATCCATTTCAATTGAAAAACTTTTTTGTGTAATTAAACTTTGTTAATGAGTGTTACTGGTCAATAAATCCTTTTTATTTCAACCCTTGTTTTTAAAATTTCCTAAAGCCTCTTAGTCCACTCTTACCTTAGTAAATATAGCTTATTTTTTATTACTTAAAAATATAATTATGAATAATATTATTGTAACTTAAACATAATCAAAACTTTTATCACTAGTATTTCAGAGTTAGTATACTTATGTGAAAAATTATTTTAAAATTACTTGCAATAACATAATGAACCGCCCAGTACAGAGCTTTATACAAAATCAATACTCAATGAACATTGATCCCTTTCCTCTCCTCCTTATAGCTCATGTAATTCCTCTCATTCTAGAATAGAGCATCGTATATATTGCCATATTTGGACGTATAGAAGTAGAAAAATATTAAGCTAAATTGTTATTGAGCTATCATACATATAGCTGTCAGATTAATTACTTCAAATACAGCTGAGTTACTTTCCTGTTTATAACATTCAGTGGCTCCCTACTATTTGCAAAATAGAACCCAGCTCCTTGGCCTGCTTTACATGGTTTAACAATAGTACTAAATTACTTTCCCAAAACCCCCTCCACTTTTTACCTTTTGCTCACTCATCTCATGCTCCAGTCAAACAGAAATAAGCCCTATTGCCTCTATACAACCTGCTCTTTTTAGTCCCTGTGCCTTTTCCCCACAATTTGCTCCACCTCGGGTTCTCTTTTTTATGATGATTAGGTTTCACTAGCACCTCCATGAGACTTTGTTAGATGTGTCCATCTGGAAATGCCTCCTTAGCATTTCCATGGTAACAGTTAGTCTACACTTCCTTTATTGCATTAGTTGTCATTTCCTGCTACTTATTACAGTAATGCATATGCCTATATTCAAGCCTCTATAACACTGTAGCTTCTTAAATGCCATAAGTATGTTTATCTTAAAAATATTAACCATATACCGCCCTGGCCAGCTGGCTCAGTTGGTTGGAGCATCCCATACACCAAAAGATTGTGGGTTCAATCCCTGGTTTCAGGTACGTACCATAGGCAACCAACTGATGTTTCTCTTTCTCTCTCTCTCTCCCTTCCTCTCTCTCTAAAACATATCCTTGGGTGAGGGATATATATGTATATATATATATACATATATATATATATATTAGAGGCCCTGTGCACGAAATTTATGTACTTGGGGGGAGGGGAGATTGCCAGAGGGCTCAGGCCAGGCTTAGAAACCCGACTGGTGCACAATCGGGACTGGGGAGGGATGCAGGAGGTTGGCCAGCCGGGAAGGGACCATGGGAGGGCTCCAGGAGGTGTCTGGCTTGTCTCACTCAGTCCCAAATGGCCGGACCCCAGCAGCAAGCTAACCTAATGGTCCGAGTGTCTGCCCCCTGGTGGTCAGTGCACATCATAGCGAGTGCTTTGATTGGTTGAATGGATGACTGGATTATCAGACACTTAACATAGTAGGCTTTTATGATATTGATATAGATATAGATAGTAGGCTTTTATTATATAGATATAGATTAGATATAGATATAGATATAGATATAGATATTAAAACCATATACTAAAACATGAAAAAAGTCTCAACAAATTTTCACAGGATCAAAACTACAGAGTATATTCTCATTGAAGAAAAAATCACAATAGAAAGCAGGAAATATTTTGAACTGAATGATAATTAAAATTCTGAATATCAAAATCTATATAACACAGATACAGCAGGAGATAGGCAGAGCTTTAAATGAACATATTTTAAACATACATTTAAATGAATACATTTTTTAAAAGATAGCTAAAATTAATTAGCTAAACATTAAACATCAACTTCAAATAGTTAAAGATTAACTAAATTCAAATAAACTAAAAGGAAGAAAATAGAGTACATCAATAAGTTAACCAGGGGTGGTATAGCATTAAGGCCTCCTATGGAAATATACACATATGACAAATAAGTCACTTTGAATTAATATGGAACCAGAATAAGCCAAGAGAGATATTAACCTTAAGGGTTTTTTCCTTTGTTTTTTGTTTTGTTTTGCTTTTGCTCTTTTTCCTTTAGAGCAACTGGTATATGGTTTTCCTTAGGCAACTTTTGCCACCTGGTGGTCAAACCACATAAACTGGTATTCTGGATTCTGGTGAAAAGTAGATAGCTATAGCAACTTCCTAAATGATCAAGGCTGAACATCATCCGTGTGTCCTGAAGACTGACCAATCTTGAGAGCTGGAGCTGAGACTCTGAAGGGATTCTATAAGGCACATGTGGGCCCACATCAAGGAACAGTTACAGTTGAACCGGGGAGGGCAATTGAAGCTTAGTGCCTCACTGTGGCTATTGTGGATGAGAGGGTTTTTTTGTGGTGATCTTTCATTTTCCCCTTAACTATGTCTCACACTTCTAAAGCAGCCACTTTAAATCTTTTTAAGCAAAGCAGAAATTGTTAATGTATTTCTTGCACAACCATCTTAGCATCAAATACATATAAAAGTCTTTTCCTGGACATGAAGGGCTGAATATTTGTGCTTTTCTTAACCAAACACTGGATTTCCATCTGAGACTGTTTTTGAACTTGACAGGGCCTATTGGATATTTATGAAAAACTGAGAGTTGATAACCATGAGGCTATAGGTTTAGATGTGCCCTTTATGCTTGTTGGGTGTTTTTTTAATAAAGTAACTGCTTTGCAGAGGGATCTTGTTATCTCTAAAGTAAAACAGATTAGGAAAGCTGTTTTTCAAAGGGATGAGAACGCATCTATTTCCAGATGTGTCAAAAACTACTGAATCACACTGTCAAAGGGTTATGTGGTTGAAGGCTGAAATCAGAAAGAAAGAAAAAAAATGATATTTGCTCTTCTATTAAAGAGTTCAGATTAGTTTGTGAATGTTCGTTCCTTTGACAAAATAACTGATGCACAATTTTTCAGAACATATTTTCTAAACTGGAGACTCTCTGCTGGATCCTTAAACACAGAAGGGAGTATCAAATCTCCCGGAAATCTGGCATACCACAGAATAGAATAATTTTTATTCCACAGATTTCATATCAATTGCTCAAGGACACATGGGACATCATGGTCTATTTAGAATTATAGTTGGCCTGAGTTTTCTCTTGAGTGGATGTATTTAAATAAATACTGAACTGAACTGACTTTATAGTTTTACTCTAAATCAAAATGGAACATTCATGCTGTCACCTTCAGCAGCCCAAGGCAGAATGGAACCAGTAATGAAAATGTAAGTAGCTATGCTCCTAGAAGAAAGAAAAACATTGTCCCCTCCTTGTTAGACATAATTAACTACTCCCTCTGGAAGCCTAGAGATGGTTCTCTTTGACACAAATCTTATGCTTACCCCCAAACAAGCTTTTGTTGCAGGGTTTCTGCCACATTTCTGCTCTTTCTATATAGATTTCCAGTTTCAATATATGATGTAGATTCAATTATTTTAATAGTATTAGGCACTGATAAATTCCATGATTAAAAATGAAGCAGGGTATGAGGCAGAAGGCTTTTGAAGAGGTAACATTGTGCAATATGAATGAAGTAAGAATTTGCAATCCATGAATATTTCAAAGCAAAGCATGAAAGACCGAGAAAAGCAAGTGCAAAAACTTAATGACACAGCAATCAGGCTGGTGTCTGGAGTGGAATGAACAAGGGAGAGTGGAGGGAGATGCATTTGGAGAGAGAGGTTGGAGCCCTTTCATATATTACTTTGTAGGTATTAATTTTCTATTATTCTAAGGGTGATAAAAAGTCAGGTTGGCTCAGTGATTCAGCAGCACCACAAATACCTTACAAAATTCATTTCCTACTCCATTTCTTTGGTCAAATTTGGAATGTGCTATATACTTTATCAATTTCTCTATTAGAGTTTCATAATCCCAAAAGTGTATTACATTTTGAGATGTTCACAGTAAAGATGCTTGTTTATCCATGTTAAACTAATTTATCATGGGCCTCTTTTTTATATGTAACATTTGTTAACTTTAGGAACTACAAAAGCATGGTGATGCAGAGACCAATAGCAGGACTCTGTTCTTTCTCTTCCCATTCATGTGGCTGTTTGTTCCATGGCCAAGTATCATATCTCAATCCCAGTTGTTTTATAAGAATTCTCTTGGGTCACAAGGAGAGCTAGTGTGCATGACTCATATTGGTCCCTGGTTCCATGGAGTCCAGCTACCCATTTATTGAACTAACGTTTGTTAAACTCATCTATATATCTATAGATGCTCATTAAATGGTTTTCACATTAATAAATGATTAATGAGTGGAAGAAGAGGTGCATTTTCTCATTTGATGTTTATTTATCTGGTAGTTCTCCTCTGCATACATCCCCTGCCCCGACCTAGTCTGTGGCTCATGAGATAGACCAACAGACATTCGAAAAGACTTTGTGATCATTGCCAGCATGACAAGACAATCAGTGTGTACTAAGCAGTTGATACCATTTAATCAGTAAATATCTGCAACTTGTAAAGGTGAAGGTACATAGTCGTGAGTGGTACAGTCTGAAGTCAGCATATCTGATGTGATTTAGGAATGTCTATATAGGAAGCTGGGTTCTTTTCAAAGGGTTTAGTATCACTTTTCTAGATAGACACTGATTTAGAGTTATTGACACAAACACCTTTTTGGAGGCATGAAACATGCCTTTCAGGAATTACCTTTTCAGCACAGAAACATAGATCATATGGGCAACAAAAAGGCACAACACTGACAAAGGCAAGAACAAAGCCCAAACACAACTGGATGTTGGTGTCTTTGATTTACAGAGCAGACCAACGAGATCAAAGATGAGGCAGTCACAAAGGCGGGTTCTCTTGAAAAGGTAAGAAATTACTTTCTTAAAAGTGTAGAGACAAGATCATCAGAGAAAACCGTGACCCAGAATAAGAAACAGTAAAAAAAAAAATGCTTGGCAAGAGAATGCAGATGCCAGAGAAGGAGAGAGATTATTCAGAAATCCCCAGACCAGCTCCAACTGGAGAGAAAGGAGTTAATTTCACTAGCCCGATTAAGCAAAACTTCCAAGCTCCATGCTCCTCTCTAGACAATGTGGCTTGGCAACCTCACAAACACCTGCTGACCATACAGCCGTGTAGAACTAATACTGTCTTGAAGAGAGTTCAGAAAACCTGCCTATAATTGCTAACAGGACTCTGAAGAGTATAACCTAACAATAAAAATATTTAGATTATGTTGCCCATAAAAAAATGTCAAAGGCATACTCTTTCTGGCAGCAGGTCTCCTAAAATGTTGCCATATGGATTTATACATATGCAGATTTCCCCAATTAGATGGAGTGCATGCTGGCTAGTTGATGAAGTCCACGAGGGCTCCATTTGTACTTACACAGATTAAAGCTGAAATTGTATTCCTGTGATTTTTTAGCAACCCAAGAAGATGACTGTGGAAGCAGAGTTAGAGGACATTCAGAAAACGCAGCAACGCAGTCTAATGGACTGGAGTTATACTGAGCATTTTAAACCTAAAGTTCTGCTGCAGGTATTAATGGATTGTGTGTGGGAGAGGTCTGATGTGTCATGGTGTGATTTAGAGCAGTTCACTCCCAAGTCACTCTCAAATCTAGTTTGTATCAATATTCCCCTTTACTTCAGCTATAAATGAGTTCTTCTCAGATCGAGCTACACATATGCAGTGAATCTCCAAAAGAGTTTAAAATGTACTTTCCAAAGGGATCTTTTCATCAAATCTTTTAAGAAAAAGAGAAATGTACGTGACTGCTGCACATATTTTCTTGACAAAAAAAGTAAGGCGTTTTGGGGAAGCAGCCTCATTTTCTCCCCCATATTGCCTGTCAGTTCTGTTCAGTTTTCACTACATTTCAAAGGATTTCTGATGCAATTAACAGGCCAAAGGAACCTGCAACAACTGACATTTATTGAGCACCTACCATCTGCTAGGCAATGGTTAGTATGCATTTTAGCTCATTTAACCCTCTCACTAAATCTATGAAGTAGACACTAGGTAAGTGGTAGGAAACACAGGCACCTTGACCAGTAGTAACTCGTCCAAAGTCACATGCTGATAAGTGAGAGAAGCAGAATATGAACCCAAGAAATCTGGCCCTTGAACTTGTGCTCTTAACCACTATATTAACAAGTACTCCTAAAACTAGTTTCTTTTGTTGCTTTTACATTTTATGTAAAAAACTGGACTCTTTTTTATTGTCTTTTTAATTTCAATTTTACTTTTCTCCAAGTTTTACATCCACATATTCTTAAAGCCAGAAAGTTCTATAAAGAGTCCTACAAAAAATAGCAGCTCCCTCCCACCCCCATGCCTACATTCCCAGATGTAAAAACCTTCAAGCCATTTCCCTTTGTCTTTTGTTACTTAACTGTTATCTTTAAATAACAAGTATATTTTGTTTAGGTTTAGTTTTAGGCATTACCATCAATTGACTCTATTGAGAAAACAGCTCTGCCTACCCCAACCCAAAACACACACACACACACACACACACACACACACACACACACACACACACCCTTCTGCATTCTCTGACACTGTTTACTCTCATAATTTTTGGTTGGGTCTGTATTCAATATTTACTTTATTTCAATTGTATAATTATTATTCACAGCTGAACTGTGTAGTATTGTATTCTTACTAGTACATTTCCTTTTCTGATATAATTTCTATTTTTCCTGGAGTTCATTTTTTCATGTTTATTTACTATGCATTTATCACTACTCATCCCCGAGCTCTCTATCAAAGAGTAAATCTCCTTTTAATACATTCAAACCTAACAAGTATTCTATCAATTTTATTGTCTAAGTAATATCTCTCCCATATGCTCTGAACTCCTGCTTGCCCTCTAGGCCTGCTGCACAGCTGTGGTCCTGGGAGCTCCCTTTACTTTATCATCCTGGCCACATCCTTTGCCTCTCTTTCCAGTTAGATATTCTGTTTCCTGAATTCCAACTCATCTTCTCTCTTGGCTTACTCTCCTTTTGTAGGGGGCCACCTCTTCCAGTTGCTTCTTGAATTAAGATATATAGCAGGTAAATTATTGAGGCAGTGGATATTTGAAAACATCTTAATTCTACCCTTACCTTTGACTGACAGTTTAGCTTTATGTAAAATGCTAAGTTAAAAAGCATTTTCCCTCAAAACTTTGAAGGCATTCCTCAATGTTCTTCTAGTTTCCTGGATTCTCTTTGAGAAAAATCAATGAAATTCTGATTCCTTATCAGTTGTTTGAGTCTGTTTCTTCCTTCTCTGTGAAGGTTTTTAAGATGGTCTCTCTGTTCCAATGGTTTAAACTTCCTGTTGATGTTACTTGGTATGGTTCTTTCTGAGTTTTGTACCCGTGAGCCCAGGACAACCTTGAAACTCCTGTCTTTATATTCCGGAGCCTGTTCTATAATCATTTCTTCGACAGTCCTTCCCCCTCATTTTTCCTGTTCTTTCTTCCTGTGACTACTGTGATTCTGGTTTTGGACTTCCTGACTGTACTTCCAATTTCATTATCTTTTCCCTCCTAGTTTCCAACACTTGATCTTTTAGTTCTGAGAATATGGCTCAGCTTTCATGCAATTCTTCTACTGGGTCTTCTAGTTCTGGTATTATCATTTTAATTTTCTAAAGTCCTATTTATAATTTTATATTACCTTTTTATAGCATCCTGTTCACGTCCCCTAAAACCATATCTTCTCTTATCTCTATGAGGATATTAAAGTCCTTTGAAGTCTTAGTGTTTTCCCCCTGCAGTGTCTCTTTTTTCTCAAGTTCTTTTTTGGGGGATTTATTTTTTGCCTCCATTTTTTCATATTAGAGAGCAATATCTAATGATATCTTACCTCTTTGTTCATATTAATAACCAGACACTAAAATATGACAGGAAGTGCTGCATAAGGTCCGGGGGTGAGGAGTTGAGGAGTTGTCAATAACTGGACTTCATCATTGGTGATTTGGCTGAGGGATTTCCTTGAGAAACCCATCAGTGTTGGTATGTTAGATCTGTTCTCTTGGGCCATTTAGATTCTCCAGGAAAAAAAATCTAATTTCCTGTCTGAAAGACATAACTTGCCTGTCAGGGTTTTGGGAGCTGAGTGATGGGGAGAAGTCAGTTAGTCTTCTAACCATTCAGTCTGTAGACCTGCATTATCCAATGTGGTCACCACCAGTCACATGTAGCTTCTGATACTTGAAATGTAGAGCATTCAAATCAAGATGTGCTATAAGAATGCTATATATGCTATATGTCTACTAGTATACTCAACTATATAGATGCTATGCACACTAGATTTCAAAGACAGTATAAAAATAATATATCAAATGAACAATTTTCGTATTGATTATGTATTGATTTATTAATATTTTAAAATATATCTACTGTAAAATTTAAAATTACATATGGCTCACATTTGTGGCTTATCTTGTGTCTCTATTGAACAATGCTGCATTAGACTTTTATACAATTCCTTTTTTCTGTAGTACATCTCTCCCTCAGCAGTGCCTAGGGCAGTGATGGCGAACCTATGACACGCGTGTCAGAGGTGACACGCGAACTCAATTTTTTGTTTGATTTTTCTTTGTTAAATGGCATTTAAATATATAAAATAAATATCAAAAATATAAATCTTTGTTTTACTATGGTTGCAAATATCAAAAAATTTCTATATGTGACACGGCACTAGAGTTAAGTTAGGGTTTTTCAAAATGCTGACACGCTGAGCTCAAAAGGTTCGCCATCACTGGCCTAGGGTCTCTCTTCTTAGAATCCACTGCCACCTTCTGGAGCTAATAATCCTCCCTCCTCCTGCTGAGGAGGAAGATGGCAGCCACCTGGCTGCTCAAACCTGTCGAGGGCTTCCGGGGGCCCTAAAACCTTTTTAAAAAGACTTTGAATTGATCTTCCTATTTTCAATGCCATTTGCAGAGGCACATAGTACTGCCATTTTCTGAGCCTTTCTGCATTTCTACACACAAATAAGGCTGCTCTGATCTCTCCTACAGTTAATCTGAGGATTTGGCTTTCTATGTTCTGCCAAGTCAGTTACCACTTATCCTTCTGCTTTCCAGCTTCAGAAATGTTGTTGCTTTGTCTCCTCTCCCATGGCCTTCAACTTTGTGATATTAAAAACCAATAATTCGCCCTAACTGGTTTGGCTCAGTGGATGGAGCGTCGGCCTGTGGACTCAAGGGTCCGAGGTTCGATTCCGGTCAAGGGCATGTACCTCGGTTGTGGGCACCTACCCAGAGGGGAGTGTGCAGGAGGCAGCTGATTGATGTTTCTCTCTCATCGATGTTTCTGACTCTCTCTCTACCTCTCTCCCTTCCTCTCTGTAAAAAAATCAATAAAATATATTTAAAAAAACAATAATTCTACTGTTTCCTTTTTCTAGTGAGATGTTAGGATGTACATGTGTTTAATCTTCTATCTGAAACTGTAAGTTCATTTCAGACCTTATTTTATTTCAGTTGGGCTCTGTCCTCACTCCTCCATGAAGGTCACCAAAAATTGTCCTGTCAAATATAGCAGACACTTTATCTTTTTTAACCTTTTAATATCATCACAAAGCAGGTCACTTCTGTGAAACAGTCTTGGTTTCCAAGGCACCATACTGTATGGCTGCATTTGGAATTTTGTTGAATATTCTTCCACCTAACATCTAAATATTGAGGTGCTTTAAGTCTCAGCTTTGAACTATCTTCTTTCTTCTCTAAACCTTCCTTTAATGATTTCATTTATTATCTATGTCCTAATGCTAATGACTCTTAAAATTTTATCTTCCAAATTATTTCTCTCTTAGCAGACTGGTGGTTGCCAGAGTGGAGGGGATGAAAGAGGTGAAGGGATTAAGAAGTACAAATTGGAAGTCACAAAATAGTCACAGGACGTATAGTACAGCTTAGGGAAGATAGTCAATAATATTGTGATAACTATGTTATGGTGCCGGATAGCTACTGGAAATGTCAGGGGGAATACTCTGTAAAGTAAATGATTGTGTAACCACTATGATGTACACCTGAAACTAATACAAAATAAAAATGAAAGTAAACTTTAACTAAAAATAAAAATTAAAAGATACAAATAAATATTTAATCTCTCTCTTGAACTCCACACTACCTCCATATTTCACTTGAATATATGATAGGCATCGCAGATTTACTGTCCCACATGAAGCTCATAATTTCCCCACCCAAGCATGTTTCTCTCCTCATCCATCTCAGAAATGTCACCATCAAACCAAAAGACTAAGGAGCCATCCTTTATTTCAGTCTTTCCTTTATCCTACGTGTCTGATCCATCATCAGGTTTTGAGGGGTAAATCTCAAACTTTCTCTCTACCATCTCCACTGCTGCTACTTTAGTCCAACTACCATCTTCTTATTCTACCACAGTGTCCTCCTACCATCAGCCTGCTCCCACTCTCACTTACTCCAATCCATGCTCTACCTATCAGGTGTCCCATTAACTTTACCTTCTTAGAACACCTCTCCAAACTTCAGAATGAGCTATAAAAATCTTAATCAGATTTTAGAGAATAGTCTTGTGTATCTTGCTCATTTTTGTTTTCCTAGAACCTACACAGTGCCTGGCACATAGAAAGTGTTTATTTTTATGAAAGAATTAACTGATCAGTTAATATTAATCAGAAAAATCCAAGATATGAAAAAAGAAAAGAAAGATATAGTATGAAAACTTAAACATTGATTGAGAGCAACTGTAACTCAGAAACTTAGCACTGTAGATCCCAGGAGCCAAAGTGAATATGGAAACACAGATTTCAGTGCTCTTTTAATAGAAGGAAGGATACATGTTCATCTAAAATAGATATACTATTTGTTTTGGCAGTTTAAAGAAAAAGAAATTTGCCTTTCAAAAAAATTTCAGTATTAAATAGTGTCCTACATAAAAAAATACAAAAATATTCACTACATGTGTATTTTTTATAAAGACTCTCAGAGAACAGATGAGCCACTCCATAAAGACACTCATACAAGAGATGAGATTGGAGAAGTAAACCATTATTTTGGTTATGCTACCAGTGAAAAATTGAAAGCAAAATCAAAATAGTTCTTTCCTAACATAATATGCAATTCTGCGCCTTTATATCATGAACAGCAAATAACTGAAAGCTGCCTACACCAGATTGGTATTGAAAATGAAAACAGAAACAAACCCCACAGCTGTCTGTTTTCCTATGGACATAATTCCCGTGTTCATTGGCAGTAAAAGGAAACAGGACAACAAGCTGCTCACGGCGCCCCTCTACTGAGGGCTGTAATTGCAGTGCATGCTGTGGGTAGAATATTTTGGAAAAGACTTGGGTTAGAAGCCGACTTAACTCGTTTCCCGCACTCCAAGTGTTAAGGATTTTTTTTAAAAAATCATACCTATTTATCTGGGGGTTTTAATGATGATAAAATGAGATGATTTATAAAAGACACTTTAAGCCCAGGCACCGGGACTTACATGTCCTTGGACAAATCTCTTCTCTCAGCCCCAATTTATGCTAAGAAACATGAGGATTTGCCCTAACCGGTTTGGCTCAGTGGATGGAGCATTGGCCTGCGGATTGAAGGGTCCCAGGTTCGATTCTGGTCAAGGGCATGTACCTTGGTTGCGGGCACATCCCTAGTAGGGGGTGTGCAGGAGGCAGCTGATCGATGTTTCTCTCTCATCAATGTTTCTAACTCTCTATCCCTCTTCCTTCCTCTCTGTAAAAAAATCAATAAATATATTTTTTTTAAATGAGGATTTTTTTAAAAAATCATACCTATTTATCTGGGGGTTTTAATGATGATAAAATGAGATGATTTATATGAAGGCATGGAAAATGTTAAATTAGTAACTGCAGCCTTATTGGAAAACACCTGAGCAAATGCCTCTACATTTGGAGCCTAGTATTTGTTTTTGTATAAGAACTTCTGAAATGCTCCAAAAAATATCTACCCTGTATGCTCTCACCTTGACTAACTAACAGTGTGGAGATAAAGGGAGAAAGAGTAGGGGGCAGAGAAATGCTCTAGCAGGAGACCCTTCGCTTGGAAAACAAACAAACAAAAAATGACACACAACAATGCAATTATTTTTATTTTCAGGTTCTTCAAGAAGCCAATCAGCAGTACAAGTGTGTAGATTCTTATTACCATACCCAGGACAACTCTTTACTTTTAGTCTTTCATAACCCGATGAATATGCAACATCTGCATTGTGAACACTGGAATATTGCTCTTCACTCCAATGTTGGATTCAGGTAACCAACTTAGCTAGTTTACTTAGTTATCTTAGTTTAGTTAGCTTGCTAATTCACACTCAGATTTTATTTCCCTAGTCTAAGCTAGGTGGTTCAACCCAATGAATAGATTTGTGTAGTACTGTAGATAAAATTCAGCTCATCGAGTTGAATATCTGAAGTGTGCCAGGCACTGTGAAAAGTGGTGAAACTATACCTCTAAAGAATATATCATTCCTGGCCCCCTTGAGTCTAGTAGAAATGCTATTATATTACATTTGATTTATTTAGACTCCAATAAAACTGTCTCTGAAAGATTCCATGTAGGAACTGCAAAACAGGATGTTCTGCATACTGGTTTGGGATGACTCCATTTGATTTGGGAAAGACTAGCAGGTAGGTCAGCTGAGTGACATATCAGCCCAGTGGTCAGGCTCCCAGCAAACTGAGTCCTCTAGGAATCAGTGATCTTTTTCTTCCGAGCTCCTCAGTGATTCCTTTACTACCTTGAAACTTCGTTCTCTCTTTTCATTAATAACAAGAGCATTTCATTATCTTTTAATGCTGGTTAATATATACCTAGTATTTATTATTTGTATAGTAAATGTCTTAGAAGGGATACAGAAAAGTTATAGAGAATGGACTTAGAGAATAGCTGGGGATACAAGTTGTGTGCTGGCACACACATGCATAGCTCAGTAGTATACCTTCTGTGGCCATAACATTATTTTTCAATTAAGGCACATAATAGGTGTACCAAACTAATCTTGAACTATTAATCTGTATTTTTGTCATTTATTGCTTCAGTTAATCCAGCGAGTCAGTTAGCTGACAGTCAACTAAAAGAGTTTCCATAGTACTATAAAATCTCCCTAAAAGAGATTGTACCATAAAACTTACAAACTCAACAGTGTTGAGAGAGACTTTTCCTCCAAACTGTCAACTCTTGGTATTATCAAACTTTTTAAAAATATAAATATATATTTTTATTTAGTTTAGAGAGGAAGGGAGATGGAGAGAGAGATAAAATCATCAATGATGAGAGAGAATCATTGATTGGCTGCCTCCTGCACACCCCACACTTGGTATTGAGCCCCCAAACCAGGCATATGCCCTGACCATGAATTGAACTGTGACCTCCTGTTTCATAGGTTGACGCTCAACCACTGAGCCACCATGGTTGGGCAATATTATCAAACTTTTTAATCCTTGACTTGGGTAGAAAGATCTAATTTTTAAAATTTACATGTCTTTAATTGTGAATGAAGTTGGGCAGTTTTCATATTCTCACTGGGTATTTATATTTGACTACTTTGTACAAAATATGTCCAGGATGTTTCTGAGTCTGTTATATTTATTAAATGGGAAATTTAGGATCAATTCATGTGCCTAGTCAGTATCTTAAGTATTTTGTGACATTCACTAATAATAACTCTTTGCTTTTTAAAGGAATTTTTTGGAACTTGTTACAAATTCCATTCAAGATTGGATCATAAAAGAAGAAGCTCTCTATCAGGAAACTAAAATGGCCGAGGAAATTGCTAAAACCAAAGCTGAGATGGAACTGAAATCTATTACTGCCAAAATTGTTTCTCCTAGCAAAATTAGTTCTGTTAAAAAATCTGCTAGTAAGTAAGCTTTTGAATTTATACAAGTCCAAAGACATTCTATTTCTTTATTTAACCAAGACTAAATATTTTAGGATTTAAACAAGTTGCCTGCAATGTTGCTGTGATTCTTGACTTTCTCTAAAAAAACAGAATAGCTGCATTCCAACTATGGTGAGATCATACCCAAGTGGAATATCGACCCCCCCTTCCTGTCAGGTCAGGTTCGATCTGTTGTACAGGTCGATGTACAGGAAAATGCCAAATATCTTGATCTTGTTCAGGTTGATAGGTTCAGCTATCTAAAATTGGTTGACTATATATATATATATGAAGTAAATTCAGGGTCTGGATGTCTCCAATAGAAAAATTACAGATTCCAAAAGTGAAGTTAAAACAAGACCTTCCTTAGAAGAGCAAACAGAAGAGTCCCAACACTAACCTAAGGTAGAATCTAAAATAAAAGGGAAGCCAGCCTGTGTTGCTCAGTGGTTGAGCATCTACCTATGAACCAGGAGGTCACAGTTCAATTCCTGATCGGGGCACATGCCCCAGACTTGATCCCTACCCAATGGGGGGGTGTGCAGGAGGCAGCCAAGTAATGATTCTCTCTCATCACTGATGTTTTTATTTCTCTCTCCCTCTCCCTTCCTCTCTAAAATCAATAAAAATATTTAAATTAAATTAAAGTGAAAAGGAATTATTGAGGCCTGCTATAGCAGGGACTTGACAGGATATTGGATCACTCTTTGTTTTTGTTAATTTCCATGGCTTTGATGCTGTCAAGAGAAAGGAGAAGAGGATGACTAAGAAGAATGATAGTTGATTTTAGAAGTCAAATAATGAAGGAATTCATCTGGAAAATAAAGATTATTCACTGAGTTCTAAGTGAATTATGATGGAGAATAGACTTCATCTTAATAATACTCATTATTTCTAACAGCCAACATTGAGAGTAATTTCTTATAAAGAAGCAAAGCTACATAATTTCCAAAGCGTTTGTATTCCTCATTAATGACCAGAGGAATTTGTGCTTGGTTAGATTCTAAAATAAAACTTAGCAAACCAAGTCGATGATGAATCATTCAACATCTACCAAAATGGTTATACAATATAATCCATTCATCAGCTGAGCCTTCCTCCTGATGGGGGCTCAGCAGGAGAGCAGTAAGTGGAATAATGGAAAAAGATAGGTAGGGCCACCTTCTCTAGGTGCCTAAGAAAATCCAGAAAATGGCCAGTTTGGGATTGGAATACATCTGGTAGGTATTGCATTCAGTTTGAGTCCTCTCAAGTCAGGAAAGATGTAAACCTTCCAAACAGAATGACTACAATGGCCAGAGGAGGGCTTCAATGCGGAAGGAAAAGTTAGATTTGTCTTGCATGGTCTTAAAGTGTTAAATTAGGATTAATTGGTTAAAGCCCTAGCGAGAGAGAGTCCAGTTCAATAAAAGCTTTAAATTCTCAACACGCTGCCTCCACTGGTAGTGAGTTCCTCCTACCACAAGGAGCTCAGTTCCCCTTCAGAAGCCCACTCAGGAGATGGCGAGAAATAATTCCGAGATGAATGAATGGGGAGTTGAGCTTGATAGCCTTTGATATCCCCTACAACCCAGACATTCCGTCCTTCTATGAAACTTTATTTTAGGGAGTTACTAAGAAGTTTAATTTTCTCTGGTTACAGGTAGCAAAATAATGAGCAAAACAGAGATACCAGATCAAGAAAAAGAAAAAGAGAAGGAAAAATTGACTTTTGTTTTAGAAGGCTCTCTGAAGGTAATACAAGGAAAGAAAACAGTGACAATGAGAAATCACATATTCAGAAATTTTGGGGGATAGTTTGTGTGGTATAAGAGGAAATGATCTTTTTGCTAAATGTTCAGAAATAATTGAAAACTGTAATGAAAGGACAGTCTTTCCACCAAGCTGACTCCTCTACCAGATGATAAGCCTGTAAGGGAAGCTGTGTCATTCATTTTTATGTAACCAAAATCCAGGGCAGCGCCTTGTTGAAACTTGTCATACTCTGTTCCTGTGGCAGGTGTTTGTTTTGTTTGTATATTTTTAATTGGAATTTTTAGTTATAAAAGTAATGTATGCTTTTTATAATAAATCAAAATTACCCCTGTTCTCCTATACCCCTGAAATAAGAAATATTAACAATTTCACATTTTCTATGCTTACACAGCATGCATGCACAGATACAAAGAGGGTTTTCATTTGTTTGGTTTAGATTTAGTATGGTTTTTTGACTCTGCTATATGCTTTTTTCCCCCTTATCAACATATCATGAATATTACTTTCAGACAATATGTAGAGATCTAACTTATTTTCATAGAATATGTTAGCCTATAATTTAGATATATTTAATGTGTTAAATAATTACCTTATTAATAAGTATCATTTATGTTTCTATATAGAACTATTTAACTTTTATGTAGTCAAATCAGTCATTTTTGACCAAATTTTAAGAGACACAGTGCTAAATTTTGACAAATATAGGAAGTAAAGTGAATTCTCATGCATTGCTGGGTAAAGTATAAATTGGCACTTCCACTTTGGAAAACTGGACAAATATCCTAAAGCTAAGCACATAATTTCTCTTTAAGTTAGTATTCCACTCATAAGTATATGCCCAGTAGAAATGCATGTGTGTAGGTGCATCAAGACACATGGGCAAAGTTGTTCTTGCAGCATCATTTTTAACTCTCCCAAATCAGAAACAATTCAAGCATCATCAGCCTAGTGTGATTTAGTCATGTGGTGAAATACTACACAGCTCTGGAAATGAATGACCTATAGCTGCATTCATACATATAGAAATATATGGATGAATCTCACAAACATCATGTTCAGCAAAAGAAGAGTCAAAAGAATATATACATTATGTATGCTTTTATTTACATAAAGTTTAAAAGCAGGCAAAGCTAAACTAAAGTATTATGAAGTAGGAGAATGGCTGCCTTTGGGGCAATGGAAGTGGGCAGGAAGAAGAATGAGCAGGGCTTCTGGGAAGCTGGAGATGGTATTGCTTGACCTGGTGGTACTAACAGTAATGTTTACTTGGTGGTGATTCATTCAGGTACTCACTTGGGATTTGTGCTCTTTTTGTATGGATGTTAAGCTTATCCAAAACAGTTTTTAAAAATCTGTCACTTTTTTAATGGTCTCAGGACTTTTATGTTTTTTATCCCATTGGGTTGATTCCACCTGAGATTACACATTAATTTTCTTGCACTATATCAGAATATTTTCACAGACATACTTTTCATATTCAGATAGCTAATCAATGTGAAATTCACTTTGTATAGTATAATATAAAGGCCTTACTTTTCTTTGCCTGGATGGACTGTCATTTTACTAGTACTTGATTTCACCTCTTGACCCAACAAGCCTAAAATATTTACCATCTGGCCCTTGATAGGAAAAGGTTAGAAGTAAACACTCCATTTCTATTCTACTCCTGGTTGCTCTAGGAATTCAACTTGTATGTATAATTTAATGAAATCTAAACTTAATAAAGTATCTTTACTTTCTTCCAGCACAATACAAGGAACCAGTAAAATTATTTAAAATTAAGTTTTATCTTGATTTTTCTTGTTCCAAAAGATTACACATTATTATTGTCGATGTTATTTAGAGTAGGCCCATGCTTATTATTTCTTATAGTTTCGCTTTTGGGATCTTTTTAACTTTATTTTACTTTTTCCATCACTATTTATCCCCTCTATACCCTCTTCCACCTCCATCCACCACCCTCCCCCACCCAAACACCACACTGTTGACCCAGTCTATGAGTTCTTTCTCTATTTTTTCTTTTCTTGCTCAATGTCTTCTCCCACTCCCCAACATTCCCCCGCCAGAGCTTTCTCCCTGCTCTCTATCTATAAGTCTGTCTCTATTTTGCTTGTTAGTTCAATTTATTCATTAAATTCCACATATGAGTGAAATCATATGATATTTGTCTTTCTCTGACTGGCATATTTCATTTAGCACAATAATCTCCAGATCCATCAATGCTGTTGCAAAGAGTAAATTTTTTTCCCTTTTTACAGCTAAGTAGTATACCATTGTATAAATGTACCATAGCTGTTTTATCTGCTCATCTACTGATGGGCACTTGTGCTGGTCTCAAGTCTTGACTATTGTAAATAATATTGAAATTAACATAGGGGTGCATATATTCTTTTGAATTAGAGTTTCAGGTTTCTTTGGATAAATTCTCAGAAGTGGAATTGCTGGGTCATAAGTTAGTTCCATTTTTAATTTTTGGAGATAACACCATACTGCTTTCCACAGTGGATTCACCAATCTGCATTCCCACCAATAAAGGGTTCCTTTTCTCCACATCGTAGCCAACACTTGTTTGTTGATTTATTGATGATAACCATTCTGACAGCTGTGAAGCGATATCTTACTGTGGGTTTTATTGCATTTCTCTGATGATTAGTGATGTTGAGCATCTTTTCATATATCTATTGGCCATCTGTAAATCATCTTTGGAGACATATCTATTCAGGTCCTTTGCCCATTTTTTAATTGGATTGTTTGTTTGTTTTTGGTGTTGAGTTTATAAGTTCTTTATAAAGCAGATGTATCAGCGAATATGTTTAGTGGGTTGACTTTTCATTTTGTTGCTGATTTCCTGTGCTGTGCAAAAACTTTTTAGTTTGATGTAGTCCCATTTTTTTTTGTTTGTCCCCTTGCCCAAGGAGATAAAGCAGAAAAAAATAGTGCTATTAAAAATGTTTGCGATTACACTGCCTATGTTTTTTTCTAGGATTTTTATGGTTTTGAGTCTAACATTTTAGTCTTTAATAAATTTTGAGTTTATTCTTGTGTGTGGGGTAAGAAGGTGGTATAGTTTCATTTTTTTGCACGTATCTGTTCAATTTTTCTAACATATTTATTGAATAGACTATCTTTAGGCCTTTGCATGTTCTTGCCTCCTTTGTCAAATATTAACATAAAGGCATGGGTTTATGTCTGAGCCCTCTATTCTGTTTCATTAATCTAGATGTCTGTTTTTATGCAAGTACCATGCTGTTTTGCTTGCTATGGCCTTGTAGCAGAGATTTATATCAGATGGCATGGTTCCTCCAACTTTGTTCTTCTTTCTCAAGATCACTTAGACACCACTTAGAAAAGTCATGTTAAATGTTCTCCAAAATGGGCCCAAATGGGATATATTTTCTTTTAAATCCTGTTACAATTTTTAATGTGTTTATAGGCATGGAAAGAAGAACAAGATCGATTAGCAGAAGAGGAGCGCATAAAAGAAGAAAAAAAAGCAGAAAAGAAGAGTAAGGAAGTTGGTAAAAGGAGAGGCAAAGAAAAGTTAGAGAAAGAAGAAAGTAGGACTGTGAAGAAAAAATCTATTTTCAAGGAAAAAGCTAAAGAAGAGCAAATAAAGCTATCAGACATACCAGAGATAACGATTATCCAGGAGCCACAACCTGAGATAGTTTACCCGGTAAAATTAATTTTTGAATAAGCTTTATTGGGTCATTAATAATTGTTTATTGGGGGGGGGGGGGAAGAACACAGCTTCTGTGGAAACAATAGGTTCCTAGTCTTTTCTGCCACAACAAAGGCCTTAGGGTTTCTTCTAGTAGCTGATCTCAGACCTGTAGTCCATCCTCTGATTCCTAGGGCCTTCTTTGTAGCCAGTCTCCAAGATAGGACACCCTCAGAGAAGTTTTCATGAGTGCCATGAAACTGGGTTACTAAGGACAATAAAGATGGAAATTTGACACAAAAGCATTTTTAGATTTATGTCAATAAGCAACTGTGACAGGTCAAAGGTTGGCTTTATCTGTCTCAGATCACTAGACTTGAGGACATTCAGTTGCCTCTCTGTAGGCACCATGTTTTTTGCTTGTAGGCTTTTATAAAACCTTCCCTTTGCCAATCTGTCCCTCAAGTGGTTTTATGAGTAAAACTTCAAGGGGCGGGGGGGGGGGTGGGGAGGAAAGAAATGAAGCAGCCCTTGTCCTTTTTAGCTACCACTCTGAGATAATTGTTCTCAATCTTTAACCTATAGCAGAATCACTTGGCGCTCTATTAGCAACACTTAGTAAAAATAAATGTCTTTAACATTTTTACATGTTCAAGTGGAAATACCACTCAATGTATCAGTTCACTTTAAACAGAAAATTAACAGCCTATGAAAGCGAGATTGATTTCTTCTTGCACTGCCTTGGCCATGGTACAATGATTTTATTTGATTTTCATTGGGTTATGAGAGTGCCCCAGTGAACAGAGTTTAAAATCATGGACCGCCTTTAATTCTGCCCCTCATTATGACATGACAGGAGGTGCTAACGATAATGTGAGTGCTGGTCTCTGAGTACACAGTGACAAAGAGTTTCCTAGAAATTAAGCTCATAGCAACTCTAATTGGTTCACGTGATGAGTTGATTTTTGTTGATTGCAGTTCCTCACTCAAAGCATATGTTTTCTCTTTTAGTTTCATGGATACAATATGGGAGATATTCCCATCCAAATCTCAGGAACAAATTATTATCTGTATCCTTCAGATGGAGGACAGATTGAAGTAGAAAAGACAACATTTGAAAAAGGTACATTTGGAAAGCAGCATTAAATGGCTTGGAAGCTACCCTTTTCAGTCACCTTGGGCCCTTGTACTCCTGAATGTAATAGGTGAGAGTGGTCACGTGCCCACTCCATTCAACATTTTCACACTCAGATTCTTCTGTTGTAATTGACTCTGTGATTCACAGGCCACCTGAGAGGTTAGCTGGGACACACAAATAGAAAGTTCCAGTTGTTAAAATATTTAAACATTTCTATATCATTGGGAAATAGTGTAATACCCAAGCACATACTGTGAGGTTAGAGCAAATTTCTTGTTTGGGCTTTGGAGCACAGAGCTTGGGAGCCTGCTGCCGGTACCCATCTATTGTAGCAATAAGAAACTGCTGCTGAATTTAGAAGTCTTTAAGAGAGCGAGGGACAGGTGAGCTGCGGAGGACCTAGTCTGGAAGAACCTAAAGCAAAGTGCAGATATAGCCTCAGGGAACTGTCTGAGCATCTTGCAAGGCTTATCTTTTCATTGTGTTTTAAAGATTCCTCAGGTGGGTTTGAGGACCTGGGCTTTATTTGACAGCTTATCATCTGATAGGGAGCAGTGGTCTCTGAAAGCTGTGGAGGGATGTGAGCGGGACCCTGTTTAATGTCCACAAGATTATGTACACAGTCCAGCCAGTGTGGCTCGGTGGTTGAGCACTGACCTATGAACCAGGAGATCCTGGTTCGATTCCCAGTCAGGGCACATACCTAGGTTGCAGGTTCCATCACCGGTTGGAATGCATATGAGATGCAACAGATCAATGTTTCTCTCTCACATTTATGTTTCTCTCTCTCTCTCTTCCTTCCTCTCTCTTTTTAAAATCAGTAAAATTATGTCCTTGAGTGAGGATTTTAAAAAAAAGGCCTGAAAACTATTCATATTATTTAAAAAATGGTTTGTGATATAACATCAAATGCCAGACTGTTTTATTATATAAGGTTTGTTTATTTAAAACATGAAAAAGATTTTTATTAATCTATAAGTATGCATATTTACTTATGCTATCATATGTACTAATATTTAATATTTTTAATACCATCTCTGGGTATAGTGTACAATTATTATTAATTAGAATTGGAGCTCAGAATCACATACCTGAGAAAAGCACTGAACTCAAGTTTTATAATGGTATTTATAATAGTATTTTCAATAATTATTTCTCACTCCTACCAAGATTTTTATACATATACAGTATATATGCTTCAGATGGTTCATAGTAAATGTAGTGTTTTTATCCTAATTTTATCATTTTGAGAGATAATAGTGCAATCACACTGAATTTAAAAAAAGAAGAAGACTGAGAGAGGAGATAAAAAAATGAGTCAGGCCCTAACCAATTTGGCTCAGTGGATAGAGCATTGCCCTGCGGACTGAAGGGTCCCAGGTTCGATTCCGGTCAAGAGCATGTACTTTGGTTGTGGGCACATCCCCAGTAGGGGGTGTGAAAGAGGCAGCTGATCAATGTTTCTCTCTCATTGATGTTTCTAACTCTCTATCCCTCTTCCTTCCTCTCTGTAAAAAATCAATAAAATATATTTTTAAAAAATGAGTCAGAACACTAGAAAAATGTATTGTTAGGAAAATTCTTACTACTAATAATAACTACTATAATATTTGTGTAATTCTTTATAAGTTGCCAAACCCTTTCATATTAACTATTTCATGTGATTAAAGTTGAGTATAAGTATACATTAGCCTCAGCCAATTCATTTTGTCTTCTGTGATTTGATTTGAGATGTGACTAGAAAGGCTGCAAATATCTTCCCCATCCACCTGCCATCTATTCCTGGATTTCACCATTAGGCATCTTTTTATAAAAATGGGGACATCCCTAGGTATTTCCATTCCCTGACTGATTCTGTGCTGCGTTATTTTGATGTTTTGCCAAGAAGCTTAACAGGGCATCACAATCAGCCCATCTTCTATCCCATGATTCTTCCCCAGGATCAACTTTTATCAAAGTGAAAGTGAAAAAGGACAAACATAATTTTATAATTCATCTGAAAGACCCTAAGAAAATTGTGAAAAAGGAAAAAGAAGTGGATTATTCTTCAGAAGATGAGGAAGAAGCAAGAGAGGGAGAAAAAAATATTGAACTAGGTAAGCAGAGGCATCTCTGGCAGTAGGTAGGGGTTATCTTTCAGCAATGTGTCCATCCCGTCCACCTGACAGAAATACATGTGTGCCTCACATTCAGCATGTAAGTTTCCCATCAGGGAACTGAAGTGTTTTATGATTCTGGTTATATACATTCCCCTGTTGTAATGTGTATATACATTATATACATAGCCCATCTTTAGTGGGCTGCTTACTTGGTTTTGCCCCCTCTGGAGACCCAGCTTTTGATTCCAGTTGTCATATAGAGTCCTCCTAGCCTGGCTACCTTTAGCAACACTGAGTTTGCAATGCCCATTGTGGCCTGAATTTTGCTGTATGTGCTTGTATCAGGTCCTCATTAGTTGACTCCTACTGAAGGTTTAACTTCTCTCCAATATTCATTGTAAATGAGGGGTTTCCTCATATGCTCTCACTATTATTTAGTTCTCTCTTTAGTATCAAATTTCTTAAGTTGCAGGAACAAGAGAAAAATCCTAAATTTGGCCAGAAGAGTCTACACCTGCCAGTAGATGAGACTTCCAAGTGGATGTCCATTGATTGTACACCACGAAACTTCCTGATAATACCATTTAACATTTCCAGGAAACACCTAATGGGGAAATTAATTGATTCTTGCCCAATGTGATGAGGGTTACACCTGAAAAATGAGATGAGTTCATTAATAAAATGTTTTGGACTCAAGTTAGTAATAAGAAACATAACTAAATCTTGCTAATAAATTTACCTATGATCACAGTATTTTTCAAACTTATGAACACAATGTTTGACAAGTTTGAATGTACCCAAGAATTTAAAGCAAATTGTTAAATTATCTTTGTTTTTTCTTAATGTAAAAATATGTTTATTATAAAGCATTAGGAAATATAGCAATATTTAAAGAAGGTAACAGTGGCTAATAAGTCTACCAACCCAGCAGTAACCACTATTCATAGGGTGTTCCTTTCTTACTTTATTATCATGAGCATTTTCTTATTCATTCAATATTCTTGGAAAACAAGCTTTTTAAATGTTTTCATTTTAATTCATTGATATATATATATATATATATATATATATATATATATATATCATAATTTACTTAACCATATTCATGTGTTTGCATATTTAGTTGATTTCCACTTTGCATTGTGTTTTGCTTACATTTCTTTTTAATAAAATGGAAATGTCCTTGCTTCAATTTTGTCTTCCAGAAGAATCAAATGCAGAGAATAAAGCTGTCAGCAAGTCTGGATCTTTTTCTGCCACCTTGGAAAATGGAATCTGCCTCTCCATAAGTTACTATGGACCTAGCGGAAATGCGCCAGGTGAAGTAGACACGACAGAATGGATAGTGTCCCATGACCAAGGGTGTCTGCCCATCCTCAGTCTGCTCACTTGTTGAGAAACATGTTCTGATGTAATGCCCCCCATCTCCTGAAGGGTCAGAAAATATGTGGATGTGCATACATATATGTGTGTGTGTATATACATAGAAAATAACAGCACTTTGAAATAGCATTTATCATATAGAATCTTATAATCACATAGACATATTAGATCATATATACACACATATATATTACAGTTATCTTTTGTTAACTAGCCCATGAAAATAAGTCTGTTATTTGGTGCCAAAGAAAGCATGGGTTGCCAAGGAATCCTCTTGATTTTCTACAAAATAATATTTCTATGAATCCTGTGATTATAGAACTACTCATTGTGCTTCAGAACATTAGGCTTAAAGGAGCCATTCATTGGACATCTTGAAGGATTTCTTTGCCCCACTTTTAATAAACAAATTTTCCAACTGGAAGTTATTTTCTTACAAACCACAAAATAATATGTTGCTTTACCAAGAACTAATTAGAAAATCTTGTGGGTTCCCATGCATTTACAGGGATCTAACCACAACAGATTTTTTTAAAGTTTTAGAAAATAAAAAGATAATCCCTATGCTATATTGGCTTAAAACTGTGTAGATCATGGTAATTTAATGATCTGCCTTACTATGGACTTCCGTTTCTGCATAAACACATTTCCGTGGATGATTATAATCCAGGGCCTTATATTGTGCCAAATATTGTAATCTCTAGTGAGTTAGGGAGCCCATTACATTGTTAGTATTTTTGTTTTGTTGGGGGTTTTGTCTTTCAATTTTGTATTTGATTTGTTTTTAAACTGGCACTTGGAGAAGTCATTTAGTGCCTAACATTATGTATTAAATTTCATTATCACACAGTCACTAAAAAAATCCTATCAACTTTGAACATAGGTTATCATTAGTTTACATTCTACTCTCTTTTGACTATGTTGTTACTGTTTCCTGGTTTTCTTATTCTTAATTTAATCTTTAAGTTAATATGTAATTATTCAATTTAAAATAAATGTTGCTAATTTCAGGTGTTAAGTACAGAATTTGGAAATATTTATAGTGTGGATAATAAGTAATATTTTACTTACTGTGTATTTAAAAAGTTGAATGCATTAGTTTTTAAAAAAATATAAGTTCCTTAAGGACACATATAATAACTAATATTTTAGAACTTTTACTTGCTAATGGCTATGCAAATTTTCAATTCAATTACTTCCCTTAATTGGGTATATACAGTTCTCTAGAGCCTTGCTCATCTCACCTAACTGAATCTTTATGCCCATTAATGAGTAACTCCCCATTTACTTCCCCCACAGCCCCTGGCTACCACCACTCCACTCTGATGGAATTTGACTATTTTCCATCCCTCATATAAATGGAATCATGCAGTATTTGTTTTTTGTGTCTGCTTTATTTCACTAAGCTTAATGACCTCAGGGATCATGTTGCCACATATTGCAGAATTTTTTTCTTTATAAACACTGAGTCATATGTATATGCCACATTTTATTTATCCAGTCATCTGTCAATGGATACTTAGGTTGTTTTCCCATCTTGGCTACCCTGTTGCTGTTGTGTCTGTTAGTTCCTTGACTGAACTATGCTTTCTCTTATCTATAAACTGTGCTTTCTTTTATCTATAACACACATCTCATGCTGTGCCACTTGCTCACAACACATTCTCCTACTACATACACCACCACTTTCAACAATTAAATTTCCTCCCACACTTCAGGTCTCAGCATACAGGTTACTTGCACTGAGAAATGCTGCACAGATCAAGCAGCAGTAGCGTGTGAACTGGGGTTTTAAGGGGTGAGTGAGAATTGCCTAGGCAAAGAATCAAAGGCAGGGAATTCTAGGTGCCAGGAAACGTGTGTACCAACTATGTAGTATAAAGGCACAACAACTTTATGGAAAGACAAATTGTATACAGTAGAGCCAAAGTATAGGTTGAATGAAGGCATTTGTGTTAGATGACCTCTCTCCTGGGTTCCTATAGTGCTCTGTACTTCCCATCAGAGACCTAACACACAACATTGTACCCAGAGGTTTCTTCTTCTGAACTTCCCATTAGTGCCTTGTAGTCTCAATCATCATTGGCTATCCAATTTACGGTACATAGTACTAGGTATTCAATCAATATTTACCGAAAGAGTATCTAGATGAGAATGAGAGGGAGGAGTTTCCAGCTGCCTGTAACTGGATGCCATTTGCTTATTTATATGTCTACTGTACTTCTAATGGGTCAGACATAGAGAAATAGAGAAATAACTGGGCCAGTGGTAGAAATTATGTATAAACATAGTACTGGGAACAGCTACAAAATACTTCAGACAGAAGGTAAAGCATCTGAGATGGGACTTTAGAGAGAAGTGGGGATTATCCAGACAAAGCAACAAGGAAAGGGAGTCCTAGGCAGTTAGAACCATTTATGTAAATACTCAGTGCGTAAAAGCATGGCTTCCTTACAGAGCAGTGAAAAGTTGAGTGTGACTGGAGTGGAGGAAGGTGAACACTGCATGCCTGGGATGAGTAGGGAGTGGCAGAGGTCTCTAAGTAAGGGACGCAAAGTTAAATGATCAGATTTCATTTTAGGAACATAATTTTAGTGACATTTTGGAAAGTGCACTGAAATGGTGGTATTGGAGGTGCCAGATACCAGTTAGGAAACTACTGCAATAATCCTGTATAATAAAAGGAAAATATGCAAATTGACCCTAAGGGCATAATGACTGGGAATGACCAGTCGCTATGACACACACTCACCACCAGGGGCAGAAACTCAACGCAGGAGCTGCCCCCTGGTGGTTAGTGCACGTCCACAGGGGGAGCGCTGCTCAGCCAGAAGCTGGCTCATGGCTTCCCAGTGCAGCAGCGGGAGCCTCTCCTGCCTCTGCGGTAGCGCTAAGGATGTCCAACTAATGGCTTAGGCCTGCTCCCCGCCTTCCAAAGGACTCCCGGGCTGCCAGAGGTATGTCTGACTGCCAGCTTAAGCCTGCTCCTAAGCCGTCAGTTGTACATCCCCCAAGGGGCCTGGGCTGAGGGACGCGCCTCCCGAGTGCATGAATTTTCGTGCACCAGGCCTCTAGTTAAGTATAAGAAAATGAGAATCTGAGCTAAGGTGCTAAGATTAGATAGGAGAGGCATGATTGGAGAGAAATTTCCCAGGGCTTGATGACTGTTTGGATGTATAGGGCCCTGGTTGGCAAACTGCGGTTCGCGAGCCACATGTGGCTCTTTGGCCCCTTGAGGGTGGCTCTTCCACAAAATACCAACTTCTGTGCATGGGCCACGAAGTTTCAATCGCACTATACGTGCACGCCTGCACATGGTATTTTGTGGAAGAGCCACACTCAAGGGGCCAAAGAGCCGCATGTGGCTCGCAAGCTGCAGTTTGCCTATACTATAGGGTGAATCAAAAGGAGAAAATGTGAATGATTTGAATGTCTAACTTGGGAACAGGGTGTGTGATTAGTAGCGGCATTGAGGGGGTGCCCAGCTTGGGAGAGGAGAGACTTACTGAGTTAGAAATGTGTCCAGTATCACCACCAGGGGGAGATATCTAATAAGTAGTTGGAAATAAGGATCTGGGGCTGAGAAAAGAAAGGCCAAGTGTAGAGATGTAAATTTTGGAGTCATTAGCAGTACATCCATGGCAGTTGGAGCCCCAGTCCTGAAAGAGATCACTCATGAAGAGACTCAGCCCTCAGAGCATTACAACCACAAGTGATGTTTCACAGATATAAATGCCTGGGCCTCATTCCCAGAGAGTCTGATCCAGTAGGTCAAGGTGGGGATCTGAGCATTTGCTGTTTTTGTTGTTGTTGTTTTGTTCCATGAGTAATTATCATGGACAGCCAGAGTTGAGGACATCTGTTGTATAAGGATAAGGGGAAACCCTCTGAAACTAGCAACATTTAACAGATTGACAAAAGAGGAAGAATCAGGAAAGGAGACTAAGAACAAAACTGACCCTAGAGAGAAAAGGAGATCCAGGTGGGAGTGTCAGCCTGGAACCCAGAGGAGGATAAAGTTCAAGATGTGAGGAACACAGTTTCTCCACAGATCAGCTCTCCTTTTAGAATTCTGACAATTTTTAAAAACCCAAATAAAATCAATCTGCTATGAGAAAATGTCTTTTACCATCTCAGCTAGAAATTGTCTTTCTTGAATGTCCTTGTTTGTATCCCTTATTATGTTACTATTTAATATGTCCTTGTATTGAAGGTATTTGAGTGCAGATCTTATTTTGACTATTTCAGCTTCGTAAGTTCTTTTACATATTTTTTATTTATCACTACTCCACATATTTTGTATATGATAGTCTCTCAATAAATATGTCTCAATTAAATGAAGAGATGGTTACTGCTCTATCAATATGCCTTTCAAATGTAGATGGAAAGGCAAGAACATGTGAAACAATGACTCCATCAAATATATCATTATATTAAGTACCTCAAATAGTTCATCTATAATCCTGATTTTCAAATCAACTACATTATGCCTGAAATCTATCCAACTAATAAGTCACATTCAGCAAGGTAAAAATTGTTGCCAACTTGTATAAATGAATGAGATGTAAATTTTATTTAATAAACATATGTAATATGAATATCTAATTTCCTTGTTTTCTTCTTATAGAGGAGAAGGATCCTCAGTTGGAAGCAATGTTGAATATCCCATCAGCACTTCTTCCAACAGTAATTCCTGTTATAGTGCCAGTTCCTCAAGTCAAAGGAAAAGGGAAAACAAAAGTCAAAGAAAAACACAAAGAATCTATTAAAGAAGAGGAGCACCCAAAAGAAGAAGAAAAAAAGGTGAGTGGACCTTGCCATGGATTCTAAAGTGTACTTCTGCCTCAATGTCAGCTCTTTAAAAATCATGAGTTACATCAATGTATTTTAACTTTCCTGTCCTTATAATCCCCCCGTCTTTCACAATGGCTATTTTTAATATCTAAGAACTCTTGAATTTTTTCCATAGCAATTTTTAATTTATTGATTGATTTGGAGGGAGCGGGGGAGAGAGAGAGAGATATCTTTTGTTCCAATGTTGATTGTTGGGTACATGGGTACATGGCCATATTTATCACTGAAAACCCCTTTCCTTTCTTGGTGCTCTGCCTGGTCAGATGAGAAGCGAGAAGTCTCGTTGAATTTCCTTCTCTGAGGGGAAATTATAATATTCTACAAGCCGCTGCAATCTCACTATGACTATTCATTTGCTCCTCAGGTCTTTCCATTGTTGGTAATCAATATTAAAGGACTAGTTAGAATAAACTGAAGATCCAGCAATGGGAGGTCAGTGGAATGATTTTAGTGGCTAACAAAAGAAAGCCAAGTGGAAAGACAGAAATTATCATTAGGGATTGGATGTGTGCTCCAGAATAATTTTCATTCCAGAGCACACATAACCAAACAAGGTGTTCAGGCATAGCTGGCATAAAATTAATTAGCATTTTTAAGTAGACACAACCAAACGCTCATTCATTTATAAATAGTTTTTTAATTATCTATTATTTTCACTAATTTTTATGAATACAAAATCAATGTGTGCTCATTATAGAAAAATAAGGACACATATCCTGATAGCATAATGTCTCTAGATTTCAAACTTTAGCAATTGCACAAAAAAGGTATCAGGGAGATTGGTCTGCCCTTACACCTACATATGCAAACAGAGGCCTCTATCAAAGCCTAGTTCAGGCCCCAGCTCCTCCATGACTTTTTCTCTAATTATTGGCATATTGAAAACTTCCTTTAAAAAAAATATATATATATATATATATATATATATATATATATATATATATGTGTGTGTGTGTGTGTGTATATATATATATACATATACAAATATATACATACATACATATATATATACATATATACATATATATATTGTTTTATTGATTTCAGAGAGGAAGGGAGAGGGAGAGAGAGATAGAAACATCAGTGATGAGAGAGAATCATTAATTGGCTGCCTTCTGCACACCCCCTACTGGGGATTGAGCCCGCAACCAGGGCATGTGCCCTTGACCTGAATCAAACCCAGGTCCCTCTAGTCTACAGACTGATGCTCTATCCACTGAGCAAACCAGCTAGGCCATAAACTCCCTTTTCTGAGGAAAGATGTATCAACCATTTGAGTACTATTTAACTGTTTCACATATCTGTGTGCCATTCTACAAGCAGGTTGTAAGTTGCATAAAGGGTGGAGACTCATTATCCTTGCCAGGCCTTATTGTCTTGGGCAAGTCATATCTTAAGCATTCAGCAAGTTTTTGCTCAGTCATAATAAATCAATAACTAATTTATAAAAAGATGAGCAATTATTCACATGCGAAATTATTTACAGGAAGAAGTAGAACCAGAACCTGTTTTACAAGAGACTGTTTTTGTTCCCACCTTCCCAAACCTAAATGTGTCTTGCCCCAATGGACTCCTAGTGACCTTCATTGGGCAAGAGTCAACAGGTGAGTGCTAACTGGGAGGGGTAGGGAGGCAGGGGAGCAAAAAGTCATATAGAAGACAGTTAAATCACCATTGAAATTGTGTAACTTCCTGCCTATTATACACACTTGTTGATAATGAATAGGATAATAAATATAATAATCATTTTTTAAAAACATTTTTTATTGACTTCAGAGAGAATAGAGAGGGAGAGAGAGATAGAAACATCAATGATGAGAGAGAATTACTGATTGGCTGCCTCCTGCATACTCCTTACTGGGGATCGAGCCTGCAACCCAGGCATGTGCCCTTGACTGGAATTGAACCCAGGATCCTTCAGTCTGTAGGCTGATGCTCTTATCCACTGAGCCAAACCAGCTAGGGCTATACTATGGACCAGGCATTATCTAAGTACTTACCATATATGACAAAATGCAACTATAAGCTAAGTCCTAATAATTCCATTTTACAAAATAAAGAAATTGAGGCTTCAAGAGGTCATTGCCCAAGTCATTCAAGTCCTAAGTGAAAGAAATAAAATGCCATTTTGGTTTAATCATGGCAAAGCAAGTGCTCTTAACAACTATTATGTGGCTCTGTCTTCCTGCTTCTACAATGGGCCACAGATATAGTATTTTGCTGGTCTGGTCAAAAGAAAGTATAGTGAGATAAGTGCAGGTTAAATGATGAAGAAAACCTGTCTTATTCCCAGGTCAGTATATAATTTTATAGTCTATTATTTCTATTGACTTTGCATATGGCTCCTAATCTATTAAGATGATTAAGTACAAGTGGGGCTTTTTAAATTAACCTGATGGGCTATTGAATTTGAATATTATTTACATGGAGACCCACTATTGCTGTAGAAGTAGGGAAGTGCAGCAAAGCAAGCACTGAACTAGGACTTGAGTTCTAACCAACTCCATGGCCCTTTCAATTACTGCCTTTGAACCATGTTTTTTCATCTGGTAACTATTGTATCAGTGGATCCTGATTTTTTTCACAACCAAATATCATCTTTATTATAATTCCCTAATGTATGCCATATTTGAAAAGTGTAGCTATCAAAGGATAAGAGTATCCTATTAAAAATAATTTAATGTCATATTTACTTGCCAGACAAATGAAAAGAAACTAGATGTAGTTGACCTCTTTTGTCTCAATATCACTTTTCATTAGGCTTTATATATTATTAGAAATAGACCATGCGCTCTTGTTTCTATTTCCAAGGATTCTTAGTGGTCTGGGTTCTCCGTGAGGGGACCCACAGTGTGTGCTACCAAGACTAATGGCCACTAAGGTCTTTCGAAGTTAAAGATACTATGAGTGTACTAAGAGAGGTGTTTTCAAGTTCAAGGACATTTTGTTTATTTGCTTATTTACTTGTTCCTGTTATCAAACCCCAACTTAATACCTGTTTCACCTGTCTTTTCTATTAGTTTTATAATATAGTCTAATATTTTCATCCTTATGTCTAGGCAGACAATGGGGTTAATAATGACTCTGCCTGGAACACATAATCTTTTAAAAGTCTTTCATATATTGTAAATATCCTAATTTAAGCTTGAACATAACTACAACATAAACAAAGTAGCAATACCTTCGTCAGGGTCAGCCTTGGACATAGGCAGAGAAGGTCACATGAGTGACTTCCCCTGGGGCTCCAGGCAACCAGGGGACTCGAGAGGAGCATTGTGGGCATCCAGAGTTTACACTCAGGTGACAGAAAAGGTGACATCTAAGGCAGCATTCTTTTGCTTCTTTCCTAATTTTGCCCTGAGATGTCCTGGACTTCATTAGAGAGAATGGCTTACACATGGAGAAGGTACCTATTAAGTGTGTGTAGATGACCTTACTACATTTGACAAAGGCAGCAAAGAACCAGTACGCTGGGCCTCTGTCATATATGGAAACTGCCCTATTACTTATATATCGACAAAAGAATAACAATAATTTAAAAAAAAGCTAAGCAAGAAGATAAAATCCCAGCCACACAGCATTGCCCAGTTCACAGTAGGCTTCTTTTTTCTTTAAGATAAATATGTTAAGGATGAGGAACCCACTTGGGACATCATGGTCCGACAGAGCTACCCCCAGAGGATAAAGCACTATGACTTCTATAAAACAGTGCTGCCCCCAGTGGAGCAGGAGGCATCGAGGGTTATCACCAGGCAAGGCACCGTGGTCAAGTATATGCTGGATGGATCCACACAGGTAAGAGGATGTGAGATAAAGTACTCTTTCCTGCTGCAAAGTAAAATACAAAAAAAGCTATGGGTAAGGAACAGTACTGTGACATAGAAGAGGAACAACTCATTTGAAAATAGAATGACACTTGAAAATGACAAATAAAAAGTAGTATAGTGAGAAGAAAACACACTATCTGTGCCATACAGGATACAAATAAACATATCATTCTACATATGATCCAAGATTATAGACTGAACACAGAGTTTACCTTCTCTCCCTCTCAAAGCACCTTAAAATACTAGAAAAATACTTTTAAATAGCAAATTCATAACTGTACTAGATAACAACACAATGTGTCATCAATGGATCAGAAGGCTTAGAGAATTGCTAAAAAATTCAAGTCAGATGGAATTCAAATGATGGAGAAACAAATGCAAAGTTTAAAACATATTAAAAACAAAACCACCGAAATTTTTTAAATGCGAGTTTTAACACAGATGTTTCACAAATGGAGCTCTGGCCTCAGAAATCAGGGCAGTGCCCCAGGCAACTCACTGCTACCTGGAGGGTGAAACCAGAAACCATAATACCCGGAAGCCATGTGCCCTGCTCCATCCCTCCCCAAGGAAGAGCATTCTCTGACCACATGTGGCCCCAAGAAGGGAAAGGGGTTCTCAGTGAAAAATATGGCCATGTACCCCAAAACCCCAAAATCATCACCTTCGGGACAGAAGATCGATGTTTCTCTCTCTCTCTCTCTCTCTCTCTCTCTCTCTCTCTCTCTCTTTCTCTCTTTCTCTCTTTCTCTCTCTCTCATCAATAAATTAAAAGTTGCTATGGAAAAAATAGAGTTCTTAGATATTAAAAATAACAATTGTGAAAGATGGGGGGGGCTGGATTATGAAGAACAGATAAGTTAAAAAAACATTGAAAAGGAATCTATATGATTAAATTTCTAGAAGAAGAAAATGAAGGGGGGGAGAATAATGAAAAACGATATAGTAAATTTTCCTAGAGCTTAAAAAATACTTTAGATTAAACAGGACTACCAAGTACCAATCAGGATTGATACTAATTGTTTAAAGATTATTTAGATATATCATAGTACAATTTTAGGACTGCATAGGTAGACAATCCCAAAAGCTTCCTGAGGAAACCAGTTACATATAAAAGAATTAAGATGGACTTCTTATTAGCAACACTGACAGTTCTTGTTCTGTTATTTGGGAGGCTATCAATACTGATACTGGATAGAGTATGTATCAATAGTGCCTCTGGATACAATATATACTAGATAGATACTGATAGAAACTAAGCATTTAAATATGTGATAAAGTTTTAAATGTAGTCAGAAAAATTGAAACTGGATAATTTCCCAATTACATAGGGGAAGGGTGAATAAAGAAAAAAACATTTTAAAAAGTCAATCTAATAAAAGACAGGAAATAAAAAAAGAAAACAAATAGCATAGAAGGTAAGTGGAAAACAAAGTAATATGTTTGTGCTGGTTATTAACCTGTAGACTCTGAGTTCATGTTTGAGTCTGGAAGTCTGCAAATAGCATTTCTGTGGATTCATTTTAATCTATTACAGCTTCACCCACACTGTTAATTGTTAACCAGCCTCTTCCTTGCTTCTGAGAATGCTGGATTTATGCTTTCCTTCAGATTCTCTTTGCAGATGGCTCTGTGAGCAGTAGTCCCGATTCAAGGCCTGTTTGTCCTCCTGTTGAAATGTCAGTAACTCCTCACAGTGGAGACTTGATGGACTCGGTTTCTCAGCAAAAGTCAGAAACAATACCATCAGATATTGTCATCACAAAGAAAGGTAATAACCAAAGCCTCCAGTGGATTTCAGAGATTTTTAAAATACAGGGTGGAGCAAAAGTAGGTTACAGTTGTTTGTATGGAAATAATACAAAAATTAATAAATAATAATATAAAAATATACTTTGTTTTGCATACTCACAACTGTAAACCTCCCTATGCCCCACTCTGTATTAAATCAGCTAATTCTCATATCAACCCTATGAAGTACATATTTTAATGATCCCAATTTACAGATGAGGAAATTGAGACATGAGACACAGAGAAGTAACTTCCTTGAGGTCTCTTAGCTAGTAAGTGGTAGAGCTGGGATTTGCATCTGAGCAGCTAACCTCTGACTCACACTGTCTTTCATGTGTTACATTTTTTTCTCAATTTCTCATAGGCCTTTAATGATCTGAGACCAAGATTTAGTCTTTTTGTCAATTTCACACATCTCATCACAGCGCCCTGTAATCTTGTATGGAAGCAAAGTGAATTCCTTTTTCGTTAACTCAAAATTTAGTGAAGCAGAGTTTCCTGTGGTAGTAGCAGAAGGCCCCTGGTAGAAGGGAACTGGAAAGCTCCCTGTAGCTTTCTAAACTTCCCGGCGCAAGGGCTCCCTCTCTTGTTGATTCCAGGACTTGGTGTACAGGTGGTCTGTGTAGCCTCTTCTCTAACTGCCCATCCTGGTTCCAAAGGGCTTCTGCCTCCAGCAGGTGTACTCCAGGTTTCTTCACAGCCCTTCCATCTAGGGCAATGCATTCGCTTTTGTTTTTTCTTAACTCATGTGTTTTTAGGGAAATTTTAGTTATACCGAGAAAAATGAGCAGAAAGCACAGTACAGGGAGTTCCATATACGTCCTCTCTTCCTGCCTCACAATTTTCCCTATTTTTAAGATCTTGAAAGTATAGTACATTTGTTAGAATTGATGAACCAGTATTGATACATTATTATGAACTCAGGTCCGTAGTTTACAGTAAAGTTCACTTTTTGTGTTGTACAGTTCTATGAGGTTTCACAGAGAATAAGGCCATGAATCCACCATTAGAGGGCACACAGTAAGTTTCATCACCCTGAAAATCCCCTCTCCTGCACTTACTCATCCTTCTCTTCTCCTCCAACCTGAACCATTCCTCACAACCACTGATCTTTTCAATGTCTCTGTAGTTTTACATTTTCTAGAAGGCCATATAGTTGGAATCCTCTAGTATGTAACCTTTTCAGATTGGCTTATTTCAGTTAGTAACATATATTTAAGATTCCTTCTGGACTTTTCATGGCGTGAAAGTTCATTTGTTTTAATTAACAGAATAACAGTCTGTTATATAGATGTGCAAAAATTTGTTTATCTATTCACGTTTTGATGGATATCCAGGGTGACACAAAAGTAAGTTCACAGTTGTTCATATGGAAAAATAATTCAGTAACTAATAACTAATGCCACAAGAATAAACTCTGTGTTTCATGTACTCACAGCTGTATGCTTCCTTTTGCCCTACCCTGGATTGGTGGTGTCCAGTGTTTTGGCAATTGGGATGAAGCTGCTTTTACACATTTGCATGCAGGTTTTTATATGAACAATAGAGGCCCAGTGCATGAATTCATGCATGGGTGGGGTCCGGCCAGCTGGCCCCGATCGGTGTGGGGGGTTTAGATTGTGGGTGGGGCCTTCCAGGGGGAAGGGCCACAGTCATTTGGCTGGCCAGCCCTGCCCCCGATTGGGGGGGGGGGGCTGGAGGTAGGGTCAGCCAGCCCCTCCCCCTGGTCAAACTCCCTGTCGAGGGGAAAAATTTGCATATTAGCCTTTTATTATATAGGATATTTTCAGTTATTTAAATAAATACCTAGGAGCATATTCCGTATATGTTTAGCTTTATAAGAAACTGCCAGACTGTCTTCCAAAGTGGCTATATCATTTTTGCATCCCCACCAGCAATGTTTGAGAGTTCCTGTTGCCCCACTTTCTTATCAGCATTTGGTGGTGTCAGTTTTTTGGATTTTACCCATTCTAATTGGTGTGTAGTGATATTTCATTGTTGTTTTAATTTTAATCCCTAATGATATGCTTATTTACTAACCATATATTGTCTTCAGTGAGGTATCTATTGATATATCTTGCCCATTTTTAAATTGGGTTGCTTTCTTAGATGTATCCATGATTAGAGGTTGTATTTTACCAGCGCTTCCTAAACACCTGTCATGAAAGGACCACCCCTATCCTGACCCCTGGCACATTAGAAGCCTTTCCTCTGCATTTTGTTCAGGATCCTGTTCCATTCATCTTAGATACTGCCCACACGAGTTTGAAATTCGAAAATGTGATCCAGAAGATATAAGCAAAACTCAAAGAGTGCAGAAATGGGCTAGAATACGTATGATGTCATAGAGAGTGAATTGTATATATGCACGTGTACATTTGGAGGAAGGTGACGAGAATCCAGCCAAAGTTCAAGTACCAAGATTAAGATATTCATGACCTGATATTTTCATCATTTGAGAAATAATATAATTGAATACTACTTAGAATTTCTGTGTCACAATGTCTTTTATACTGAACTAAACAACGAATGATTCATATAATCGATATTATAGTTATATTGTTGTGTTTGATTTTACTTAAACTTCTGCAGGAAAAAGTCACAAAAATCAGTCTGCGGTGTTACACAAGAGTGAAATCCATGAACCTCCCACAGAAACGGTTCACATAGTGACTCCAGTGGAGACTCACGTGGGCACCTGGTTTACAACTACACCTGAAGGGAATCGGATTGGCACCAAAGGATCAAAAAAAATAGCAGACTTAGCACCATTTTTATCTTTTCAGGCCACAGATCCTGTCACTGGAACGGTATGGCAAACTGTTTATATTGCAAAATTACCTAAATCATGAGAATTTTGAAACAACGCATAGAACAGTGCCTGAAGAGAGTAAATTTTCAACAACAATTTTTTAAGTAGTTAATAGTGGGTAGGTTGGTTGGTGGGTGGGTGGGTGAGTATGTGGATGGATGGGTGGATGGATGGAAGGAAGAATGAATGGATGAATAGATGGATCTTTCTCCCCAAATCTAAAAGCATTTTGCCTTTTATTTGACCAGCATAGAACTTCATAAAATACTAATTTTTGAAATGGAGACAGGTCATGAATTTTCTATACCACTCTTAAGACATATGATTAATAATGTCATTATTTCCTTATGTTGAATGCATTTGTATATATGTCTTACCTCATAGAAATAAGGGCCTATACCTTATTCTTAATTCTTTGTGTGCACCTGATGTGAGTGGTAGGAATTTGTTCATGATCCTTGATTTCAAAGAACTTAATATATTTAAGGAAATTCTCACATTAAAAAATTCAAGACACCACAGAATAACTGTACAAAACATTTCATTTGTAGCATAAAAATAGGTACCTTATGAGTGATATAGAAAATAATGGTTTTGTTTAGGATGTGAAATTGAAATTCCTCACATGAATAATAAATAGCACCTTCTATATGCAGGACTTTTTGTTAGGGGTTTTGCAAACATTATCTCATTAGTCCTTACACCAATGAATATTGTTACACAGATGAGGAAATTGAGTCTCAGCAAGTTACATAATATGGTCAAGAGTATGCATCCCGGAAGTGAGAGAGCCAGGATTAGAACAATCGTTGGTGACTGAACACTGGGTTCTTTCTATCCCTCAGATAGTCCTCTGACACCTTATGTGGAGCTTTGCAACACCCTCTGAGTCTAAACAAGACGAAGAATTTCCTAGGTGTCTTATCTCTGGTTTGTGGACTTCCTACCCGTTTACAACCATGTGCTGCTGGTCAAAGCAAAATGTCTGCTTCTGTTGAGATGACTTACATTATCCACTAGAACAGAAGGGATTATGGTTTGAAACTGACAAACTACCAGAACACAATTGGCATTCATCTCAACTGCATTTCCTCGGCTTTAGGGAAGGATATCAGTGTGGTCAATGCAGCAGCCTCATCCAGCTGGGAGGCCCAGCCACCAGCTACAGGCACTCCTTCTGCTACCCTCAGGCCCACACATCACTGTGCAGCCACCCACAGGAGTAGGTGAGGGTGCGGACCAACCTGGCTCAGAGAAGCCTCAGCCCCTGCCCCCACCAATCCTCATGTTCTGTTCTGATGACACGAGACAACCCACATAACATGCATGGCAGGCTCAGCAAGCCACACTGACCTTCAATCTTTAATTTCCAAGGAAGCATGACCTGGGGACATTTCCCCAGCCAGACCAGGGTCAGGCCAGTCCTGATGTTAAATTTTCACTCACAAATATGTGACCGTGAAAGGAGCATCAGTTTTGAAGTCAGAAGGCCTTAATCCAGCAGCAGCCCTGGCACTTGCCGGGTGACCTTGAGCAAGTATCTTAACCTCTTCTCAACCTAAATGTTCTGCCTCCCAGGTTTGTTGTAAAGGTCAGACCAAGTAGATAAGATAAAGCTTCCACTTATAAATACATAACCAGGCGTTGATGGTATTCCCCAGGGTGTGAAAATGAGCGCACTTGGGATTGGCCACTGACCAAACGAAATGCCCTGCCTTTGTGTCCAGGTTATGACCACTCGGGAGGACAAAGCAATCATCGTGGAGAAGCAGGATGGTACGCGGATAGTGGACCATGCTGATGGGACCAGAATCACAACCTTTTACCAAGTTTATGAAGATAATTTTATTCCTTTGAGTGATCAAGAAATAAGTATGCTTTTTTTTTTTCAAGTATGTGACATTATTTTATAAGTCTCTAGAATTTGATAGGCAGAGAGATAGCAGCTCTAGTTGGCTCATGGGTAGCAATAGTGGCTTTTCCATTTTCATTCCCAAAAACCTATAGTCTGCTATGGTGGCAACTAAAAGTTAAAAATCATGACTCAACTGTCCTGGACATTAGCTCTCAAACTTAATTTCTTAGATCTTTAAGGAATCAAATTTGAATAAATAGGTGAACTCAGCTAGGCCCCCCTTCAATTCCAAGCATGCCTCAGGCCAGCTGCAGCTGCTAAGCAACTGGCACCTGTTCAGAGACTCTAAACGCCTACCAGCCTTCCTAACCTAAATCTGAACAAGATTTTTAGAGAAAAATTATTACCTGACTTCCTTTTCTTTAATTCCAGAGTTTATTTCATGCATTAATGCTTCATTGCCAAATTAAGTGCAATGAAATTGGCAAGTGAGTGGGAAAAGCGGAGCCTTTATGCCCCACTAGACAGAGTGATAATTAAGAGTCAATTGGGAGGGCAATTTAAAAATATCTAGGAAATTGTAAAGGTACCTATCATAGGATGCACTAACTCCACACCTGGGTAGATATAGAAAAACACTCTTATGCATTTATACAAGGAAATAGGTGCAGGGGTGCTATTTACAACACTGAGTATAATATTAAAATATTGGAAAGCATGAATGTCCATCAACAGCAGAACAGAAAAATAACATGTGGCATATACTTACAAAGGAATACTATATAGCAGTTGAAAGGAAAGAAGTGCACACACAATATACATGTACACACACATATGTATATCAAGTTGGCTAAAGGTCTCAAAACAAGGCTGAGAAAAGCAGTTGCAGAATGATACAGAGTAACATATAACATGCAAATTTAAAGCATGCAAAATATTATACATTGTTTTGGTACGCATCTACACTAATAAAACAAAAATATGCAAATTGACTGTACCTTTGCGATGCCCAACAGCCAATCAGGGGTGAGTATGCAAATTAACCCAACAAAGATGGTGGGTTAATTTGCATACACAGGCGCCAAGTGGCCAGGGGCAGGGCGGGATGCAGGCATTCCACACCACCCCAGCCGCTGTGGGCTTCTGGGCAGCGTGGGAAGGCAGAAAGGCGGCTCCGGCTGGAGCGAAGGCAGTGCCGGCAGCCAGGGGAAGGAAGGCCCATTCTTGCACGAATCTTCGTGCATCCGGTCTTTATATAAAAGTATACAAATGGATTGCAAGAGAAGGGAATAAACTGAGAATAAATTCTTATGTACATATTAAAAATGTTGAAGCAAATATAGCAGAATATTAACAAGGTGCAAATGTTGATTGAGTAGTTATGCTTTTCTGGATGTTTTCAATTTTTCAAAGTAAAAAGAGTAGTGAGAATTAAACAGCACACTACACTAAGTCTGAAAAGATCCTCTGGGATGATTGCTCTACGTTGCCAGGGAGAACCCTGGGAACTCCTGCCTTGTGGAGTGAGCTCTCAGCACTCAGTCTCAACTTCCAGTCCAGGCAGCCAGGAGACAGGAGCAAAATTAGCAAGCAGCGTGTTTCCGATGTGTGCATGCTCTCAGATCTGCTTGTCATGCATTTGCCCGCAGATGAAGGTCCTCAGGTGACTGTCACTAGGCAGGTGAAGTGCATGCGGATAGAAAGTTCACACTATGCCACTATCATCACCAACTGCGAGGACAGTAGATGCTGTGCCACCTTTGGGGATGGGACATCTGTTATTGCAAAGCCACAGGGAACATACCAGGTAGGTCTTGGGGGAGAAGTGGCATTGGGAGGAGGAAAAGGAGTGCCAAAGGTAAATGTCCATTCGACTAAGAAAACCCACTGAACCAGGGCAGTGAGCGTGCCTGCCATGTGGACCCTCTTGGAGATGACTCCTGCCCAAGATCATGAAGGGTTCAACAGTTTAAATAGGGCCACGTGTTTTTGCTTCAGTTAAAATGTTTTTATTATTTTATATTAAACATCTGAAATAAGAAGGTACAGCAATTACTCGAAAGAAATAGTGAAGTAAGTAGATGAAATATGAGGACTTGGGACAAATTAGATGCTAATTATTCAGTGTACCTCCTTATCAGGTAGTCCTTCCCAAATCTTAAATTCTCTCTTAGATTTTCTTCCTGGAAATACAGTTTGTGGCAGAGATCTGTGAATAATTTTTGTCCTAAAATGATTCTTCAAATTCCTTAATTTGATTAAGAAATTTAAAATAATTTCTCTCTTTCTGATACCCTTCCAGGTGTTACCTCCAAACACAGGCTGTCTCTATATCGATAGGGATTGTTCAGCTATATATTGCCATGAATCAAGCAGTGATATATACCATCCTTTCCAAAACCGTGAGCAGCTGAGAGCTAGCATGTACATCATGAAGCACACCTCAGAGGTTATCTGTCAGGTCCTGGACCCGGAGGGAAACACCTTTGAGGTAAAATGTATCATTAGTTTGGAAAGAGAGGCTATGGCTTTGCTTTTCAGATATTTCACATGAGAGAGCCTCCACGTAGCTTTTTACCTTAGCAGCTTTGGAGTAAGTTATCTACTAACTGCCAATACTTTGGGCAAGTGGTAGCGAATGTCAGTATCTTTGATTATCAAGTGTACTTGCATAGGGGATAGAAAGCCCAGCTATTGGAATGGTAGAAATGCTAAAGCCAAGTAATTAATTAGAACATAGTGGATGAAGCATTGGAAAAAACTAAACATCTATAAATAATGCCAACACAAAGGAATGATGAAGAGTGGTCTGTGTCCAGGGTAAAGTAAGAGCAAATGCATGGACAGCAGGCAGAGAATCCACGGTGAGGATTTCAGTTAATGAGGGTTCTGTGGGGATGAAGATAGGGAGGGGGGGAAGCCTGAAGGGGAGTTTAGCTACTCGGACAGAACTCTACCTTCTGTTTCTCTGTCCCTCAAAAGCACAACTACCCTCTTACCTCTAGGCCAGGCATTGGCAAACCCTGGCCATTTGTTTGTATGAGCTAAAAATTGTTTTTATATTTTTTAGTGGTTAGGAAAACATCAAAAGGAGAATAATGTTTCTTGACACATAAAAATGACAGGAAATACAAATTTCAGTATCTATCTCTATCTATCTATCTATCTATCTATCTATCTATCTATCTATCTAAAAGCCTAAGTGACTGTTAAGACTGGTTGACCGGTCACATGACACACACTGACCACCAGGGGCAGATACTCAATGCAGGAGCTGTCCCCTGGTGGTCAGTGCGCTCCCACAGCCAACTTCCCATGGTCCTTCCCCCCAGCAGGCTAGCCCCGATGAGCCCCAAGTGGGATTAGGTGAAAGGGCCCTGATCAGCCCCAATCCCCAGCCAGGCCGAGGGACCCCACCCATGCATGAATTCCTGCACCAGGCCTCTAGTCGTTATATAAAGTTTTACTAGAACACAGCGATGCTTACTGGTTCATGGCTGCTGGTCATGGAAGGGTAGAGTTGAGTAGTTACAACATAGGCTCTATGGCCCACCAACTCTACACTATTTACTATCTGGCCTTTGGGGGGGGGGGTGGAAGAAGGTTTGTCAACCCCTCCTTTAGGCATTTATCTTTCTTTTTTTCTTTTCACTCCTCACCCAAGAGTGGAATTTTGTGTGTTGGTGGTGAAGTTATTTTAGATTGGAACCATACCACAGAGTCCCCAACTTTGTTTTGTTATTCAGACAAGCCGTGATCCAGCTTGTTTTTTTGTTTTTTACTTTTTTGTACTAAGTAAATAAAGCTCTTCACAGCATGAATTTAGGCTCCTAACAAATTTAAGTTTACAATGAATTTAAATTGAAAGCCCAGCCCTTCTAGGTTGAACACATGGGTCATCCAGGCCAAGCATTCTTCTAGGCGTTGATGCTCTTCTTGGCCATCCTCTATGGTGGTCTTTCAGCCTGGACTGCACTGCTTCCTGGAAAAACCCAAGCCATATCTAGACAGTAGTGAGGGCTAGCATGTTTCCTCTCATATTGATACTCAATCTGTTTCCCTATGTACTCTCTCCATGCATCCTAATTCTGTGCTTGGAGTCGCAGAATATAAACCTCTTCCATGCTGTCACTCTTTCAATCTTTCAAGACAACTAGCACATGACCAGCCTTTCCTCCATGTTTAAATCCCAGTTCCTTGAACTGATCCTCAGAAGATAAGGTTGGGAGTCCTCTGCCTTCCTAGTCACCTTCTTCAGGGGATTTCTAGTTTTTCTAATGTGTTTTCACAGTCTAGGTGTGGTTTGTGAGTGAACATGTGCTATTAGGTTTTCAATTTTATGCAATCTGTACTTAGTGAGCAATACCTTATAAATAAAAATACCTGATTTTCTGAGAATACAAAAAATCATCTACTTTCTCAAGTGTGATCAGCAGAAATGTAAGCTTTATGGCGTTTTTTTCTTTCAGTTGCTAATATACTTTGTCCCTTAGGTCATGGCTGATGGTAGCGTATCAACTAGGCTACCTGAAATCAATTTGGGAGATCATTTAGATGCAAGTCCAGAAGGCTATGATAATTTATCATCTGCTCACCTTCATAAGAATCATCTGCAAATCTTTGGTGAACATGTCCCCAGGTAATATGATAAAAATAATACCAGGACTTTTATTTTTAATTCGGAGTTCAAGGGGCATTTTAACTGAATACGTCAAGTGATTCAATTTTTATTTCTTCAAATAGGTTTTTTGTTGTCTATGCCGATGGATCAGGAGTGGAACTTCTTCGAGACAGTGACATTGATGAGTACCTGTCCTTGGCATACGGAGAACCAACTACCGTAGTTCTTCAAGAGCCAGTGCAGGAGCAGCCAGGTAGGAAGCCTACTAGGCTGGAGCTCACTGTGTCCCTTCCCAAACTCTCACCTTTCCTATCCAGTCCACGCCCAGGTCGTCTCTACTTTTTTCCTTTGCTCACTTTTCAATTCTACTTTTTACCTGACTGTGTCAACCTATATATATAGTTATTTGTGCTCAGACCAAGATTTATCTGAGCATCAACCTATGTAAACTGTGGAGGATGAGTCACTCTCCTACCCATATGCAGATTTGTATCTGTGTTTAAGTATGTTATGTATGTACCTAGGTTCCTATTTATGTGTTTGTTTAATCTTGGTAGAAAAAAAAAGAAAAGTAAGATATCCCCTCTAAGTTAATTTTCTGTCATTTTGACAGTGTTACCTTAATGAATTTAATAGAATAAAAAGAGAAAGTACATTTGATGTGTGAGTTAGAAAGCCAACTTGAAATATATGTTTTGTCATGTATTCATTGGACATTTATATTACTTTCAATTTCAAAAAAAGTCTGTGAGTAAAGATTAGAGACACATATTGCATTAAGTTTGAATCATCCGTGTATGTAATAGTGTATTTAAACATAGATATAAACTTGCATTTTATCTGTGTACCAAACTAATGTTCTAGTCTAAGTTTATGTGTGTGTGTGTTTTAATTTTTTCTCTGGTTGGTAGGATATATTTTGTGCTTGTTTATAAATATACCTGCATCTGTGTGCAGTTAGATCTTCTAGTGTATCACATTAAGCGCCATGTCAGTCACCGGTGACTGATACTATACTTTCAGTCTGGAAGACAAAACAGGCTGGGCGCTTAATGTGGTATCAGTGCACATGCTCTTTGTGAATGTGGAGAGTGGGGTGCTCTCACTGGTTGTACAGTGCATGTGTGGAACTGTGTGAGAATTCAAATTGCATTTAACTAGCACCTACTTGATAACCCACCATGTGCCAAACAGTGGCTGGGTATTAGGGATACAATGGTGAGCTAAGAGAGCATGGAAGGCTTCCCTGAAGACACTGGAACCAACAGCTGGCGGATATGTAGGAGTTCATTAAGATGGGAGGGAAAGCTATCTTAGAAGAGAGAATACAAAGCAGGAAGCATAAAACACTGGAGAAGATAGGGGAAAGGCTGTAGTACCTGAAGCTCAGAAGGGAGAATGGTGCAGGGTGAGGCAGGGGTGAGAAAATATTAAAAAAGACTCAGTTTTATCCTGTGAGCAATGGTAAGTCAATGAATAGCTAAAATCTTGGCTTAAGGTAATCAGTCACCCTGACTGCTGGGGAAGGTTCACTCGCAGAGTAGATATGGGCAGAAAAGCTAGTCCTTGCTGCAATCCCAAATAGGATCTCTCAGAGGCGAATGATCTAAGGAGGGACAGTGGAGAGGGAAGAAGTGCTGAACTCCAGAAATGTTTAGTGGTGGGATGGACAGGTTTTGAAGGACAATGAGTACTTTCAGGTGATCTAAATCCAGTCTGTAGGTGTTGCAGTGACTAAAAGCCACCTTTCTTTTGAGATCTTAAGGCCCTTAAGCATCATTGCTGTGTCTTACTTATCAAGTAGTGGTTGTTGAATTTAGTGAATGCCCATTGAAATTTTCAGAATATTTTTGATAGAGAAGTGACCCTCTGATGACTCTCTTTCAACAAGGTGCCCTCAGCATCACTGTCCTTCGCCCTTTTTGTGAAGCATCGCCATGGCTGATGAAGAAAGAGCTTGATACAATTGTTCCTCCGAATCTTCAGTCGAGGACATGGGAGACATTTCCCCCAGTAGAGGTATAACTTTTCTGGCTGAAAAGTCACTAAATTTGCATATCCATCCATAAATGAACCAGAGTCTCAGGTCTTCTCACATATATTCATTCTTTAAAAAAAATATATTTTATTGATTTTTTACAGAGAGGAAGGGAGAGGGATAGAGAGTTAAAAACATCGATGAGCGAGAAACATCAATTCAGCTGCCTCCTGCACACCCCCTACTGGGGATATGCCTGCAACCAAGGTATATGCCCTTGACCAGAATCAAACCTGGGACCCTTCAGTCTGTAGGCCGATGTTCTATCCACTGAGCCAAACTGGTTAGGGCTGGAATTTTATATTCGAAGACTTTGACACTGTAGATTTAGATACACCTGACCAGCTAATCTGTTTTATTTCTTTTACCCTACATTGCAGGCTTGAACATCTTCTCATGATATAAAAATATCTGCTCTGAGTAACCCATGTTACAGTTCTGCTGTCATGGAATTACTGATATGCAATACAGAAATCTTCTCTCCACTGGTTCCTTATTTGTTAGTTTTAACGCACAATTTTTTCTTATCTTATTAATTCATAAATTAAATTCACAAGAAAAATGTGAAGGATTATACACAGGGATTTAAACTATAATGTTAAAAAATAAATATTGTAATTAGGTCACAGTAGAAAAGCCCCCACCTAAAGTTTTTTTAAGAATGAAAGAAAATACCTGGAGTGAGAACCTTGAAGTCCTGAATCTCACAAGACTTTCCATTTCATCTTGCAAGCAGTTTAAGTAATATGTCCAGCTTATTGTCAGGTGTTAAATTATTAAGTCAGTGAAGGCATTGATAAGATGATCAGAGAGAGATACTAGTGTTAAGTGAAGAGGATAATGTTTTGAGTTATGATGATTTTTTCTTTCCTGAATAATTTTGTAATAGCAGGGGCATAAAATAATGAACAATTAAGCCGCAGTGGTTCTCAACCTTCCTAATGCCGCGACCCGTTAATACAGTTCCTCATGTTGTGGTGATCCCCAACCATAAAATTATTTTCGTTGCTACTTCATAACTATAATTTTGCTATTGTTATGAATTGTAATGTAAATATCTGATATGCAGGATGTATTTTCAGGGGTTGCAACCCACAGTTTGAGAACCGCTGACAATGATCTCCTAGCCCTATATTTTAATTTGGTGACTATAATCAACATGGTGAATGAAGATGATCTGAATTCTAGTCCTGACTCTACCAAATTATTAATGTGGGATTTGGAACAAGTCACACTGGACCTTTACTTCCTTATCTAAAAAATGAAAGGACACACCAAATGGCTCACTAAGGCTATATATCCAAGTTGGAAGCACTGCATTATGACAAATAATATGCGACATCTGAAATGAATGAATGTAGTTCAGTCTCTTCCTCTGCAACTCCTGTAGCTATGACCACACCCTGTGGGAGTTGCCCAACCCAGGCAAGATGCTGAGTGGTTATCACTGACCAGGCAGTGGACACTGAATAGCAATTTAAAAGGGAGCACATCAGACACACTGCGGGGCATATGGCATCAAACCACACCACTCCTGAAAACAGAGGATAGCATAGAGATGAGAGTCCACTCTAAGGCAGACATTTCTGCTCAAGAGATCCTCAAAGATTCATGCTTATTCTAGAGTGAGCTCAAAGACCACTCAGGTCTATAGATGGTTTCTCTCATTAAGTCAACATATTCATGGAACCAGAAAGTTAAAAATTGTTTTATTCCAAGTGTCTTTGGCTACCTGTGGGTATCAAAGGATAGTCTCATGCATTTGGCCTAAGCTAGGCTGTAGCCACGTTGCCATGACACAGCACTGCTTGGCACTCCCCTAAGTGCCATCCACAAGACATCATGCAACAGGATTTTAAAATATGCAGATTCTCATTTCCATATAAAGAGGAAAACTTGCCCAATTTTGTTATCAAGTTTTCTTATACTTGTGAAACTTTTTGAGAACAATGATATTTTATTTATTTACCTTTTTTGCCTATGTATTCCCTAACAGTGGTTTCTAGCATAGTATTTAAATAATAAGAACTCAGGTGTTTTTTTAATGTTGATTTCTTGTGTGGTTGTTTTGCTTTGTTTTGTTAATAGAAAAAAACTCCAGGACCTCCGTTTGGCACTCAGATTTGGAAGGGCCTTAACATTGAGGCCAAACAGCTAGTGAGCACCCCCGCCCCTGTAGTCAAGAGCCCCAATGTGCTACAGATACGCCAGTTCATCCAGCACGAGATCATAAAGAATGAGGTGAAACTGAAGCTACAGATTTCCCTTAAGGTAATGGAATCCAAGTAACCTGCCCCAAAAGAATCAGGAACAGGGCAATCATATGATTGTTATATAGAGTCCTCACTTCTCATTATGTGGAAAACTAGCCTACTGACCTCTGGAAAAAGGTAGAACTGCATATTAATCTGAAATTTGTCTCTGAAAGAAAACTATTGTTGGTTTTTGGAAATGGCCTAAGAATTTGTAAATATTTAATTAATTGTATAAGCATATCTGTAACATCTCACTGTCTAGTATGTTAAATCTCAGAACAAGGATCATATGTTCTGAGATTTGGGTCTCCAGTACCTGACGTAGAACAGGGGACAATTATTTGTGGAAAAAGATCAAATATTTATGGAGAAAGTCAAGTATGTTCCTCTTGGAAGCAAAGGCATGCCTAAGCAACTTACATTCAAAGATAGAACCATAAAGGTTGTCCCTGGAAAGGACTCTGAAGATTATCTAATTACCTGTGTCCATTTTATTGGTGGGGACAGTGGAGCATATAGTTAGATGTGGGGCCTCTCTGAAGTCCTCATACAGTTCTAATGTCCTATGGCCCTTAAAGCTTTGCTTTTGTGCTTTTCAGATCTTTGCTTACTAACATATTAAAGAAGGGTCTTTCTAGATTGCTTGACCAGTAACTGTGGTGGCTGGTCATTGTGAATTTATATATTCTTAATCTCTTTGTGATATTCCAAGTTGATGTTGAATAGTTTGGTGTCTCTCTCTACCTTATTTCTGATTTCTATTGATTCATTTTATTCTGCTGATTTAGGATTATATAAACCATATCCTAAAGAAAGAAGATGAGCTACAAGACATGACAGTTAAAGATTCCAGAACTGAGGAAGAGAGAGGCAACGCTGCAGATCTCCTCAAACTAGTTATGGTGAGACAGAATGTTCACACACCACTGTCCTTACTGTTGTTCCACTACTAGGTGCTCCAAGACAAAATCCTATAAGTAAGAGATTGTTTCTGCCATTTCTGTGAAGCATTTTCTCCCTCCTTATAATTTCTTATTTCTGTGGAATCTGACTTCTTATATATTGAATTTTTCAAATGTCTTTTTAGGCTCTTTCTTAAATCATAAATAACTCTGAAGGCTCTTAAAAGAAAAGTTTTTATTATCTTAAGAGAAATTGATATTCTTTGAAACAGTGAATGAATTAGTGAAGGAAATAGGAAGGAGGAAGAAAAGGAATTTCTACAACTTAAAATGATTTTTAGAAATTTGTTAAGTGAAAGAATTGACTAAAAAATCAAATAAGATTTGTATAAGCATTAAAAATAATTCATTGTATAGTAATTTTCATAAAAGATCAAATTGACCACATAAGAATGCTTGTAAACAAAGTGAATTTTGTGTGCAATATAATAACTAAGGAATTTTCTCTTTATTTCAGTCTTTCCCTAAAATGGAAGAAACTATAAAAAGTCATGATACTCAAAGTAAGTACATTTAATATTTATTTTGCAAAATATTTACATATTCCAAAAGAACAACCTTAAATACACTTTTCAGTCATTCTTGCGTCTAATAGCAAAGTTCTGTGTAGGTATTTCTGTTGTTGCATTAGCCATGTTGTATCATTATTATTTATTCATATTTTTTTCTGCCTGAATTATGAGATTCTTGAAAACTGTGATTGCCTCTAATTCATCTTTAACATTCATCTTCTGAATAAAAAAAGTTAACATTTGGCTTCTATGTTAACCTTAACCTGTATCTAGAACATGGCTAAGACACAGGAAGAAAACAATCAACCAATGGGCACTCCCCCCGCTGCCCCCACACCCACACAGAACTTTGGAACCACTACACAATTGTCACCAAAACCTCACCCTATTTTACTCTATATCTACTCTTGGAAAATAGCCTCATTCAAAGCATTTTATTTTGGAATATGTATGGCTCCAAAAAAATTGGTTATATGGTTTCATAGTTCATGGCAGACAAGCAACATAGAAACTTGGTAATTTGGGTTTGATTTTTGGCCATCTGCAGCAGCCATGGCTTCATTAAGCCCACAGATGTGTTTTGTGTGTCCCCACCGTGTTAGCTTGAACAGTTTGTTTTGTTTATCTGAATTTTTCTTTTCTTGAAATGTCACTTGACCACATAGTAGCATGTGGCTCAAGATTGTAAACAGAAGAATCCATCACAACCCAGTGTCTCCCTGTCCTTACACACTGTTATCACTCTTCCCCCTGGGCAGCCCCTTATATTAAGGTTGCCAGATTCAGCAAATAAAAATAGAGAAGGCCCAGTTATATTTGACTTTCAGATAAAGAAAAAGTAATTTTTTAGTGTAAGTATTGGGACCCATTTATATTTTTAAAATATTACTTGTTTATCTGAAATTTATATTTAATTAGTTGCCCTATACTCTATCTGGTAAACCTACCTTTCAGCATTTGAATTCATAACCTCTGGCATGAGGGAACAGTCTCCAGAGAGGTAAATGGGTAGGTTGCCCAAAAGTGAAAGACAAATTAAATATATTTTTGAAACACAAAAATTAACAAACAGATGCGGGAGTCAAACAGGGTCTTGCATACTTACAGCAGCCCCTGACATATTAATAGTAGAGATCCGGGGCCAAGGCTCCCCACAGGATTTCCTAGGACACTAATCTCTGAGGTGGCTCCACCAAGAATGACTTGTATGATATAAGTTTGGATAATGCTGCATGTGGCTTTATGTTCTTGGAGAGCCACAATATACACTAAATAATGGAGGATGCAGAGAAGTCCCACACAATGACACATAGTTATAGTTGGTGTGATACTTACACTAAAAAATTATTGGTTGTTTATCTGCAATTCAAATGTAACTAGGCCTTTTCTATTGTTATTTGCTAAATCTGGTAACCTTAATATCAGGGGCTGCCCAGGGGAAGAGGACAGGGAGACAATAGGGTTGTGATGGATTCTGTATGACCTGGTGTTTCCCAAGCTCATATACCCATGAGCCTTGTTTCTTTTTTTAATCTCCTATTAACATCCCACCAAGACCATGATCTGTGGAATGAACTCTGAGAGTCACTTCCCAAATTATCAAAGGAACAACCACATTGTATTACATTCATACCCTTAGATTTAGATCTTCATAGTTTTGTGTGTGTTTTCTTTTTGGAAAAAAAAAGACAGAACAATTTCAATAAAACGGGTACTTTTTCAGTGCTTCAGATACAATGAAATTCAGTCAGGTAGATGCTGATCCCCTAATAACATGTCACTATGTTTCCTTTTTTAAAAAAAACCACACATTTTTATTGATTTCAGAGAGGAAGAGAGAGGGAGATAGAAACATCAATGACTGATTGGTTGCCTCCTGCAGGCCCCTCACTGGGGCTCGAACCTACAACTCAGGCATGTGCCCCTACTGGGAATCGAACCATACCTCCTGGTTCATAGGTTGACACTCAACCACTGAGCCACACTGGCTGGGCGCTACGTTTCTCATTTTGTCCTCTAGTAGGGCACTGCGTAAACATTCACTGTTACAGTACAGCTTGATCATGGAAATCCTAGTAAACACTTGATGGATTAAAGAAAGGCTCTTAGACAGTATCTCTAACGAGACATTAGGTATTGCTTGTGTGTGGGGTTGTGTTGTAAAGTTAAATGAATCTATTTTTAAAGTTGCAGCCCACCTAATTGATTTGTACAAGCAGTCTTTGACTTCTGTTCCGGAGTGTCTGCCAGACCCATTTGATACAGAGCTCTCTGAAAAGAAATTGAAGTAAGCTGATCCAATAATGTTTTCCACTTAGTATTAAGCATGCAGTGATTGAGGAATGGAGAGATGTGGGTATCATAACCATGGGTGACCACATCCAGGAGATCTCCGCCTTTCATCTGCCACACTGTCAACAACTTACCATACAGGGGTGGTTTTCTTTTATTGTTTGCCAGCCGAGAGCATTGCCTCTCTTGCTTTAGAAGCATGTGCATTTCTTTATTCATTCACTGATCCAAATGGACATGTATGGCATGCCCATTATGTGAAAAGCTTCATGCTGGGAGCTGGAGATAGAGTGATAGATAACAACTCGACCAGTGCCATCTTGGAGCTTATAAGATAGCATCGGAAACAGCCCCAAAGCAAGTCAACACATAGGCACGTCATGACAGATTGCGAGAAATGCCACGGAAGGTATATGGGGCCCCAGAAGGAAAATGACAGAGGGCCCTATTTTATGACTTCAAAAATAAGGCTGCTGGGAAGGGGGAATCTTTTGGGAAAATATGCTTTTAGACCTTTCAAAGCATCACATGGACTTATCCCAGAGGCAGCCGGATAGTGGACACTAAGTAACCTAAGATATGGCCAATTAAGATAACAGAGAAAGAGCCAACTGTGTGGAAAGTCAGCAAAGTATCGTATTGCCTTTTTGGTCATAAGTCTCTTTCCTTTCACATAGGCACGCAGCAACAGTAAAGCACTGGAAAGAGAAGATAGCTCAGAAGAGGTAATCCATTCTGAAGTATATATACATAAACATGAAAAAACCCAGCTTTGTGGAATCATAGAATCTTAGAGGAGGAAGGGTTGGGAGGTCCTACCGTCCAGGCTCCCTGCTGTGATCTGAATCTCTTCTGCGTTTCTGCCAATGGTCATTTAGCTTTTGTGTGACCATGTCCTTATCTCTTGAGGATGCCCATTGGACCAGTAGGGGTGGATCCTCTCCCTTTCATAAGTAAGAACGCTCTCTGTGCTTTGCTAATTTTAATTACTGATAAATAATCTAGAACTTAATGCAGAGCATAGTTATAAACATTCAAGGATTCATATAACTCATCTGAGGATGTGCTCTAAGCATCATGTGCTTTGGTTTCCTTTCAATCCTAGCCAACGATTCCAACTTCAACTCTCTTGCCATAAAGAGAGGAAGCCAGATATATTTACTGAGCATATAGTAGTATATATGGTACTATTGTACACATTGGTATGGCTCCCCTCCAGAATGACTCCCAGATGAATATGCTTCTTAATAACAATGTCTGGGTTACCTTATGGCATGTGTTGGAGAAGTGGTGAGATAAGACCTTAAGTCTCTTGGCCCACCCTACATACAAGGTCAAAGTGTAAGGTGTATACTGTCTCATAGAATATCCCTGGAAGGATTTGAAGTGCCTGGTGAGAGTGATTGCCTGTGGGGAGGGAGGTTGGGAGGTTAGGTTAGGGGACAGTGTGGGATGGAGACTTCCTTTTTATTATGTACTCTTCAATACCTTTAGAATTGTGTACATGTGTTATCCATTCACATTTTTTAGAATTTTGGAACACTAATTTTTTAAAATTTTAACCAAGAGGTAGATAATAGAAAGCCAATGTAAGTTTTTGAAAAAGAGAGTGAAACACATAAATATGTGTCATAGAAAAACAAGTGTTGGCAGCATGCATAATAGATTGGGGAGGAGGATTAAGGAAGGAGAAAGTTTCAAGGAAATTTGAGGTGGTCAAAAATGTCAGATGATATGGAAGTGTCAGAAAGGAGAATGAACAGGGAAATTAGGGTTTATCAGTTGGAAGGTTTATTGATGTCTTTTGTGAGAACAGTTTTAAGAAAGTGGTAGGCAATAGGTACACTGCCATAGGTTGATGAATGAATCCATGAGGCCGTAGAGACGAGACATGTTAATGAGAAATTATTGTTTAAATTAGATGATATTTTGATTCAGCCAGTATTTCCAGAGAAGCCATCCAGTGTAAGAGAGCACTGTTTTCGTTCAGTAAAATTTACTCCAGGAATTCAGTTTGTTTATCTATAAAACGAGGATGATTGGACCACCTAATACCTAAGGTCAGCTCACACACTGGGTGACTAATTGCTAATTAGCAAGTGCACTTACCAAGATCGTGGGCTTGGAGGAGGCAGCCTGGGTTTTAATTTGGACTTGACTTCTTACTAGCTAATGATTTAGGGTGGATTACATAACTTCTCTAGGCCTTGGCTTTTTGGCCACTACAATGGGAATAATAATATTAACTCGGAATTCTTGTAAGATTCAATATAAAGTACTTTGCAAAGTGTCTGGCATATAATAAGCACTTAAAATGGAAAACTATATCAGATAGGATTAGGTTGAACTACATTTAACAGATAGCCCCCAAATCAATGCTTTTATAAGAAAGAAGTAGACAGCACCACATCATCAGATTCCTTCTTTTCATCTATTCTATCGTTCGCAGCACATGATTTCCATCCTTAAGGTTGCTTCATGGTTGCAGAATGACTGCCACAACTCCAGCCATTTCATCCATATTTCAGAAAGTAGAAAAATAAATGAGACAAGGACAAAGGGAAAGCCTCCCAGCTGAGTTAGCCTTCTTTAAAAAGCCACCTGGAGTCTTACTCAGGGAATTTAGTTTACTTCTCATTGCCTGTCTTTACATGTGAAAAGTATAGTTTTTAGCTGGTATATGTCTCCCCAGTGTAGGGTTCTGATATTGGAAAGACATCTACAGGATTATAATGCTTTTATTTCACTTTGTAATCACTGATCACATTATTCATAAACTTTTACTTAGGTTTTTGTTAGTTCTGCTTCTGAAATTATGCAGATTAGAAGAATCTAGTTGGCTTTAAGACCATGTGGTTTTTAGTCTTTTGAGGTCAACTGTAAAACCAACCAGCTGGTATCATTATTTGCTATCTTATAATGAAAGGCTGATTTCTAAGTAGGAAAAATGACTGGGATGTAGAGCTAAAACACAAGCAAATAATATTTTGAAATATTTTGTCTCTTTTGCATAATTATGGAACTACTGACCAGGAAAGAGATTGAAAACACAAACAACTATTTAATGAAAATTAGGAACAAAGTAGTATCACCTTACTTCAAATCTGAATTTAGCAAGACATTTCAGTCTCAGGTAACTGAATGTAATTAACAATTATTGAATAAGAGTCCTTTTAAAAGTTGACATAGTGCATATGCTATTATATAATGTTCCTTTCCTGAAGTTACTTCTTTCCTACATCTAATCCGCTAACTAACCTATACCCTTCAAATCCATGTCTTCAAGAGAGACCTAATTTCAGGTCTTACACCTAAGTAGTGTTCTCTACCAATGTGTTACTACCTCTCCATCTCCCTGCCTTGAATTATCACTATTAATTGCCTTATCCCATCTATTTTAAGCCATTTTTTGTGTCAGATTCTCCCTATTGATGCTCATCCTATGATAAATCCAAGTTTTATTCATTAAGGTTTTTATTCCATTGAAATTCTGTTACCCATTGGCTGCTAACTCTAAGTTATTATAAGTTCAGAATTCCCTGTGTTGCTATAAAAACTCCAGACACTATTATTAACCAGAGGCTGCCTGAGAAGAAATTATAGGAAACTAATTAACAAAATCTACAATTGAGTTAATAAATCTCTTGAAAAACTTTTAGCTTACAAAACTTCATTTCCAGGACCTTAAAAAAGAGACTTTGATCATTGCTCAACAATTTAACATGCTCATGGCAGCTGCCTTTCAGCCATGTGTAAGTCTAAAATTATTCTTTTGGTTTTTCCTTTTATCTGTACACCCTTTCTGGAAACTTGCCTCCATTTACAAAGAAAGGTGAAGATGTGAGCAAAACAACTGAGAAAAATACAAGTGGTCTTCATCCAGGTAATATGCTTGTGTAGCTCTTACTCCTATGACTGTGCCTAAATGAAGAATACCCGATAGTGGCTCTGAGGCCATAACTAGTTCCTACCACCCTTTGCCTTAGTAACAGCTAATGACATGACCTGCTGTGACCTGTATATTAGTCCTGCCTGACTTATATGAGGAAAGCAAGATGTAACTAAATTCTCTATGAAGGAGAATTCTTGCCAAAAATCCTTAAACGGAATTTGATTAACAGGAAACAATCAAACCCAAAATGTAGGCATTTTTTTAAAGACAATTGTCCTGGACTCTTCAGACAAATCAGTATTATTAAAAGAAAAAGATGGAGTAACTGTTCTATATTAAAAGAGACTAAGGAGTCATGAAAACAACATGCAGTGCACGCACTTTGGATGTGGGTTGAGAAAAACAACATAAAAGATATTGTAGGGCAACTACATGAGTTTGATTGGAGGACTCTGTCAGCAGGCTTTGTGGCATTACTGTAGGTTTTCCTGAGTGTGATGATGGGTCAGAGTTTGCAAAAGCAAAGATTAAGGTTGGAACAGGGGCTTATAAGTGTGATGGGGAGAAATCGGGGGTGAAGGTTGATGCTTCTACCTGCCACCTACACAGACATCACTAATCAATCAAGTCTACTTTCCTCTTGAGACGGGGAAAGGCCTGTTTTTCAGCACAGTCCTCCAGGCAGCCACCACCATTCATTCAACTAAGGTTGGCGCACACAAGTTGGTCCTTGATATATTTATTTAAAATGTGTTCATATTGCACTGATTCCTTAGAGAGATATATTTTAATTAACAATTACATGTTCAGCCCTAGCCAAGTGGCTCACTTAGTTAGAGTATCATACCATGCACTCCAAAAGGTTTCAGGTTCCACTCCAGGTTAGGTCCCTGGTCAATTGATGTTTCTCTCTCCCCTCACCCCCTAAAGTCAATAAATACATATCCTTGGGTGAAGATTTTTATAAAAGAATTACATGTACGCAGTAATGAATGCATTTAAAATGAGAAAATTTTAAAAAATTCACATCTCAGTTATTCTTGCCAGATAACATAGGCCAAATTACTTGGTCTCTATTTCATAACCCAACAAGATAGCTACTACTACATAGTCATACGCCCAGAAAGAACCAGCTAGCTCCCAGGGAGTGTGAGCCCCATTTGTTAATGGCAAGCACTGCATCATATAGGAAGAATCATTGCCTCTTAGTAGCTTTTTTTCAATTTAGTCTTTCTCAAGTGTGGGGGGTGAGCACCTTGTTCATTGTAAAGAACACAAACATTAGTAGTGATTGTACCATTGTCTGGAATATCACCTTATAATATTTGTTTTAGGTTTTCTAGATCCCCAGCCAAAAGAAGTTGTAGAACAGCGACCCTCAGATAGGGCTTTTTTTCCAAAATCGGAGAGTTCTGTGAATATCAAGGAGTTCGCTAACCAGAAGGAAACTGAAAATTTATCCAAGTCTCCCACAGGTATGGTAATCATTTGCTTTATCTCACTGTCTCTCAAAACTGGACATTATGTCCTTTCGGAGTATGGGAGATGGTACTGGGTGTTGAAGGTATAGTTGTGGTTATATAAAAATTTCTATAGTGTCTATGGGAGATGGTACTGGGTGTTGAAGGTATGGTTGTGGTTATAGAAAAATTTCTATAGTATCATGGACCCTGGAGCTGTGGAACTGTGAAAGGATTCTTAGCATGATGTGGATACATTGGCAGGTTGGTTAATATGTTGGGTTTGGGAGGATGAGAAAGTCCGATTGCAAAGGAGTGGATATAATGGTGGAATATATAATCCATTCCAAAGAAACAGGAAAGCAAGACAAGAATGAGACAAGTGATTGTTTAAAATGAGGAAGTCAATTGATTACAGGTCTCAATGAGGTTAAATAATTGCTTGTTAAATATGATAGAGTAATAAGCTAGAAGAATAGGAGGCGATGATATATAGAGGGAAGCTTGAAATGAGAGTTTGAAAGTGGTAAAATTATTGGTGTTGGCAAGGTCAAAAATATGACATGAGAGTTTCTGAGATAGAAGAGGAAACTATGAAGAAATGAGATGATCGAGAATCAGAGAGGATATTGTGATGTCACCAAGAAACATGGAGTGGAAGGCCACCCTAGGTGTCAAGAGCTCCAGTGAATCAAGGGAATGATGGAGAGGTCAGTCAATGATAGCTGCTTGGAGATGTCATAGGTAACGCAGTCTGATGGCAGGAGCTTTAAAGGAATGGGAGTTTTCGAAGGAGGAAACAAACTACTTTGAATCAAGGATACCTACTGCTGTCCTGGGCTCTGATACTTGAGATAAGACATGGTAATGTGGCCTCTTTAAAAGAAGTAAATTATTATTCATATAAACAGCAATGTTGTTGTTGTTGTTTGTTAATCTTCACCTGATGGTATTTTTTCCATTGATTTTTAGAGAGAGTGGAAGGAAAGGAGGGAGGAAGAGAGAGAGAGAGGGAGAGAAAAAGAGAGAGAGAGAGAGAGAGAGAGAGAGAGAGAGAGAGAGAGAAGCATCAATGTGAGAGACACACATTGGTTGATTGCCTCCCACACATGCCCCAGGGATAGAGCCTGCAATCCAGGTATGTGCCCTGAATGGGGAATCACACATGTGACCCTTTGGTGCGAGGACACTCTAACCACTCATCCACATAGGAGTGTTTGTGTCTGACTGCCTGTCTCTCTGGGCATCCTCCCTGCCTTCATCTTGCCCTATACCTACTTGTCCTGTTTGATTTTATCCTCTTCTACAAAGGACAGGCTATGTCCATTACTACAGAGGTCCAAGGTTCTGATTCTTCCAGGTCCATAACCCAGTCAGCGACATGGGATTATCCCTGTCAGCTTCAGTGGGAATATTCCAGTGAAGGTCCTGTGTTGCCTTCCCCTGGCTCATGTACCATCCTGATGGCTGGGTCCAGGGATGTCATGGCACCAGAAATATATGTGGCAGGAGTAGGTGTGGAGGGGGGCAATATGGAGAGTGCTGAGAGCACAAAGATTATAATTACCATAACCCTCAACTCAGAGATGCTGTTTGCAAAATATACCCATGGTGCTTGCCTGCAGATAGTGGACATTCAAATATTGGTCCCTTCCCTTTCCTGTCTTGATGACTTTTGAATCTGGGAAAGGATGTTTAATATTATGATCTAAAATACAATTCTTATTTCAACTGCCTGGGTATTTGGAGAAATGCAGCAATGTGGATCATCTACTCTTGCTTACTCCTCACCAAATGTGGTGACTTGAGGATTAACTTCCCTGGCTCAATTTACCTGTAATTACTACCACTTTTTTAGAACTATATATATAATAGTTGAGCCAAAGAGATTCTCAAGATTTTGTCCTCATTAGTTTTAAGAAATCTTTCAGAATCAATGTTTTCTTGTATTTGTACCTCATTGATTCAGTGGAAAGAACCCTGAACATCTCTGTATGAATTCAGTTTATCCAGGCAAGTCACTCAGCTTCATAGAATCTGATTTTTCTGATTTAATTAGAAAAGGTTATACTAATAGCATCTCGTCAAGTTGGTGTGAGGACCAACATTGGGTAAAATCTCTTCATAAAATGTACAGATATAACACTAGAATTAATTTTTTTTAAAAAGCCTTGTTCCTTTAAATGAGCTCTTAAAAAAGAAGAAAAGTTTTCCAAGTCAATGTTCAGTATTCCCTGGGATGACCTCGAGTGTCTTTGAATAAAATGTCCATGTGGTAATTTCAACTTTCTCTCTAACAGAATCAGATATGTGTCTGCCCGTGAAAATCCCAACCCAGTCGTTGCTGCAGGATGTCAAAGGACAAGCCAGGAAGGAGAAAGTGAAGATACCTCACTATTTGATGAGTTCCAAGCCCAAGTCTCTACCTCTCACAAAGGTAAAAGACATGGGGACACATTTCCCAGAGCTAAGCAGCATTTTATGTAAACCTGACCCATTGGAGTGATTGATGGCCAGCCACTACGTGCTATTTACTAGACGTACCATCTCACCGTGAAGGCCTGCAGGTCACACACAGAGGAACTAAGTCAGTTCTTTGCTCCTATAGGCTCACTGGAGGAATTGGTAGCTTGAAATCAGCCCAGCTGGGAGTCCGTAATCATAGAAATTGACAATTGCTGTTAATCAGGGTTCTTTTCAGGAAGCCAGTGTTACCAGCACACTGCTGGCTAAGGGGGTCATTGGCCACACTTCTCGTGACTCTTAGGATAAAATCCAGTATCTTAGCCTGACTACAAGTGTGGCCCCATTTGCTTCTTGGATCACCTTGCCCCAAACTCACTGTACTTCCGCCATTGTGGGTTGTTAGTTCTTTAGTTCTTAGATCTTTAAAAGCATCCAACTCCTTCCTCCTTTAGAGCCTCAGAGATTAAGAGTCCACATCAGCTCTGCTGGAAGCCTTCCTTGAGCCCATCAGACAGGTTTTGATGTTATCCTTCTATACTTTCATGGCACCCTGTGCCCGTTGCTATCACAGAATCTGTCACAATGAATATAATTGATGTGATGGGAGTGCTTCTCAAACTTAAATGTGCACATGAATTACCTAAAGATCTTGTCAAAATACAGATTCGGACTCACTGGTGTGGGGGCCTGGGATTCTGCAGCTCTGACAAGCTCCCAGGTGAGGTCAGTGCTGCAGATCTGAGGAGTACCAAGTGCATAGGGCAGTGGTTCTCAAAGTGTGATCACCTGACCCAGCAGCACTGGCAACACCTGAGACCTTGTTATAAATGCAAGGTCATGACCCCATCCCACATTTACGGACAAGAAACTCTGGGGATGAAGTCAACAATTGGAGTCTGAGTGAGTCCTGGAGTTGATTCCAATGGGAGCTGGCATCCGGTCCTCACGGGCACAGAGGAGCGTTCGGTCCTCAGGGGCACAGAGGGAAGAGCACACACTATGGACTCAGGCAGACTTGAGTGTGAGACTTTGCCACTTATCACTTGAGCAGATTTTTCAAACATGAGCTTCTCTAGCCTCAAACCAAAGCCTAAAATACTCCCTCACATGGGGTTGCTCAAGGATTACATGAGACAGTAAATGTTCCTTTCCTCTCAAGACAAGCAGCATTTTCTCTGGAGACAGAGCCTTTATCTCATCCTGGGAACTCAAAATACAAATAGAACCATTGTATTTCATGTTGTTACTTTTTCCTTAATGCAAAGGTGCAAGATCCTTCTGGAGGAAGAGTGAGAACATCCTCCATTGCATCAGCTACCATTAAGAACCCAAATTCATCCCCTTACGGATTCCATCTTCTCCCTCCATCAGTGAAGTTTGGAGTGCTTAGAGAAGGGCACACCTATGAAACCACTGTCAAGCTCAAGAACACTGGCGTGGACTTCTGCAGGTAAGGCCTAGGCACCCGCGTCTGCTCAGTCACCTTCTCCTACTCTGTGGCTTGTTTTTGACTACCTACATCAGTGAATGTTTCTTGAATTGAACTGTAATTATACTCTCTTGGATTTTCACATCATTCATTCGCTAATTCTCCCATTCATTGATTCGTTTATTCTTCAGAAAAATCAGTATTCATCAAGCCTCAAGTATTAGTCGGTACTTCTTTGCCCTCCCATTAATCATTATTCATACTTTGGTAGAAGCAACTCTAGGCCTGATCAGCTCTAGAAAAAAAAGGGAGGTGAGGGGCTGTACAAGTGTTAACAATAATTAACACATAATTTGAAAGTCTACTTCTCAAATTATTTCTCAAATCTACCACCAACTATGATAGCTGATATGTTTTAACTTTATGATCTAAAAATGATTTTAATTACATTACTTCTGCATAGTTGAAGCAAAATATAACCTGAACCATTAGGGCAGTGATGGCGAACCTATGACACGCGTGTCAGAGGTGACACGTGAACTCATTTTTTTGGTTGATTTTTCTTTGTTAAATGGCATTTAAATATATAAAATAAATATCAAAAATATAAATCTTTGTTTTACTATGGTTGCAAATATCAAAAAATTTCTATATGTGACACGGCACCAGAGTTAAGTTTTTCAAAATGCTGACACAGCTCAAAAGGTTCGCCATCACTGCATTAGGGTCATTTTGGCTCTGAAGTTCTGACTTGGAATTGATAACAAATATTTTAACTCACAGTTTGTACTCCCAGTTGAAAATACACTGCATCTGGGATTCAGTGACAAGGAAGAGTCAGTCCCTCATTTCCAATTCAAGACCAATAGAATTTCAGAGCTTGTAGAGACTATGCCAGTGGAACAAACTGAGTAACATATGTGTTTTTTTAAATAATTGAATTTATTGGGATGACATTGGTTCACCAAACCATACAGGTTTCAAGTGTACAACTCAATAAAGCATCATCTGCACGCTGCATTGTGCACCAATCGCTGAGCAGTCTCTTTTGTGACTTGTTTTAAGGTCCTTGTAGGCTGGAGAGTAAGGTGAAGCCTCAGATCTCCCGAGTACCAACTAGTTCTTGCAGGCAACTCACTGGATCCACACAGCTGTTGTCACTGCTGCATGTGAGAGTTCTATACCAAGATAGCTCCCAACTACAAAATTACCTCTATCCCATTTTGACTTTATCTTAAGCATAATGTGGAGAATTTCCCCAATAAATATGGAATAAATGTTTCAATTGACAAGTTTTTCTCAGTGTGAGTGACAAGTCCTTCAAAAATGGTTGTGATTCTGGACTCAGGTTCGGCAATATATGCAACAGAGCAACAGGAGCATGGGTTTCAAAGATCGCAATCCCATTTCAGTTGAGGCCAACCCCCACTTCAGGAATTACGTTTGCTTCCTCAGAAACAGACTGAGGAGGACCCAGGCCACCAGATATTATTGGTTGTTTAGGTTGTTGCCAGCAAGTAGGTGGGGAGGGATAGTCAACCTCAAACAAATAAACTTGATGTCACTTACTTCATGTAATAACCACTGATCCTGTCTGTTCAGTATAGAACTTTAGCTTTAGAGATTTCACTCCTCAGGGGGGTAAATTTAGCCACTACAGGGCAGGCAGCAGAGTTGAGGGTCACCGGAGCAGGGTTAGGGTTGATTTGGAGGTGGGCTTTCCTCAGCATTTTAATTTACTCCAGGTCTTCAACCTTCAGGCAGAACCCACAAACCACAAGAAGGGAAAGGCCCCATGTGTGAGCACAGGGCTTTTCAAGTTCTCCAACTTGCCTGAATCTCCTCTCCCCAAAGATCAAACCCCATGCACAACAGAGTGAGACTGGCTCCCACGCTCCACTGCTCTCCCCAGACCTTTATTCTTCAGCTTAGCAATCTGACAGTCAGCATTGTGTTCACGCTGGCGGCCACACTGCAATGCACACATAGCCACTCACGGCTCTGCCCGGCCTGGCTCCTCGGCAGGGCTGGAGCTGGGCTAGGAGCCTGCTTGACGCTGATGACAGCTGTTGGAAAGGCGCTTGTGAAACGGGCCCCAGAGTCTTCTCCCAATTGAATATTGGGTTGATTTTCCAATGGTGTGGACCCCATGCTCCTACAGCGTGAATATTAACACCTTCCTGATTTTTAATACCCAGGTTCATTCATTGTTCGTGGTTTTCATTATGGCATAAATTTATTCCCCTCTCTCGGCCCGTAGGTTCAGGGTAAAGCAGCCGCCACCCAGCACAGGACTGAAAGTGACCTACAAACCTGGGCCTGTAAGTCCTACGTGTTCTGTTGTGTGTGTCAGTGTGTTTCTGTATGAATGCAGATATGTTTCCAGTGAAGTCCTTCTCCCCATTCCATTTAAACCATGTTGAAGTCTAATTTTTTAGTATCATAAGCAAAAGATTCCTGGCATTGGTGCAGTATGTGGCTTGATGTCACTTACTTCATGTAATAACCACGAGACAGATCCTGTGTGTAAACAAAGTTAAACTTTGAGCTATGGAAACATTTCTGAAGTTCGCCCAGTACTACAGTTATGTATGGTTGTATGAAAAATATATCTGTAATAATTAAACATGATTTAACATGCATTTGGGAAGTTAATTACCTAACTATATCCTGTGACAAATCCTTCTGCAGTGAAAAATCCTTTGGAAAAAGAAATATTCCAGTCTTATAATTCAGTGTAAATCTGATTTGTTCTCTTGGTGTTTGCCAGAGAATATTATTAAGAATGTTAATAAGTATATTATTTAATATACTAAGAAACAGTATATATTAAATTCATCAGCTGCCTCATTTCTCCAAAGATCTCTGAAAATACAAATGTTAAAATGTCAACGTATTCTGACTTTATTTGATATAATCCCAAAAATAGGATGTTTAGTATAAAACTTGTATATCACCACTTACTCTATAATTTTAGAACTTTAGTGTGACATAAACTAAAGTGTGTCTCAAATATAGTAACATCACATTTGTAAATCTTAACACTTATTTCTTGGTCAGTGCATCATCCTGCTGCTTTAACAATCCTTTCATTTCACCCAACAAACAGTTCCTCCCACAAGCCACTGTGTGCCAGGCTACAGGGGGTGATAAAACGAGTAAGACAGGGAAGGAGCTCGCAGCCGAGCACATAGTGGGCACTCAGAAGATGTGTCCTTGAGGACAGAATGACGTGAGGAAGTCTGGTGGATGCATGAACCCTTTGTCACAGGTGGGGCCATGCCCAGGCTCATGGAAACACTGAGAAAGGGCATCCAGTCCCATGACCAGCACACAGGGGTCACTGAGTCTGAGATGTTATATGTTGACATAGAAGAGTCAGCTTGGTTCAGTGAGGGGTTGCCTTGGTTCAGTGCCCAGTCACCTGGCTTCTTGTTGCAGCTGTGGGACCAAGCAGCTCAGCCATGTTGGCTAATTTATCCTGAGGGCCTTGTTTTCCTCGGCTGTAGAAGGAGCGCAGACCAGACCATGTCCTCACGCTCTTCCAGCTCTAATATCTTCCGATCTGTGAAGCAGTACTATGCAGGCCCCAATTCCAAGCAGAAATGCATTTTGGGATTAGATCCCCTAATTCATGAGTCTCTCACCCAAACAACTTATCATTGTACTGTGTCAAGATTTCAGAATCTTCACAACATAAGGCAAAAACCAAAACCAAAGCAAGCTCTCCTTCCACCGCTCTAGGAAGTTAGCAGATTTTTTCACTTCAAGTAGGGATTATGCCAAATGCCAGCATGCCTGTGAGATAGACCTTTATAGATACTAAAATCCAGAGTGTATTCTTTAAAGCTCACTCTATACTGTTAGGTGTTTTTTTTTCTTCTTTTCTTTTTGACAGTAGGTTTTGGCTCTGGCAAATATATAATCTGTAGGCTTCTCCATATGTAAATCTGGCCACTGCTCACCTTGGTCGGTTGCCAACACTAAACGAATGTGCTCAAAGCCTGGGCAGACCTGTGTAGTGCTGCACTCCAGCCCAGCGTGCAGGATGTCCTCCTCCCCAGCCCTGCTGATTGTTGGGCTTGGAGGGCCCAGGGCTGATTCTCAGAAACAGAGCTCTTGGATCCCCGCCAGGATGTGCCTTACACATTGTTGAAAAAAAACTGAAACGTTCTTCAATTCTATTATTTTTTAAAACAAGATGGAGGGGAAAATTATTTGTATCGAATTGCTTTCCGTGTGGACGTATTTTTCCCAGATAACTGTTGTCAAGTCTGCTTTTGAACCCACCCCCCGGAGAGGCAGCTTAGAAACACAAACAACTCTGTTTCCTGGCTGGTGTTCTTTTCAAGGAACAAGGCGAGGAGCCCATTCCTCCCTGTTTCTTCTTCGTTGTGTATCAGGTTTCTTCTTGGTGGGGACAGACCTCTTCCCTGTAGCTTTCAGACCTAGGCAGTTCAGCATTTAAAGGCATTCTGTCTCCCTCTACTGGCTTTGTCACATCACAGGTCCTACGTAAGGTAGAAATCAAGAGGCAGGACAGTGGTAGGTTTCACTCAGTCTCTCAGATTATATTTATATTTGTCTTAAATCTAATCTGCAAGGATGCCAAGGAATAGAGGCCCACTACTGACATTCCAGAACTAGCAGTTAGGGGCACTATAAAAGTTTGCCTTTGGTATCGCCTCTGGGGCCCTGGCATTTCTCCTTATGCCTTTTCTTAATAGCACCTGGTTTTCTTCAACAACTTATCTTGGGTCCCATTTACTCAATGGAATCCTGCCTCACTAATCCATGAAGTACTTCTTCTAAATGCTGTAACAGTAAGCATTCATTCGTGCTTAATTTATAGATGAGGAACCCAGATTAGTTTCAGTAACTTGCCCAATTTGGTGTGAAATCCAGGATTTGAACTCAAATCTGTCTGATTCTAAAGCTCCATTGTGTCTCACAGGTGGCATCTGGCTTGCAGGTAGAACTGAAAGTGGAGCTATTTGCTATGGTTATGGGTGAGGACAGCACCAAGGGATCGACACACATCTCTCACTATATTGAGATCATGACTGAGCATGACGTCCTGTTCTTACCTGTGGAAGCGAATATCCTTTAAAGTTCAGTTTGAATTGTCGTGCATAGTGCAAAAATTGCATTTGGGCCAGGAGAACGCAGAAGTCAAAAGGGTATTTTCTAACCCCCTCACACCCACACTCCATAGCTTCATTAATTCCAAGCAAAGTGCCTAACACACAGCACCAGTACAGTCATTGCAAGATGAATTAATGCCAATGTTATTGGCTGTAATGGACTACCAATTTTTTTTTAAAAAAGCGAGTGTTTGTCATCAAGAAAAACTTATAATGTTGAGAGACAGGAGATACCTTCTTTATTATAAAGGTTGAATGGATATTCACTGAATTACACATATATATCTCATATTAATGTCTCGCGTGTAGATATCATATGGATATTGAGTACCTATTATATGCAAGGTACTATATGAAATATTTTTCATATATGAAAATGAAAATTGGACTCTATCTCAAAAGACATATACACTAGTAGCAGAAAGCCTTCATACCTGATTTCTATATTTTTTGTATTCCAATGACATGAATAATATACTACTTGGTGCTATAGTTTTATTTTTATATATATATATCTTCTTGTGTTATATATCTGATATTTGAGTCTTATAGAATGCAAAAGCTTTTGATGAAAGATTTAAACTAGAAAGAAAAAATAAGCCCATAGCAATAGGAAAGCTCCAGGTGTTTGGGAGAGTTATCAGGGAGTTTGTTAAGAGTTTGGGGAGTATTAGGAAGTATAGTGGGAAAGTTGGTTGGAATCAAATTGTAGAAGAATTTGAATCCTTGGCTTAAACTTTATTAAATAAGCAACAGTGAATCATTAAAGATTTCTGATGCCGTGGGGACATAATTAGCATGTCTTTATAAAAATTAATCCAGTGTTATTGCGCAAAATATGTTTAAGAAGAGTGGCTGGATATGCAAAGAGCTATTGGAAAGCTACGTCAATAGACCAAGTATAAGGACAAGAACCTACAGTATGACAACAGTAGTCATGTGGAAGAGGGACATGATGAAGGACATTTGGCAAAGAGAGCTGTAAAATCTGAGGTGGAACCCATTGATAGAAGGAAGAGGACATGAGTTCAACTCCAAGGTTTTGGGCTCAGATAATGAATCATGGATATACAGAACTGGATTTCAGTTGGAGTCAGATCTGGAGACATAATTTTATGCATCACCTATAAAGAGGTGACGAATGAAGATATGGGAAAGGAATAGAAATTTGGGGTCTGTTTAGGGAGCAGGAGAAAGAATCCCTGCTGCTGATCACAGCCATTAGAGCATTTAGCACTTGTGCTAATAAAATTTCTCTATTTCCTTGCATATAGACTAAAGACCACCTGCCAGGCACAGATAGATGGTGGAAAGGGGTTTTATTAGATCTTTAACCTACTTCCAAAGACAGTGATAGTTCACACCCCTCTGGATCCCTCTGCACCAAAAACCATAAAATTGTATATTGATGTGGTTTGGGAGCCTGGTTATGGTGATTGATGGCTACTCTAGAGAGACAGAGCAACATACACTAGGGGGAACAGAAGAAATTCCAAGAGGTCAGTATCCATCCTTCATCCCTAAGCCTGAGCATGTAAAACTTGCATTAAACAGAAAAGTACCTAAAAGTGAGCTAATGGTGCTAGAGAAGAGGTTCAAATTCTGAAATGTTAGAGTTTGTGAATATAAATCATTTGACCATGAAAATCATAGTCCTTAACGAATATTATACCAGTTTTAACAAGTGTCAATTATGATAAGAGACTCGAAGATTTTCCCCAGGGAAAGGAAACTCCCTTGGTCCAGAGGACATCTGCAGTTCCTTCCTCTGATGTTGGAGTTGTCCTGGCCCATAAAGTCTGTCCACAGTAGGTCCAGTAAGTACTAAATGGGAATCTGATTTTCAACCATTCAAATCTGAGGCCTTAGACCTAAAGTTTGTTCTCTTTACAGTCAGAAACCAATGAGCCATTTAGCCTGCTAGAATGAAAATACTAGTTTCTAATAACTATAATAGCTATTATTTTATACTAGAGGCCCGGTGCACAAAAATTTGTGCACTCAAGGGGGTCCCTCAGCCCGGCCTATGACATCTTGCTGTCTGGGACCCCTCAGAGGATGTCCACCTGCTGGCTTAGGCCCGCTCCCTGGGGGATTGGGCCCAAGCTGGCAGTCAGACATCCCTCTGGCAGCCCGGCAGCCCTCGGGGGATGTCCACTTGCCAGTGGGGAGCAGGCCTAAGCTGCAGTCGGACATCCTTAGCACTGCTGAGGAGGTGGGAGAGGCTCCCACCACCACCGCTGTACTGGCAGCTGGCAGCCTGGCTTTCCCCCTGTGGGAGCGCACTGACCACCAGGGGGCAGCTCCTGCATTGAGCATCTGCCCCCTGGTGGTCAGGGTGGGGTCATAGTGACCAGTCATTCCCAGTCGTTCTGCTGTTAGGGTCAGTTTGCATATTACCCTTTTATTATATAGGATAGAGGCCTGGTGGGTGAGGAGCTAATGGGTGTTTGCAGGCTGGCCACACCCCCTTCAGGCGGGGGTCCCTACTGGGATGCCTGGCCAGCCTGGGTGAGGGGCTGATGGCTGTTTGCAGGCTGGTCAAACCCCCACCAGTGGGGACCCTCAACCCATGGAGGTTTGGCCAGCCTGGGTGAGGGGCTGATGGCTGTTTTCAGGCTGGCCACACCCCCTTTAGGGTGGGGGGTCCCCACTGGGGTGCCTGGCCAGTCTGGGTGAGGGGCTGAGGGCCATTTTCAGGCTGGCCAAACGGCAACAGAAGCTCCCAGCCTCCCCTTTTTTTCTTCTGGGATTTATTTACCTTCTATAATTGAAACTTTGTAGCCTTGAGAGGAGCTCAGAGCCAGCCAGGGCGGGTGGGAGGGAAGCTTGGCTTCCTCAATCGCCAGGGGCAACCCACTCCTGCTCGCTCCAGCTCTGTGGCCACGGCTGGCTAAAAGCAGGTATCTGGGGTTTATTTACCTTCTAATTGAAACTTTGTTGCTTTGAGTGGAGTTCAGAGCCGCTACGGCAGGCGGGAAGCTTGGCTTCCTCCATCATTGGGGCAACCAAGCCTCCTGCTTGCTCCAGCTCTGTGGCCACCGGCCGCCATCTTGGTTGGGTTAATTTGCATATAGTAGCTCTGATTGGCTGGTGGGCATGGCTTAAGGCATAGCAGAGGTACAGTCAATTTGCATGTTCTCTTTTATTAGTGTAGATACATTATCATATCTAATCCTACCTAATACTACCTGTAAGATAGATACTATTTTCCCCACTTTACAAATGAAGAAATGGGGCTCAAAAGTGAGGATCCCAAAGAGTTTTTGTTTATGAGTCATATCTAGAGGACACCAACCTTCAAGAGGGATTTTTAATGACAAAGTATTACCTCCTCCCTCACCCCTGAGAGTAACCTCTGATTGACCAGGGAGAGACTTAGACGTTGTACTCACAGAGACATTCCGTAAGCCATCAGGATGGGGTTGGTGGGGAGAGGAACCTAAGAAGAAAATTATTAAATCCAGTCATTAAAAAATGAGACTTTGATAGTGCTTGTCACAGGCAGGGAGATAACAGTATTTACATTTCTAGAAGAGAAAATAGCGACCCTAAAAATTGAAAGAGTGAATGTAAAGACCCATCAGGCCTTTCAGTTTTGATAGTGCTTACGAGTGAGTTTAGGCAACAGGTTTCACCAGAAATCTGACATGGTTACCCTGCCTCCAAACCAAAGTAGGAGCATGAGTGTCTACTCAATAATCTCACTTTGCTGCCCTTCCCGTTTATTAAGACCAAGCTTCCCCCACTTCCTCAATTCGCTCTTTCTAATGTTTGAATGAGAATGAATTCTACTACATTTCTCTCATTTCCTGACCTGAGTTAGTAAGTCCTGAACAATGGTTTTCCTCTCAGGAATTCTCTATCTATAGCATAACGTCATGGGCTATCTTACCTCTTTCCCTGCAGCTTTACAAATGGCTTTGTGTTCTTTCATTTTTGCAGTTTCTTCTCGGTATAGTTCAACAGCCTCCATGATCCTCTCAGCCTACACAGACGAGGACAAAGGACAGAAATCACCAGGACACACTCCTTCATCCCAGAGCACTGCACCTGGAGGGCCTGATGGGAAAATCACCAAAGCGCTTGACCCAGTTTAATAAAGATGTGCCAACAGAGTGGCAAACTGCGTGCAAAGGCATCCTTGGTCCTTCTTTTCTTTTTAATTTTCAGGGAGGAGACTACGTGTTCTGTATTCCAGTAAGAATGGACGTGGACACCTGGGTAGGGCAGCTCCAAGGAATGTCTAAAAGGTGCTACTTCCATTCCAGGGCCGATGCTCCATCTCTGAGCTACAATAGCCAGGGCTACATTTTTACCTTTTAATCTATGAGAATGAACAGAAAACCATAATGAGGCTAAAAAGTTCCTTCATCCTGAATTTAAGTAGAGGATTTGAGTCTAAAAAATAAACCAAAAAATAATAAATAAATTGTGGGGAGCTGATATAGGGTTAAGCCTCGGACTGACCTGTGGGCAAAGTCACAAACAATTCCCAGCTTAGAGGGCACAGTCCTCTTAGCATAATTAGGCTTGACCTTATGAGGCTCTCTAGATCTTATCTGGGAAGCTAATGGGCTGAGGGAAGTGCAGGAAGTGTAACTATGGTCAAAACAAGTGAAACTCACAAGAACTGTGTAACTATGGAAACCACTACCTTGTTTACCTCTCACTATAAAATAAAGGCTCAGCTTGCCTCGGGATCTTTCTCTGTGGCCTCAGCCAGGCACAGGGAAGATCCACGGAGACTAAGGAAAGCTAGAGAGTTCTGAACACTGTCTCCGTGTAAAACATTCTTCGCCGACTCCGTCCACACCTTTGGGAACCCCTGGACCGCTGGGGCTGGCCCCCAGCAATAAATAAATATTAAAAAATAGGAAAAACAACAACAACAAAATAAACCAAAAAGCTTTACTGAGATGAAGCTGAGGATCAGGAGGAAAAGGGGAGGAGGAAGACAACGACGACGAAGGAAATGCAATGTGAAATAACGGAATGGATGTTAGAAGAAGAACCATTCTGAAAAAGGAGTTCGTGGCCTTTGGGGTTTAATGCTCTTGGGAGTTTCAGTAAGGATCGGCAGAAATCCACATAGAGCATTGATGTTTCAATGACAAGGTCATTGGTAACCTTATAAATACTTTCAGTTTGAAGCCAGAGCCAGAGTGAGGTATGTTGAATTATAAATGTGAAGAAGTGGCATTACCTCTTTAGATACTTTTAGAAGAATCTTGATAGTGTATAACAAATGTGGTGGCAATATAAGGCAAAGGAATGATAATATTTGGGCTCTTTGATACAATTCATTCCTACCTGAGAAATTTTATTCATAGTGTGTTTCTTAGAGAAGAATGCATAGTTTCTAAGTGTAAGAGCTTTTGAATTAGATAGTTGAGCGAGATTTCAAATATTTCACGGGCTAGCTGTGTGATCTTGAACATGCACTTAACCATCCTACCACTCAGGAGGATATTATCTATCTAGATAGATAGATACACATCCCTCGCAGTTTCTTGTGAGGCTTTAATGAAATAATGCATGTGGAACATTTAACACAGCCTCTGATGCACAGCAAGTCCTCAATAATGTTTGCTGCTTTTTTTTATCCCTTCTTACTCATCATTTTGTCTCTAGAATTTAACAAGGCAGCTAGCTGGTCAAACCAACACAGAACCCAGGATAAATTTAGAAACCAATTTGAGATAAGATTCACTTTTATGATATTTTCAGAGAATATTAAATTATTTTCTCTATAATTCTTTTGCCTACAGAATGTTTTTAATATTCTTAAACCTGAAATGAAGGGTTTGGTACAATTGAAATAATTCTACAGATGCCCACTAGAGGACAGAAGAGAGTCCAGCAACATTTGAGAAGAAATATTCAGGGACCAGTTGTCCTTGATTCTAGGATAGACTTTCCTACTATGAGAAACTCAGACACCAGAGCCTGAGAATTGTTTTAATTAAGCTCATTATTTTTAAGTTAAATAATGGATTAGAAATCTTTCCCAACATTTTACTGCCTTTCAAAAGTAGTAAGCTGACAATTTTCATTTTATCATTCTGTATTTATACTTCTATCATAGCTCTCACTTAATTCTGCCTTATATAATTTTTATTTTTTTCTATTATTTTAATCAACCACCATTATAAGTAAAACTTTTGAAGGCTGGTGTAGTTTCTCACTCGGGCACTTCTTTTGCTTTGTAGACTCTAGGGATTTAATTTCAACATACATATTATCATCATGGTAGAGAGAGGCAACAAGATATTTTGGATTAATGATTAGGGAAGCAGAGATACAATAAGGGGCACCCACATTCCTCCATACACTTGATAGGCTCATATGTGTTGACACCAAAGATCAGTGCCAGAAAAATCAGTGAGTGGGCTCTTAGAATGTATTCTCTTGATAAAGAAAAAGTGCTAAGGAAATATTTATTGAGTGTATAATGTGTTAGTGTCACATGGTCTGACATGCATTGTTTCATTTATTTCAAGTTCTGTCAGATTCCTTTCATTGTACAAATGAGGAGATGAAAACAAAAGTTTATCAATTCACCTAGTATCAGAAAGCTAGTATATATAGGAGCTCTTAAAGAAAAATTTGCTCAAAGTGAGCAAACAGAAATGGATTTTATTCTGATACTATCTCCAGCAATAGGGGAGAAAACACAGACCACTTCTGGATACCTGATTCTATGAAACAAGGAGTAAGGACAGTTTTTAAGAGGGAGCCTGGGGGATTCACAGGTCATTTGTGCTTGTTAATTGGCTTTACTCAAAGGAAAGTAAACATTATCTTTCCTTCCTGATGGGAGATATTTTAGGAGTTGAGGCAATGTGCCCAAGAAGTTAGGTTCTTACTCTCTCACAGACACTGGGAGACAGGGGCTTCTCTTCCTTGATGATTACATTTCAAAGAGATGTCCCCAGGTCCTAGGTTATAAAACTATTACATCTCTAGGGGTGGAGGAACAATTTAAAAGTATTCTAAAGTAAATACTGTAATTAAAGAAAAGTCAGGGACATAACTATAAGGAAAAACCCTGTCTAAAGTTTAGTCAAGCCGAGGGGAATAATGGGACATGCCCTTGTCATTGTATCAAAAAAGTCATCACCATATGCAAGGTCATCTAGATATGCTCCTATGTTATTTTCTAAGAGTTTTATACTTTTTTAGTTGACATTAGGTATGTGTTCCATCTTAATTTGATTTTTGTAAAGGCATAATGTCTGTGTCAATTCATTTTGTTGGCATATGAATGTCCAAGACCATTAGTTGAAAAGATCTTTGCTCCATTTTATTATCTTTACTCCTCTGTCAAACATCAAGTGACTATTTATGTGAATCTACTTATGGGCCCCTCATTGTGCTCCACTGATCTATGTCTCAATTACTGTAGCTATATAGTGAGTCTTGAAGTTGGATAGTGTCATTGTCCAACGTTGTTCTTTAATGTATTGGTCATTTTTTTTCCCTCTCCATATAAACTTTAGAACCTGTTTGTCAATATCCACATATAACTTGGTGGAATTTTGATAGAGACCGTTTGGATGAATAGCTCAAGTGGGAAGAACTGACATCTTGACAAGATTGTCCTCCTATCCATGAACATGGAATATCTCCCCATTAATTTTTTCTCTAAGTTTGTTCACTAGAATTTTATAGTTTTTCTCATGTAGATCTTGTACACTGTGTTAGATTTATACCTAAATATTTCATTCTGGGGGGTGTTGGTATAATTGCATTCTTAATTTCAAATTCCACTTGTTCATTGCTGTTATATGAAAAAACAATTTGACTTTTGTATATTACCTTTGTATTTGGCAGCCTTGCTGTGATCACTTATTAGCTCCAGGCTGTTGTTGTTGATATTTTCAGATTTTTATATGTAGAATAATCATGTTATCTGTAAACAAAGGCAGTTTTATTTCTTTCTTTCCAATCTGTGTAACTTTTTTTGCCTTCTTACATCAGCAAAGACTTTAGTACAATATTGAAAAGAAATGGCAAGAGTGCATATCTTTGCCTTGAACCTGATCTTAGTGAAAATACTTTGTGTTTCTAATTATTTAGTATTATATTAGCTGGAAGATTTCTGTTGATAGTCTTTATTAAGTTGAGGAAGTTCCCCTTTCTTCCCAGTTTGCTGGGAGTTTTATCATGATTGGGTTTTGGATTTTGTCAAATGATTTTCTGCATCTATTGGTATGATCGTATGATGTATGTTTTAAAGCCTGCTGATGTAATGGATTACATTAGCTGATTTTTAAATGCTGGACCACAAAATAGTGTTATGTAATAAGTCAATGAAAGGAGAGAAAATAGAATCCTATAGAAAAGCATGTAAATGCTACAACTCTTTGGGGATGCTACCCTACGGAATTGCTTGAACAAGTGGCCAAACTATGTGTACAAGAATAAAGAGTACAGCAGGAGGGCCCCTCTTAAGGGCTGATAGAGAAAGGGCAGTGGAGAAAGAAATGATTTTGCTTTCTGAAATTTCAACAGGGATCCCCTGGCTGGACTCGAACCACTAACCTACCTTTGACTTTTGAAACCAAACCGGTGCGTTGGGCAATTCCGAATACAATGGGGCATCCAAATGGTCTCCAAGGCCTTGCTCCACGCCCGCCTCAGATGCCTCAGATGTCATTGCCCTGGAGATGCAGGGCCTGCGAACCCCTGGGCCTGAGCCAAGTGGGCCCAGGGGAAGTTGAAAGGCCCTGGTCTCCCGCAATTATTCCCCTTTGCTTGGCTTCGGCTGCACCCCACCATCTGCGCCACTGGCTGCTGTGGGTGCAGCGAGGGCCAGAAAGATGATGTGGGGGGTCTCAAAAGGGGCAAATGCGAAGAGGCGGTAAAGTGCGGGGGAGACATGGATCAGGACAGGCAGCCTTACCAGAGGTCGGGGCAGAGGCTAGGGCTGTATGTAGGGACATGGGAATTGCTAGGGGGTTCTATTTTATCATCAGAATTGAGAGGAAGGAAAGGGAAAACAGAGCGAGCAGGAAAGAAGAGTGCCTGCAGTTCAAGAACAAAGCGCACTAGGTGGAATGCCTTTATGTCAAAACTCAGAACAAGACAGACCCACCCCTGCGGGTTTAGCTGCCATGATTCTATAGTGGTTAGTACGCAGCAGCCTCGGTTCCATTCCTAGTCACGGCAAGAGCCTCTGTGGTGCTTAGAGCTTAACTTTCAAACCCGGCAGGCAGGCTGCGCCCCTTCCTTATCTGGGGCCACAGGCCCGCGCTTTCCTCTCCGCCACCACTTCAGGGGAAGGGAAGGAAACCCTGCGCTGCAGGAACCTGACCTCCCTCTCGGCTCAGACTCTCCGCACGAGGACACCCAAGAAAATGCTTCCCCTTCAGTGCGACCCCCAAATGCCAGAGTCCTTCGTGACCCAATTGCCCAGCGAGGACGCTTATGTGCTAGCATTGCTGGGAAATGTTGCTTCTGTCAGGTTCTAAAGGATCTTAAAGACCAGATTTAAAAAAAAAAAAAAGTTTGCATCAGATAAGTGACACCTCTCGGTAGACCTGTTTAGCTGCTTCAGCCTTGGTTCCTGGGAGGCTCCTTGGCCATCGGTGTCCTTACATGCACCATGTCAAACCCTCTAGCATATTCAAGGATTTTTAAATACCTGTGGGCGGCCACTCAACACGCCAAATGGTATCCCTTCTGTATCACAGAGGCAAGCACAAGCCTACCGAGTCCCTGGTGGTCTAGTGGCTAGGATTCGGCGCTTTCACCGCCGCGGCCCGGGTTCGATTCCCGGTCAGGGAACTCTTTTTGCGCCGTCTGACATCTGTCCTCCCGCAGGAATCTGCTCCATCTCCACACGTGCGGTGTGTGCGCTCCCCGAACCAAACTCCCGCAGCAGGGACACGGGGGCGCGCGCTTCTCGGGGCTCACGGGTCTTGCTTTTCTCTACGGCAGCCGCCCTCCCGCACAAGGGGCTTGGAGGGCTCCTCGGCCTCCCGCTCAGGTGCACACGGCCGTGCGGAGGTCGCATCCGGGGGGGCTGCACCCGAGCCCGCGCTGCTGGCCCCGGCACCCGCCGAGCCGGCGCAGCCCGCATCGCGGAGAGGAGGGAGGGTGGGTGCGCGCCCCGGAAACGCGCCGGGCGGCGGGGCCTCCCCAGCTCAGTCGCACAAAAATGTTTGCTCGGCTTCGGGAGAGGTGCCGCCGCCAGGGGTGACGGTCCGTCTGTCTCTCGAGCTGGGTCAGGAGGCGACGGGAACCAACAGGCAGCGCGTGAAGCCGGCACAACCGGAAAACGCCGAGCGCGGCCGCGAGCAGCGGGAGGAGTGGGAATCCGCACCAGCTCCGACCACCGTCCCAGG